GGCGGCAACGGGCTGCGCGCTGACATCGGGCTCTTCGTTCAACGAGCGGACGATGTTGTGCGGGCTCGGCGTGGCCTCTTGCTCTCATCCCAATCACTCGTCTATCTGCTGTCTGTCATGCTGGTCTCTTCTCCTGGCGCTGTCGCCGCTCTCGTCGCTCTCTCCTCACTTGGATCGGTCGCCGCCTCGACCCCTCACAACCGCCTCGAGAAGCGCTCCATCCATGCTCGCGCCGCCTCCTCGAGTCTCGCAGCGAAGGAGACCTTCGCCGGTCGCAAGATGCGCTCGTCGGACAATGCCGCGGGCGGTATTAAGATCCCTCTCTCGAGGAAGGAGACGATCTCGACTCGCAAGTTGCGCAAGGACAACGGCGTCGTCGACCTCTCGAACCTCATGAACGCCCTCACCTTCGCCAAGGACAAGTACACGTCGGGTTGCTCGCGCATCTACCGCCAGACGGGCAAGAAGCTTCCTGGCTTTCAGCTGAAGGCCTACGAAGCGTGGGCCAAGAGCGCTCTTGCACCGCTCAACACGCTCCTCGGCATCGACAAGCGCCAGCAGGACACCTTGACCAACTACCAAGACGGGTCTCTCTGGGGCGGACCCATCGAGATTGGCACGCCGCCGACGTCCTTCACGATCGATTTCGACACCGGCTCCGCCGACCTCTGGGTCCCAGGCCCGTCCGTCCAAGGATACGACACCTTTGACCCATCCAAGTCGTCGACGGCGACGCCAACGAACCAGACGCTTGTCATCTCGTACGGCGACGGTTCGAACGTGATCGGACCTGTCTACAAGGACACGGTCTCCGTAGCAGGACTCGCCGCGAAGGGCCAGGCGTTCAGCCCGGTGTCGGGCATGGGCGCAAGCTTCCAGGGCACCCCAGTCGACGGCATCATGGGCATGGCGTTCGAGTCGCTCTCCAACATCGGCCAGAAGCCGTTCTTCCAGAACCTGTACGAGCAGGGCGGCGTCAAGCAGAACCTCTTCTCGTTCGCTCTCGGCGACGCGAACGACGGCGAGCTCTTCCTCGGCGGCGTCGACGACTCGAAGCACTCGGGACTCGTCGTCTACACCCCCGTCATCCAGCCAGGCTACTGGATGGTCCTCGGCACCGCCTACGCGAACAGCATCCCGACCGCCCTCCTCAAAAACATGATCATCGACACCGGCACGACTCTCATCATCGGCCCTCGTACCGACGTCGCCCACTTTTTCGAAAAGGTCCCGCATGCCCGCCGCTTCAGGGAGGGTTACTACATGTACCCCTGCTCTCAGTCGTGGACGGCAGACTTTGAGTTTGGCGGTGTCAAGTACTCCATCCCGTCAGAGTGTGCGTTCGCAGCCCTTCTCCTGCTCGTATCAGCGAGGCTGACGGTAACTCTCTCCGCTTGCAGACCTGAACCTCGGCCTCACTGCGGAAGGCGTGAGTTTAGCTCGCCTTCCTCGGCAGACTGTGCTCGAAGCTGACGGCACATTTCCGTTCACAGAGTCGCTACTGCGTTGCTGCCATCGTCGGACAGGACATTGGTGTCGACGCCTGGGTAAGTGCGCATCTCAAAGTGTGGACGCACCCTCCTATTCACCTCGCTCGTCCCGCAGATCATCGGTGACGTCTTCCTTCGCTCCGTTTACACCGTCTTCAACTTCGGCCTCAACTCCGTTGGCTTCGCCCCGCGCGCCTAAGCTGGCCTCCGCAACAGACACTCTTCCTCTCGTCCATTTCGCTCGTATACCGCTGGCCGGTCTCCGTCAGCCTGGACGCTGTAGATACCCCTTCCTCCCTTCCGCTCTTTACAGCGCAGACGCATCGTCTTGCAGCTCTCCTTGCGCAATCGTCTTATTTGCGCCGCGCTCCTGCTCGAGAAGAACGCTCAGGGAGAGCGGAAATGCAGCGAATGCGACAGCGAAATAACGAAACGGTCGGTCTATAGTGTCTACGAACCATGAGGGAGTGTGTGAGTGAGTGTGAGTCTATGATAGGCGGCCCCGCCGCGTCCTTCACTCCATGACCTCGGCAGCCGCCACCGAGATCTGCATCTCGCGCGAGAGGACGTGGTCGGGCGGAGGAATCCCGCCGCGGTTTTGCGCGCTCGCCAGGAAGGTGTTCCAGCCGATGCTGACAAAGTTCATGAACGGAGGGCGAGCGTAGAGCGGCACGACCGAGAGGTTGATCAGGTTGGCGGGACCAAAGACCGCCCATTGCTTGAGGACGGTCGGGAACAGTCGGTCCTCGAGCCGCTCGTAGATGCCCTCTGTCGACGGGTCGGTCGTGTCTGTGCGGAGCGGTCGGCCCTCCATGGCGCCTTGAGAAACGTAGAAGAGACAGGTTGCGAAGGGCGAGAAGAAGGTTAAGTCGGTAGCGGTTCGTGCGAGGACGGCTGTTGCACGAGAGGCGTCAGCGACAGCTCCAGCGGTCCCGGACGTCCACATCGCCGACAAGACGAGCTCAGGGGACATGGATGATGCGGGTGGTTCGACATGGTGCGTTCCGTCAAAAGCGGTAACAGCGATCCCAAGTCTCTCATCGCAGCTCCGTCTCGTCGACGCAGGGAGGAGAGAACTCACTCGCAACCTTGTGGCGCAGGTTGATGTTGCTAAGCACCCAATGCCACCGGTTCTGCGCGGGGAAAGAGGGTCAGCGATGGCCCAGACGGAGGGAGTAAAGGAGCGCACCGAGATGGGCGCAAAAATCAATCCACCGTACATCATGAGCCGTCTAGTCTTGTAGAACTGCCAGGGAAAGCGTGCAGTCAGCCTTCTGAGCGAGAAGCTTGGGAGAGGAGAGCAAGCACGAACCTCGACTTCCGACCATTCCTTCTTCTCAAAGCCCTTCTGCCAGATCAAGTCACCCGTCCCAGCTGTTACACTGGCCGTCGCCATCTGGGTAGGAAGCGTCCATCGCTGAAGAAGCCGCACTGAGGATGGAGAGACGGAAGGTCAGCGCGCGTTCCAAGTCACGAGAGGACCCGTATGGCGCAGGCTGGTCGCTGACCACCTTGCGGTAGCTGGCAGGCCTATCGCTTGAGCGGGAAGCGCAGGGGGCGAACGTACAGTAACCACGAAAAATAAAGGCCATTCCACAGCGCCCGGAGCGCCAGCGAGTCGCAAAAAAGTCTCCTGCGGTCCGTCTGGCGGCGTGGGGCCTGTCGAGCGAGCACCGGAACAAGCGAGAGTGAGGAGCGAAGCGACGACGAGGAGCGAAGAGGTGTTGGGTCAAGGGCAGCGGGCTAGACTCACGACGGAGTGCCGCGCTTGCTGGACCCCACAAGATGGCGGGATAAAGCACGTAAAAATCCGTTCCCGGAGGCCCACAGGCGCACGTAATCGACCGAGCGAGAAAAAAGTACGAGGAGGAGAAGCGAAGGAAACTGGGCGGGAACAGCGGCGAGGTCTAAAGATGCGAATGCAGGAGATGCGAGAGAACAACAGCCGCCGCCCCTCACTTCCGAAGACCCGACCATTTCGCCTCGTCGACGCCCAACAACGCCCGCTCGAACGCGTCCCAGTTCTTGCACCACGCGCCGCTGGGGTCGAACGGCTTCGGTGCTCGCTTGATCTGGAGCGAGTAGCTCTGCCAGTCGCCCTCGACCATGAGCGGCGCGTGCGAGTACTTCTTCTTGACCGCAGATGGCACCGGCGTCTCGTCATCTGGGAAGAACCTCTTGCGGAGCTTGGCGAAGTAGCCACGAAGAGACTGTTGTAAAAGAGCGTGTCAGACGGGTAGAAACGCGCGACAGTGAGGCTGAGGCAGACGCACGCCTTCTTTGTGTGGGATTGGCTTCATCTTCGGGTGGTAAGGCTTGGGCGAGGCCGAGATGGCGCCGAGAAGGTGGCACTTGGCGATTGGTACAGTTCGAGGCGCTCGACGGAACCATTGCTGCGTGATAGGCGAGTAGATGTGGTAGATGCAGAGATGCGAGTTGGGCGGGAAGGCGAGGGCGGACTTGGAGGCCGCAGGCGGTCGTCGCAGCGTGATCTTCGTGACGTGCCTATAGAATCAACGAGTTAGCAGGCAAACGAAGGGGCTCGCCGGGCGAGACTCGCCTGGTCGGTGCAAAGACGCCGGCGAAGAGGACAGCAATTCCGATGGCGCCTGCCCCGGTCGCGAAAGTGTACCGCTGCCACGCCGGTGCGTTGGTGAACTCGCCGGTTTCTGCGTCGGGGCGGACGATGCCGACACGCGCGAGGTCGGCGAGCGTGAGGCAGAAGACGCCCAAGGTGAAGGAAACTCCGACCATCAAGGCGGGGTTGTAGGACGGTGTCGCCGTGTAGATGACCTCCTCGGGCCCTGTTGGACGTGTTCATCTGTCAGCGTAACCGGAAGTAACAGGACAACAGGCGCACGCGCCGTATTCATCCTTCGCCTTGCCGGAAGATTCGCCCTGCGCAACATCTGTCCCGGCCAGATTCTTCCGCTCTCCTTGCGCCTCATTCTGCAACGACGCCTGACCCGCCAGCATCTCTGCCTCGATAGCCTCTGGGGTGACCTCTTTCAGGCCTTCTCCCGCTGCCTTCGCCGCCTTCTTCCCTCCACCTGTCGCGCGCCCGACATCCGTCCCAGCTTGCCTAGGGACTGTTGTAGCCTTCGCGGTCGGGACCGTCGAGCTTCGTGAGCGGTTGGAGTTCGAGTGCTTCGACTGATGAGAAGTAGAGAGGGAGAACAATCGGGTGTGAGGAGGTGCGGCCAGTCGCGGGGCGAGAAGAAAGAGCGTTGGTATCCGCTGCATACTCGCAAGAGCCGAACCAGCTGGAAGCAGCGAGTCGTCGAGGCGAGAGAGTGCTTCGAGGCGAAGGTTGCCCTCGAACCTCTCGCTGTCGAACGTCCCATCGATTGCCGGGACTGCTGCTTTGCCCGAGTGCTCGAAGTTAGTCTGCGCAAAGCGCTGCAGCGCCTGCAAGTCGGCCCGTTCTGTCTCCTGTCTTCCTTCTCTCGGTCCGCAACGTCGAGGTGAGTCCTTCAACATGCATAGCTGTGCCAAGTGGACACTCAGACTGACCAAGACCTTCTTCGTCGTGCGGATATAGTGCACTGCAGCCCGACTTCGTCGATTGAGCATCGACAAACGAACTGCCAACTTCCGCAACCACGCCCGCTCCAGTGTTCGCCTGGCTCGCCATGATCCGCCAACTGTGGCTGTACACGCTGCAGAACACGCAGTTCGTTGTGACGACGCTCACAGCGTACTTCATCCTGCGCATTCGGACGGCACATTCGCTGTACTTTGGCGCCGGGACACTCGTTGCTGCTTTTACCGGTTCGCCTTCTCGCCTTGTGCGTCGCAGAACATGCCGTACTGACTCTATCATCGCCGCAGCCAAGATCTTGAAGCGCTTCATTCGACAACCTCGACCGGCCGGCGCGAAGAAGTACGAGAAGACGTACGGGATGCCCTCAACGCACTCTTCCTCCATCGCCTTCTTCGGCACCTACCTCTCCCTCTCCTCCCTCTTGCTCCCACTCCACCCGCGCGTCACTTCCCTCCTCCCCTTCTGGAACCGCTTCTCCAACCTTGCGACCACTCGGGGGCTTGGCGCCGCTCAAAACTCCTTTTGGCGACATATGGCCGGCGAGTGGGGCCAGCGGGTCACTCGAATCGTGCTCGCCCTTTGCTTCCTCGCGGGAACGGCGAGCGTCTGCTGGAGCCGCGTTCGCCTAGGCCATCACACCAAAGCGCAGGTCATCGCGGGCGCGAGTCTCGGGTCGACGATTGCGCTCGCTTGGATGACTCTGTGGTTGGGACTCGACGGCTGGAGCACGTTGAGCGGGAAGGACCTGGAAAACGTAGTGGCAGGATTCGCAGGCGGAGCGGGGAAAGCCGTCCCGACCTGGCTGATTCACGGCGTCAAAGAGCCGGCAATTGTGTGGGAACGGGCTGCCGAGGATGCGGCGTTTGTTGCCCTTGAGGCGTGGGAGACGCGGCGGTGGGAAGGGCTGAAAGAGTTGCGGTACTTATTCCCGCTCATCCGGCGCGGTGCGGGCGGCGAGTTGTAGCTGGGTAGAGTTGCCAATTCTCACGCAATCCGCAGGCACGTCGATTGAGAGCGAACTGGTTACAACAGACAAGGCGGTGCGACCTCACTACTTGACAATTTTCCACGACCCGCTGGCCGTCTTCTGCACGAGACCCTCCGCGATGACTTGCTTCAACAGCGCCGTCAACTCGTCCGTCGTCTTGCCCTTGTAGCCCGGCGCGAGCATGTTGAGGGTCGAGTGGATCCTCGAAAGCGGCAGCGCGCCGAGGTTCGTGAGCTGCAGGCGAGACTCGGTGAGCAGACAGCTTGCCTGAAAGGCGGACGATACGCACCATGCCTTGGATATACTGCCAGAAGACCCGCATCTGCACAGATCATCCGACAGATATCAGTATTGCGACCGCTCAGGAGGCGCAGGAAACGACGCACCTCCTCGATACGCTGAGACTCGACGCTCTGGACGGCGGCTTTCTCCTCCTCGACGACTGGTTCCAAGCGAGCGTGTCAGCGAGGCTGCGTGTACAGAGCGAAGGAAGGGAAAGGCACCGTGAGCGACGGGAGCTGCCGTCGTCTCCGCCTCGCCGCCTTGCTCCTCCACAAGCCGCCACATGTCGTCCGGCATGCTCGCCACGACGCCGAGGTTGTTCCAGTAGTACAGAGCGTTCCGAACTGTCCCGAGGTCGGCCACTCGAAGCTCCGTCTGGAGCGCGTCGGAAGTCCAGGTGTCTGCGGACTGTGGGTCAGCTGGTCGCCACGATCCTGCGGAAGGAAGGCGCACCTTGTTTGTCGAACAGTTCCAGTACTGCCGCTTGGAGCGGCGTGGCATCGACCGTGATCGTACGGTCCTTCAACTCGACCGTGAGGTTGACGCTGCCGAGCTGAGGAAGCCATCGCAGCTTCTTGTCGCCCTTGAGCGCGGCGAAGGAGCGGTCGTACGAAGCTTGGGCGCTGTATCAAGCGAGCGTGAGCGTATGCTGGCAATGAGTAAAGGAAGCGAGACTTGCCGGCCGAGTTGACCGGGCAGCTTGAGCGGCGCGGGCTGGAAGGATGGCCAGAAGAGGCGCGAGACGACCGTCGCATGGAGCGGAACGCTCTGATCGAAACTCTTGTCAGCGCAGCCGGCGCGATGGGGTGCAAGCGGACGCACCGGAATCTGCTCGTGCACCCGTTCGTCAACCCGCTGCGAGTCCTGCAGATCCTTCAGCATGACATCGCAGCCTTGCAGCGCCTGTTCGCCGAATCGAGATTTGAGAGTGGTGATGTTGTTTACCTGCGATGCGAATGATCAGCGCCAGCAGACGAGACGCAGCTGGAAACGACGCACCTCTCGCTCGAAAGCGTAATCCTGGATGGCGAGTAGCCGCTGGGCGAGCAGGACCTGCAGCTCCTTGACGAAGACGTCTTTTGTGTCGTAGATGCTGACAAGAAGCTGGATGACATCGGCGCCCTTCGACTTGCGGAAGTCTGCGCCGAAACCGTCAGCAGGCGGCAAAGTGCAGGTGAAACTTTAAGAAGGCGGACCCGCGGGCGCGTCGACGGGATCAGGCGTCCACTTGGGATCGTTGTAGCTCTCCGCCTCGTCCCTCGAGTCGCTGACGAGCTTCGCGTCGGTGCTGACAAGCTCCTCGAAAAGCGGGTTGCCCTCCTCGATGAGCGACGAAACGATGCAGCGGATCGTGTCCGAGCGCGCTCTGCAGCGAAGTCGTGAGCTGTGCGCTCACGTGAGTGATTTATGCAAGGACGCACCGCAAGTACTTGCGGATCGGGTCGGCGACGCGACTGAGCAAGACGCCTGGCGGGTCAACAATTCGCAGGCATCGGATGGCTGCAATGTAGGTCGTGATGATCTCCTTCGTGTCAGAGCCGGGCTGGAGGAGCCGTTGCGCGACCTGTTCGCGGAGGCGTGAGACGAGCAGGCCGCGCTGGTCCGTTTTGTACAGGCAGGTCTGGCAAAGCGTACGTCAGCTGCGCCTCTTCGGGTGGTTCCGTGTGGCACACCTTCAGGTCCTCCAGCGCTGGTTTTGAAGCGGGATAGGCGAGGATAATGTCGAACAGCTCGGAAGTTCTGCCAGCGATGGGTCAGCCAGGACGCGTTCGTGAGGTGGAGAAGCTCACCTCAGCTGGCAGAGCATCTTGTGAATGTGGTACTCGAACCGACTGAAGGTGGGCTTGAGGAACTTGCGCGCCTCCTCGTTCCCGCCCTCGCCCGCACTCTCGTAGATCCCGCTCACCCAGCCCATCACGCCGCCCGCCTCGCCCTTCTTGCCCGCTCCGTTCAACCACTGCAGCAGTTCTTCAAGCTTTTTCTCGCTGTACACGCCCCGGCATTGGCGTTGGACCCTCGACTCGATCTCTTCGTAGATGAGCGCGAACAGGAGAGGGTCGTATCGATCGAGGAGGGTAATCAGGGTGGGCAGGGCGCGCGAGTGTACGTCGGAAGTCGCTTGAGTCGGGTGTTCGGACGTGAGGAGGGTGCGAAGGAAGGACTGGAGGGCGGGGGCGAATCGAGGAGGGAGGACGAAGTAGAGGGATGAGAGAAAGGTCTTGCGGAAGGCTGACAAGCTTGACGAGGATCCGCTGTGGGGTTCAAAGCGTCACGATCATCCATGAGCTGTCCGAGAGATCTGCAACGTGCGCCCATAGAGCCGAAACGGGTTGCTGCCAGCGCAGGATTCGCAACCCGATGCTGTGAAGCAAGGCAGCCAGGATGTCGAAGCCGTCTTCCGGCGGGGATGCCTGTGTGGATTACAGCACTCTGTCAGCTGGCCAACAGGGCCGTAAGGGGGATGTCCGCACCTCAAAGCGATCCAGCGACTCGTCAACCTCTGCCCGCACGGAAACAAAGGATCTCCGAACCGCGTCTGTGAAGGTACAAGTCAGCATTCGTCTCGGTACACCAGAACATCAGGCCGGACGCACCCAGGTAGTGGTCGAGCAGCTCGCTCGTCAATCCAGCATCGTGCAACACCTGCGCCGCCTCCATGAGACGTTTGGACGGCTCAAAGCGCGCGCCGTGGCCTGCGCTCCACAGTTTTCGAGGCTCCAGCTCATCGCACGCAACCCTCCAAGCCTGTGAGCGAGGAAAACCCGGCGTCAACTGAGTGTCCAGATGAAGTTGGACGATGCGTGTGGGCGCACCTCTGCCACGCGGTCGAGCTGGCCGACATTCGCCGTCAGCTGCTCTGTAGCGCTGTGCCAAGCTGTCAGCACGTCGAGCTCCATCGTGCAGCGTGTGCCATGAACCGTCGCGGGTCAACCTCGCGGCGAGATGTCAACTTGGACGACTCGCTCTCACCGCTCACTCGCTCGCGCTAGGGATGGCAGACACGGCGCTGTTCCGTGCAAGCTCAGACTCGGAACCAGACGAGCCGCCAAAGAAGAAGGCGCGCTTCTTTGCCGACGAGGACTCGGACGACGACGTCTCTGGACGAGTCGACACGGTCCACATCGAATCGGACGACGACGAGCGCGCGCCAGTCGCTGGGCCATCACGACTAGTCAAGGAAGAAGCTGGCGAGGACGCGCCGCAGGCTAGGAATGCGGGTAGGAAGCGCGAGACGGACTGGGACGCCCGGTACTTTGGAGGTGCGCGCATCGCCGCCGCTTCTCTGGCCTTGTAGAGGCTGACACTTGAGTGAACAGAGGTCTTCGTGTCTGGCTTTGCGCTGGCGAGCTCGTCGACCTTTGTCAAGCTGCGACCCGGCGAGGCCATCACCTTGAACCGTTCGAAACCGTCGAACCCGTCGAACGCTACGGCCAAGAAGTCTTCTGCATCGAAGAAGAAGCTCGAGCATGACGTCGTGGGGTAAGTAGCGAGAGCGGAGTGAAGAGCGTGGCGCTAACCGGCTCTTTCGCAGGTTTCGCAACGAGAAAGGGATCGAGGTCGGCAGGATCGTTCGCGAAGACGCAGCATGGCTCGCCAAGCTGCTCGACCACGACTTGCTGCGCGTCACGGGCTATTGCGTCGCTTGTCCAGAAAAGTTCCGTTCAGGTGTGTGCCCAACCCGCTTCGACTTGCCGCCTTCCCTGATCGCGCACCTCGCAGGCGACGACATGCAGCTCTCTCTCTCCATCTCCCTCGCTCGCAACGCCTTCGTCGATCCGAACACCTCGGCACCCGAACCGGTCTCGCAGCCGACCAACACGGCCGGCAAGAAAGGTTTCCTCGACGACCTGAAGGAGACGGACCGCGAGAAGCTCCTTCGCGAGCGCAAGAAGGCGCTCAACACGCTGTTCGACAAGGCCGACTTGCACCCGTACGTCGAGGACGGCAATATGCCGACCGGCACGCAGAGCAAACGAGCCATGCTCGACAAGATGGAGAAGCGGACTGGTGTCGGCGATGAGGAGGAAGAAGACGAGCTCAACGAGATCCAGCTCAACCTCGTCTGTACGTGTGCGTAACTGGACGACTTCACGATAGCTAATTGCGCTCTTCCCTCCCAGACTCGAAAGCGATCAAGAACGATGCGAGCCTGCCGGAGCGGGATCCTCCAGACACCTTCGCTCTCACCCTGCGACCCTGTTAGTGGCGAACTGCTTCTGAGTCAACTTTTGCTGACGTCGTCGCCGCCCGCAGACCAGAAGCAAGCGCTGCGCTGGATGGCGGCCATGGAGACAGGCGAAGAGCAGGCTCGCAAGAGTCTCTCGATGCACCCGCTCTGGGAGAAGTACCTCTTCCCCGGCAGCAAAGACGAGAAGGATTGCTTCTACTACAACCCGTACTCTGGTCCGTCCGCTCGTTCCCCGATCACACGACGCGCAGCTTACGGCGGGTTGACGCAGGCGAGCTGTCCCTCGTGTTCCCTAAGGCATCGACGAAGTGCAGAGGCGGCATTCTCGCCGACGAGATGGGCCTCGGCAAGACGATCATGGTCGCTTCGCTGTGCGTCCATCCTCGGTGGCGACGAGGGTCAGAAGCTGAACTCTCTCCGCATCTCGCAGCATCCACACGAACACTGCGTGGACTGCGGCGCAGACGACTGACGACGAGGCGGGTTCAGCTGCAGCCGGCGCCGACAGCGACTCGGACCTCGACTTGTCGACCACGAAGAAGCCGATCCAGACGCAATCTCGCCTCGCTGGCGGCGGCATCTACCGCAAGTCGCAGCCGTCCTCGTCCACTGCGAACGGCTCGTCCTCGAAGCGCCCTCGCCTAAAGTCCGGCACGCCGCGCGCTACGCTCGTCGTTGCGCCCATGACGCTCATCAGCCAGTGGTGCGACGAGCTCGAGCGCAGCAGCAAGGGTGGCGAGCTGCGCGTGCTCATGTATTACGGGAACAAGCGCGAGAGTGGGGCAGACCTGCAGCAGGAGATTGACGGCGGCGTGGATGTCGTCGTGACGAGGTGCGCTCAACGTCCTAAAGCTCTCGGTCTTGTTGTTGACCTTGCCTGTATCCGCAGTTACGGCACGCTCTGCTCTGACTTCAAGCAAAGCGGCTTCGACACGCCCGCACAACCAAGCAAGGAGAAGACCGCCGACGATGCGGCGAAGAAGAGCAAAGGCATAGGGAAGGGGAAGGAGGAGAAGCCCAGGAGCAAGAAGAAGAAGCCGAAGGGCCTCTTTGCGATCGACTGGTTCCGCATCGGTGCGCTGCGCGATCACACGCAAGCCCAGGAGTTCCTGACGCTCGATTGTCACAGTCCTCGACGAGGCCCACCTCATCAAGTCGCGGACGACGCTGAACGCGAAGGCCAGCTATGCGCTCAAAGGCGCGAGACGCTGGGCGCTGACCGGTACTCCTATCGTCAAGTTCGTCAGACGCTCTCCTCCCAGAAGCACTCGCGATACTGACGTGATCGAGCTCGACAGCCGCCTCGAAGACCTCTATTCTCTTCTGCACTTTATCCAGCTCGAGCCCTGGGGTCCGTCCTGCGAGCGCAGGTCTATCACACAGTCTGACGTTTGCTCGTACGCAGGGAACTTCTCGTTCTTCAAGACCTTCGTCACCGTCCCTTTCCAGAACAAGGACCCGCGCGCGATCGAGGTTATCCAGGTCATCCTCGAGAGCATCCGTGCGTCCACCTCCCTTTCCGTCCGCATCGCTTGCTGACCTGTTTGTCCAGTCCTCCGCCGCGAGAAGAAGATGCGCGACAAGGACGGCAACCCCATCGTCGCCCTCCCGGAGAAGAAGCTCGACGTGGTCCATCTCGAGTTTACGCAGGACGAGCGCGATATCTACGACGCCCTGTACAGGAATGCCAAGTCCAAGTTCCTCGGATACGCCGAGGAAGGCACGGTCTTACAGTGCGTCGTGACGATTCCGCCTCTCGGCGCCCCACTGACAACGCTGCGGGTCTCGCCAGGCATGTCACGGCCATCTTCTCGATCCTCATGCGCCTCCGTCAAGCAGTCCTGCACCCGTCGCTCGTTCTCAAGCGTCTGAAGGAGAACCTGCGCGCGAAGGGCCTCAACCGCACGGCCATCGACGACGACCCGATCGCACAAGCTGGCGAGCTTGAAGAGACGGCAATTCAGCGGCTGATCGAGCGGTACACGGCTGGATTGGCGAGCCAGGGTTTGGCGGAGGGGACGCAGGATGCGATTGACGAGCTGCTTGAGAACAAGGACAAGGGTGACGCGGATGAGGCTGGAATGGAGTGCATGCTCTGCATGGAGGTGCGTCGTCGGCTTTCGTCAGACAGATGAACCTTGCTGACGTTCCCGACGGACAGCCCGTCGAGGTGCCCGTCTGGCTGCCGGGATGCGGACACTCGGGCTGCAAGGGGTGTGTCTTGCAGCACTTCACCGATTGCCAGGATGCTGGAGAGGGAGTGCGTCGCTCTCGCTGGTCAATCTTTCATGTGAGCTGACCTTGCGACCTGCAGGCTCGCTGCCCTGTCTGCGGTTCCGGACCGCTCAGCGAACGCGAGATTGCGGAACTCCAGAAGGCGGATGGGACCAAGCCGACTGCGTCGCAGAAGAAGACGAAGAAGCACGGCTACTCGATCCAGACGGTCGCGTCGTCGCCAGGCTCGTCCACGTCGAAGGAGGTCCTGATTCTTGACTCGGACGACGAAGACGACAAGCCGCCCTCGCCAAAGAAGACTGTCATGGGCAAGGCGAAAGCGCCCATCGCGTCCATCACGCTCGACTCCGACAGCTCGGACGAAGAGCAGGACGAAGAAGAGGACGCTTCGGACGACTACCTGCCGAGTCCGCCGCCGCGCAACGGCACCTCCGCAGACGACGACGACGACGGCGACGACGCGGGCCGACTGGAGGATAGCGATGACGACGATGATGTAACCGGCGGCAAGAAGGCGGTCATGCTGTCCAAGGGCGACTTCCGCTCGTCGACCAAGCTGGACGCCCTCGTCAACTCGCTGAAAGCCGCAAAAGCGAAGGATCCCCATCTCAAAGCCGTCGTCTTCTCGCAGGTGCGCTGACTGGCTCGCAAATTGTACCAAGGCTCGGAGTAGCGCTGACCACTTCGCGGCAGTTCACCGGCTTCCTCGACCTGATCGAGCGAGTCATGAACCGGGACAACTTCAAGTAAGTCCTGTCCTCTCCGCAGCTTCCGCTCGCAGACGCTGATGCCTGATCCTCGTGCAGCTACCTCCGTCTCGACGGTGCCATGTCGCAATCGGTCCGCCAGAAGGTCGTCCGCAAGTTCACCAAGACCGACAAGTCGGTCATCCTCCTCGCGTCGCTCAAGGCTGGTGGCGTCGGATTGAACCTGGTACGTCTAGCTGCTTGCGCTCCTCGGGAGTATTGCCTGACTTGCTCCTTCCCTCAGATCGCTGCCGACCACGTCTACCTGATGGACACCTGGTGTGAGTCTGCACTCATGCTCGTCATTCGTCCTTGACTAAGGCCGCACCGTTACGCAGGGAACGCCGCAATCGAGAACCAAGCCGTCGACCGCATCCACCGCTTCGGCCAGACTCGCCAGGTCAGCTTTCTCCGTCTTCTCGTCTTCACGTCCGTCTGACCTTCTTGCGTCGCAGGTCTACGTCACCCGCTTCCTGGTCAATCACTCCATCGACGACAAGATGATCGCGGTGCGTTCGCTCTCGTCGTCAGCGCCGTCCTCCCTCGCTGACCCCCTTGTTGACGAACAGCTTCAAGAGCGCAAGACCAAGGTCATTCAGGGAGCTCTCGGGCAGAACAAGGACAAGAACAAGAAGCAGCTGGCGGAGGACCTCGCGATGATTTTCGCCGACGACTGAGCAGGAGGGGAGGGAGATCATAGTGTCGCTTGTCATATTACGCGCTGTCTCTCGTCTCAGGTCGGATTCTCTGCTTGGCGATCCTACAGCCACACCGCAGTCGCCGCTCCTGCTCCGCCCTCCAGCTTCGTCCGCGCAATTTCGCGAATCTCCTTCCCGTCCCAGCCAAGAATCATGACCAGCCCGTCCTCGCTGTCCGTCAACGCAACATACTCGCAGTCCGCCTTGTTATACGCTTCAGGCGCAGGCTCGACCGCGTTCGCCCATCCGCCCGAAGTCGGCGTCTCCCAGAGACAGAGCGGCTCGTCCGAGGCTGGCAGACCTTCGGGCGTGAGGCCGTAGACGGCAACCCAGCCTTTTGTTTGAGGCTCGAGTCCGCGAGTCGAGCAGTAGAGGTACTTCTGCGAAGGCGAGACCCGCACTTCGTCGGCCCAGTAGAGCGAGGGCGAGTGGTCTGCGGGCAGAAGCTTTAGCGAGTGATTCTCGCGGTCGGCTGAGCGAGCGAGACGGACCTTTGGGGATGATCTTGATGCCCTTGACATGCGAGAGCTTGCCAGCTTCGGCGTCCACCTCGAAGACATCGACCATACTCGTGTGTTCCTGCAAGCTGTAGACGTAGCGTCCGTTCGGGTGAGGCGTGACATGTCGAGGACCGTCGGTTGGGCGCGGCGCGATATTCTTGTCGGCCAGGACGAGCGAGCCGTCTTCTTGCAAGACGCGGAAGACGAAGACGGCGTTTCGTCCGCTGTCGAAGGCGACGGGAGGGTTAGTGGCGCTTTATTCGCAGACTGGAAGGAGACTGGACGCACATGTCGGCGACGTAGGCGAGCTTGCCGTCGGGAGACAGGTCGAACGAATGACTGCCGTGCCGCAACCCGCCAAAGTCCATCACGCCGCCGTCGTCTCGTTGGCGGTCCTCGCCGACAAAGTCCAGCTTCTGCAGCACCTTCTCCTCAAACGCGCCCGTCTTTGCGTCCAGTCGGAAGACTTCGCCCGTCGGTCCTCCCGCTGAATACGCTGTCGTGTCGGAGACGCAAACGTAGCCTGATCGCGCGGCCGTCTGTACCGAATTCAGGTGCCGTACGACGGGCACACCGGCATCGTTCCGCGCAATCTCGTAGGAGGCGAGGCCAGGAGGCGTTGTCCAAGAGGTTGCGTACAGCCGGTCCTTCGCTTTCTGCGGGCGTGCAACCGTTCGTGAGCTGTTCGTGCGATGCTGGGGAGTCAATGGAGTGACGCACGTTCAGCGCGAGCCAGCTGTGCGGCGCCTGTCCCTCGTTCGTCGCCGCGACCTCAAGCGTCCCCACTTCCGAGTCGAAGGCGAGGGAGAAGACACGGTTGGTGTTGAAGGTGCCGACAAGCAAGTAGCGCGCAGGCATGGCGGATAGCAGCTTGCAAGAATGAGAAAGAAGCGTAGGAAGCCGAAGAACAGAGCGACTTCCTCCGAACGAGATTGGCTTCGGGATGTCAAGACCGCGCATACACCGACAGCTACTTCTTCTTCTTCTCCTTGATCTTGAGGGGCGGCACAGTCTCCTTCTCGAGCCACCACCGCTCCTCCTCCGTCATCTCCCGGTACCGCCCCTTCTCGCCCGCCGCCTTGTCCGAAAGCTGAACCGTGAAAGTCGCCTCCTTCTGCTTCGGCTTCTTCCGCTCTGCCTTCTGGACCATCTCGTCGTCTCCTGGCACAGGTATCCTGACCGTGAGCGTCGGCATCTTCTGCATCATGACCTGGACGCGTCGCCGGAGGAGCCGCGGCCGGATAACGTGAGGACGCTTCCACTTTGTCGTGTCGAAGGCCGGGACGAGCGAGCGGCGGGCATCGTCGGGAAAGGCACGGCGAGTTGAGAGCGGTGGCAGAGGCGGAGGTCGCTTCTGCCGCTGTTCGGCTGTCTGCAGCCGTCGAGGCGGCAGCTTGGGCGTCGACGACGTAGACTTGATTTCGAGTTCCCGAGTCCGCGTCCACCCCTTCATGAGATGCTCTGGGGCGATCTTGAGCCCTGCGTGCTTCTTCAGCAGCCGACTCGCCTCGTCCATGCCGTCAACCTCGTCCTTGCCCTGCAAGACCTTGATCGAGACGGGCGCGAAGACCTTGCCCGTCTGCATGTTCCAGAACCGCCGCTTGATGGCCTTGATCCGTTGAGGTATGAGCGGACCGAGCAGTCGAGCTTGTTCGCTGGTCGGGTCGGCGCGTTCGGGCAGAAGAGGCGGTTTGAGCAGGTCGGCGGGAGCGGGTGCACGGGAGTTGTGAGCCAATGACGAGGTCACAAGGGCGGCGAGGGCTGGAGGGAAAGTGCTCTTCCTGCGCCCGGGCTCGAGAAAGGGCTGCGGGAAGAGCGTCAGCCGAGAGAGGCGGCGGAAGAATGGTCGACGGAACGAACTTCGAGAATGGCATGCTTGACTTTGCCCCGAACGCCGTACGCCGTCTCGTACGCCCTCATAATCGAATGCAGATAGCCCTCATTCGCAGCTTGCAGGTGCCGGAGCAGCTGTCAGCGAGTAAAAGCTTCATCAGTTAAAGTTGAGGAGGAGAAAGTCGTGCCGACCCACCTTCTGCGCCCGCTTGATCCGCCGCAACGCCCTCTCACTTGACTCTGGATCCTGCTCCTCGCGGAAAGCTGTCCGGACCTTGGCCGTGTAGTGCGCGCTGTCGTCGTCGAGGAAGAGCGTGAGTTTGGCTGTGCCGGCAAGTCGTGTGAGAGAGCGTACCTGAGCCTACTGTCCGGCAGCAGCTCTGCCTCGCGCAGGAGGGCCCTGTACAGCCCTTTTCCGACCAGCATCGCGGCCAGAAAGTCGGACGAGGAGTAGAAGCGATGAAGATGCGGGTCAGCTTCTCGCCGTTCACACCGCTCGCTGGAACTGCTCGCTAGGCTCTTGAAGGAGTGTTCGAGGGTCCAGGAACGTCAGACGACCCGCGCCATGGCGCGCAGTCGACCACCGGCTCCGACCGCAGCGTCACAACACCGGACGGCCTTTCCGCGACTGTCAGCGTTCCTCGTCGGCCTCTCGCTCACCAGTCTCGCCATCTGTCTCGCGATATACCGATCCTACGTCGCGACGCAGCCGTACTACCCGCCGGGATCGTTGCCGGAGGATGCGCGAGGGGGAGGGGCTGGCTCGTGCAGGATGAGCTTCATGTCGCCGGCCTACATGCATCTTTCGGGATTCGGGAGGGAGTTTACGAGACTGGGGAACGGGCCGTGGGGGCTGTACCTGTACCGCGAGGCGGGGTGGGACGACAATCCGTTCGTCGAGGATGGACGAGGCGGCCAGAAGCTTCAGCTCTCCGGCACGCCCGTCCTGTTCGTCCCAGGAAACGCAGGCAGCTTCAGGCAGGTCAGGAGTCTGGCGAGCGCGGCGAGTCGGGCGTGGTTCGAGGTGCCAGGCGTGCCGCGGAAGGGCGTAGGAACGCGAGAAGGCGGAGCCAGTCTCGACTTCTTCACCCTCGACTTCAACGACGACTTCTCCGCCTTCCACGGCCAGACTCTCCTCGACCAGGCCGAATACACCGCCGACTGCATCCGATACATCCTCAGCCTGTACGCCCACCATGAAGACGAAGCGACAGGCCGAAACCGCCGCCCTGATCCGACAGCCGTCATTGTCGTTGGCCACTCGATGGGCGGGGTCGTCGCGCGAGCAGCCTTCCTCAACCCGAACTACCAGTCGCATTCCATTTCAACCCTCATCACCTTCGCAACTCCCCATGTCGTCCCGCCTGTCACCGTCGACGCAGGGGTCGACCGCGTCTACGAGGCGATCAACTCGTACTGGCGGGACGCTTACGAGCTTTCGACGTCGCCAACGTCGAGCTTCACCGCCATCGAACCGCCTTCTCCAGCCCTCGCCAGCTTCCGCGCCCCTCCCCACGAAGAATTGCGCGACCTCGTCCTTATCTCGATCGCGGGCGGTTTATCAGATGTCACCATCGCATCCGAGTCTGTCTCGCTCGCCTCACTCCTGCCTGTCGACGGCTCAAACGGCTTCACCGTCTTCACCACGGCGATTCCAGGCGTTCAGACGCCGATCGACCACCTCGCCATCCTATGGTGCCAGCAACTTATGCAGACAGTTGCGCAAGGCCTGCTGGCGATCGTCGACGTCCGGCGAGCCTCGGGTGTCTCGTCACGGGAGGAGCGGGTGGCAGAGCTCGGCAGACGATGGCTCGGCAGCCTCGAGCTCCCGCCGAAGGAGGACTCGTCTGCGCGGAGAGTCGCGCTGGACGCTGTCGTGCGCGGTCAGAGCAGCACGCAGCTGAAGGTCGGCGAGAGGCTTGTCGTCCGGCCGGACGACGTTATCGCAGGTCGACGAACCTACATCCTCCCCGTCCCGCCTACGAGAACCTACACTGGCCCTCGCGTCTTTAGACTCCTGACGTCCGCATCTATTGGACGCCGTAAGGACGACTTCGTTGAGGTGTGGGCCTGCGAAGCGAGCGGCAGCACACGGCAACAGCCCGACAACGACAAAGGTCGCAGCGCGCTTGACGAGACCGAGGGATCCCCTTGCACCGCTCTGTACCCTCGCCACGTCACGACTCTGCCCTCGTCGCCGCATTCGAGTGTCTCGCCCATCCTACCGGCCCCGGTCGAGCACGGCTCGATCTCGCTCGTCTCGCTCGACGCGCAGCAGCTGGAGGGAAAGGAAGCGATTGCAGTCGTCGTCAAAGAGGGTGGTTCGCCGTGGGTGCTGGCGGAGTTCGCAGATGCGGAGAAGAGCATCCACGTAGTCGAGAAGGGAGCTCTCCGTGCGTTGCTCCTCAGTCGTAAATCTTCGCGCTCGTTGACGCTCCCTATCTCACAGACCTCCTGCTGAACGGCTACAAGCTGGAAGCGCTGCCGGCGACTCCAGCGATGGTGTCGGAGGTCTGGCTTCCCGCGCTCGACACGTCGCTCCTCACGCTCAAGCTTCGGGTCTACCGCAGCGAATGCCAAGGTACGTCGCAGCGTCACCTTCCACAGAAGTGAGCTGACTGGGTCACGGCCCGACAGAACACACCTCGCTTTTCGCCCCTCTCCTGCGACAATACTCGTCCACCGTCCATGAGTCCAAGTACTTCCCGAATGTCCGCCTCGCCTCGCTCTACACGCACTCGTCGGGCCCTTATCTGCCTCCAGCCTCTTCCCCTTTCTCCGCCTCCGGCACCCGTCTTCAGTTCTTCCTCGACCCAACCTGTGCGCGACCGGCTGGACCAGGCGAGACGGCCGACTTGGCCCTCGAGATTAGCGTCGACGTCTGGGCAACACTCGGCGCGCTCGTTGTGCGGTACAGGATGGCGATGGTGACCGTTCCCTTTGCTTTCGCGATGTTCGTCCTCGGCAGGCAGATCCGGGAGTACAACGGTGGAGGTGAGTCGAGTCGCTCTCGCCTTTTCGACAAGCTTCTCAGGTACTTACTATGTCTCACTGGCAGCTCCCTTCCCGACTTTCGGCGCTGCCCTCTCAAATGTCTCCCGGCGAACCTTCCCTCTCCTCCTTGCCGGCCTGCTCGTCCTCTCCTACATCCAGTCAATCGCCCTCAGCGGTCACATGGCCTCGCGCGACCACCTCGCATCCGTCGAACCGGCTCACCATCGCCACTCGCACCTCTCCCTTCCGCCAAGCTGGCTCGCCAATCTCATGCTCGGCAACTCGGGCAGCTTCTGGGCGCCGCTCGTGCCCATACTCGCCTTCGCTATCCTCAGCGTCGTCGTGTTCGAGTATGTCGCGCTGTCAGCCATTGTTGGCGGCGTTGCCTGGAGCATTCGCCAACTACAGGCGCGGGGTCCTGCTCGGTTGCGGCCTTTCGTAACGTGCGTTGCCCATCCTCCTCCTCGTCATCACACTGGTGCTGATAACTCATGCGCGCGACAGCCTCGCGGACACACCCGACACGCTCCCCTTGCAACGGGTGCTCACGATGATCGTCCTCCTCCTACTCGTCCTCTTTTTCGCGCCCTACCAGTTCGCCTACCTCGTCATTGTGCTCGTTCACCTCTTCTCAACGATCCGGTGCCTCGTCTTGGCGCAAGAAGCGGCACCGGCCTCGACACCTTCCGCTTCAGCAGGACCGTCATCCGCCGTCACAGCCGCAGCAGCAAGACGGCTATGGGATCGCTACCACTACACCTTCTCCATCCTATTCGTCCTCGTGACGCTCCTGCCGATCAACGCGCTTATCCTCGTCGTCTGGGTCCGCAACCTCGCCGTCGGATGGCTCGCGCCGTTCTCGTCCGATCACAACGTCCTCATGGTTGTCGGGTTCCTCGCGAACGTCGAGGCGCTCCATAGCGGCAAGATGCTGCAGCGCAGCGCTGGCGGACGGTGCGTGACGTCTCCTCTCTCGCCTCGAATATCGCTCACATTTGCTTCGCACATAGGTACTCGCCAACGGTCACCCTCCTCGCCTTCGTCATCCCTGCGACATACTCCTTACTGTACGGCATTCGCGCCGCGCACAGACTCTACTCGCTCGCCAACTTGTGCTTCCTCTGGCTCGCCCTCGGGACCAGTGACGGCTTCGTCGGCTCGACGGGCGCGAGTCCGACTGCGGGAGACGCCGGGCTCGTCGATGTGCCGCCTCGTGACGTCAAGCGACGGTGCAGCAGTCCGCCTGAACCGACGGACGACTTGGTGGGCGAGGGCGGCGTCGCACGGAAGGTCGCGACTCTTGGGACCGCGGGCGGGCCCTCAAGACGGTGACTTTCGCTTTTGAAGCAGACACTTATGCGGAATCAGTACCGGGTTGTTGTGCTTGTAACGCTGCTCTGCGCATTTCCCTTACGGAGCGGCGGGCGGACTTGCTCACGCTCGCCGGCGACCTCAATCCGAGGTGGGGCGCTCTTCGACCTCGCTCGTCTCCCTCTCAAACGTACTTACAGGCGACCGCGACTGCTCTGGTGCGTCACAGATCGACGCTTGGGAACGTCTGAAACGCCCTGCTGACGCTCGCCCGCCCTCGACAGCTCCTCGCTCCTGTGCATCTCCTCGTCTCCGCTTCCCTCACAACACGCTGTCGCCCGCTTAGCACACCATGACTCGCAAAGTCTTCATCGCAGGCGTCGGAATGACGGCCTTCTCCAAGCCGCGCAACCTCATCGACTACCCAGAGTGTGTTGCGCTCTTTCGCTTCTTCGCGAAGTCCGAGTCGGCTGACAGTCGCACTCGCAGACTCGCCGTAGAGGCAGCGACTAAGGCTCTTCTCGACGCTGGAATCAACTACGACGACATCCAGCAGGCCTTTGCCGGCTATGTCTACGGGTCCGTCTCGCCCTTCTCCTTACGCTCCGTCTTCCCGCTGATCCCGCTTCCCTGCCCGCAGAGACTCGACCTGCGGCCAGCGAGCACTGTACGCGCTCGGCATGACCTCGATCCCCATCATCAACGTCAACAACAAGTGCGTCGAGTCTCTCGTCGCCTTCCGTTCCTTCGTAGCTCACGGTCTACTGCTCGTACGCAGCTGCTCGACCGGTTCTTCCGCACTCTGGCTTGCTCGTCAAGCCATCGAATACGGCATCTCGGACTGCGTGATGGCGCTCGGCTTCGAAAAGATGGCACCTGGCTCGCTCCAAACGATCTTCGACGATCGCGATCCGCCACTCAGCAAGACGGTCGGACTCCTCGCCGACATGGAATGCCTGACGGGAGGGCCGATGGCGGCTGAGATCTTCGGTTCCGGCGGCGAGGAGTGCGTCCCGTCATCCCCCTTCTTCCAAGTCAACGGCGAGCTGACTCGCCCCTCGCGATGTCCAGGTACTGCCAAAAGTACGGCGCAAAGTGGGAACACTGCGCCAAGATCGCCTCGAAGAGCCACAAGCACTCGGTCAACAACCCTTACGCGCAGTTCCACAACGCTCTCGAGCCGGAGCAGGTGCTCAAGGACAAGAAGGTGACGAAGTACTTGACCCGGTGCGTCTGCGCTGCTAGCGAGGGTTCGCCGTCTCGAAATTGACCCTCCCTCCCCCCTTGCGCAGCTCGATGTGCTGCCCAACATCCGACGGCGCCGCCTGCGCCATCGTTTGCTCGGAAGAGTTCGTCAAAAAGCACAAGCTCGAGAATCAGGCAATCGAGGTCGTCGCAATGTCCATGACGACCGACTCGCAGCGTCTCTTCGAAGACCGCAGCGCCATCGAGCTCGCCGGCTCCGACATGACCCGCATCGCCGCAAAGGAGGCGTTTGCCAAGGCCAAGATCACGCCCGACGATGTCCAGGTCATCGAGCTGCACGACTGCTTCGCCGCGAACGAGCTTATGACCTACGATGCGCTCGGCCTTAGCCCGCCTGGCAAGGCGCATGAGATTGTCGACCGAGGCGATAATACGTACGGCGGCAAGTGGGTTATCAATGCTTCGGGCGGATTGCTTGCGAAGGGACACCCGCTTGGCGCGACCGGACTCGGCATGGCGTTCTACCTCGTCAACCAGGTGCGGCAGTTCCTATCTCCTTTTCGCGCGATTGAGCTCACCTTTTCGACGTACTGCAGCTTCGCGGATGGGCCGGCCCGATGCAAGACCCGCGCTGCCGACCTGGCGAGCTCGAGGAGCAGGGCAAGACGCCGTACGCGCTCATGCACAACATCGGCCTCGGGGGCAGCTGCGTCGTCGGCATTTTCAAGCGCCCAGACTTCTACCAGCAAGACAAAAAGCCGGATGGCAGGGACCGAGTCGGCTACAACCACGGATGCGAGTGCAAGGCTGTCACTATCGAGGAGTGCGTGTCCTTCCTCTCGCTTTGTCTGATAGTGTACTGACGCTGCAACCTCCTCCTTCAGCGTCGACAAGGTCAAGAGCAGGCGGGCGTTCTCGAAGTGGGCGGAGGCGAACTTGTGAAGCGGCGGCGTCTCTGTCGTTGTTCCCTCGCGCTTCCCACCCTCTGTACAGTTATGCAGCTGTCAATACGAGATCTGTCAGACAGAAAGAAGCGTCGTCGAGAGTCGTCCACCGTTGTCCTCTTCCCTTCGCGACCTTCTCCTTCGTCCGCTTCACTCGACTTCTCCTTCCTAGCTTTGTTTGGCTTGGCCTTGCTCCTGTCGTCTCTGACATACCGCTTCTGCCCCTCGCAAGGCCTCCCGTCGTCTTCCACGCCAGCCCTCGCGCGTCATGGCTGCCGCTCCACCCAGCGTACCGACGGAGCTGAAACCGGTCTCGCCGTACCTAGCGCGGGCGCACGAGCTTGCTAAAGCCGAGCCAGTCATCTCCTACTGGTGTGCGTGCACTCAAGCCCATCCGAAGCGACGAGAGGGCGCCAGGCTGACACAACTCGCTCGCTCGTCTTGACACGCAGGCACCTACTATGCGCTCCAACAGGGCATGTCGTTGCGGACCAAGGACGCGGAGAGTCAGGCGTTCATGCTCGGGCTTATGGACAAGCTGGAAGAGGTGCGTCGACCAGTTGTCTCGATGTGGGGGCTATCGCAGGACTGATTTCATCGCTCTGGGCAACAGATGAAGGCGCAGCACACCTCGAACGATGCTTTCACGGACGACGTCGCAGCCGCGGCGTACATCGAGAACTTTGGACTCAAGCTGTTCTCGCAGGCGGACAACGAGGATAGGAAGGGCAAGGCGACGAGGCGAGTCCTTCTTTGCTTAGAAGCGTGTTCCTCAAGCTGACACAGACACACATAGGCTCACGGCGCGGAAGTTCCTTGCGGCCGCCAACTTCCTCGAGCTGCTGTCCATCTTTGGCGAGATCTCAAGCGAGGTGCGTCCTGCTTGCTCGCCCAGTTCCGACAGTCGACTGATTCTCAGCCTCCAGAATCGCGACAAGATCAAGTACGGCAAGTGGAAGGCGGCTGACATCGCAAAGGCGTTCCGCGAAGGGCGAACACCGACGCCTGGTCCGGCTGGAGGTCCGCAGGAAGGCGAGGAGGACGCCGTCGAGACGTCGCGAGTGTCCGCGGACGAGGCGAAGGAACTGTCGAAAGAGCTGGCGGCGATGGACACGGGCGACAAGAAGGAGGAGGCGGAGTCCCGAGCAGCCGAAGAAGCCACTTCACCGGCCGACGTCTATACGGGAGAGACGCCTGGCGACGAATCCGCCTCCTACCCTTTCCCTCAGCAGCCGACGACTCTGCCTTCTGCACCACCAGACGCACCCGACTTCACCGACGACGAGCCTCTCCCGACCATTCCGCCTTCTGCCCCATCATTCCTCGACGAGGCGCCTGCGCCCGCTTCCGGGCCAGAACCAACCATCAACGAGATGCCTAGATCGCCGACGCATCAGACGTCGGAGCTGCCTCATCCGCACGCGCACGCTGCGTCCGATCCGCCTGCCTTTCCCTCCGCCGTCTTTCCCGCCGCTCCTCCCCTTCCCCCTCAGCCCTCTCTTCCCGCCTTTGTCCCGCCGCCCGCGTCATTCAACGCGCCGCCTCGCGTTCCCGACCCACCAGCACCTGTCGTCGAAGCCCGCCGCGACGACTTTGACCCGATGACGATCACGAATGTGCAGAAGCACGCGCGGTGGGCCATCTCTGCGCTCAACTACGAGGACGTCGAGACGGCGCGGAAGGAGCTGAGACTCGCTCTGGCGATGCTGGGTGGTTGAAGAGCTGCAACCTTGTTCGATTACCCTTGACTGTAATCTGTTCGAAGCGAGCATTACAAAGGTCATTACAACGAGAGTTGCCTCCCTTCACCATCACGTCGCGCCCTCGCTGCTTAAGATGTCGGCCAGCCAGCCCAGCCAGACGCTGTACATCAGCAACATCGCCTACGACAAGGCCCGAAAGGACGGTGCGTCTCGTTCTCCTCCTCACCCCGCCAGACGACCGCACCTCGCGATGAACCTCCCTGACCCCTTTGCTTGTCCTGTGCTGCTTGCTGCCGTGCTCACAGAGGTCCGAAGAGCCCTGTATGCGCTCTTCTCGACGTACGGACGGGTGGTAGACGTTGTGCACACGCGGGCGCCGAGGATGAGGGGGACCGCTTTCGTCGTCTTCCGCGACCTGGCGAGCAGCACGGCGGCGATGCGAGGGTTGGACGGAGAGTCATTCTACGGTCGAGGCTTGGTCAGTCCGCGATCGAGCGTCTTTCGCCTTGTGAGCGGGTCTCGAGGAGTTCGCTGACCTTGTTGCTCTCCTCGCTGCAGCGGATCTCGTACGCCAAGGGCACATCTTACGCCACGATTGCGCAGACAGAGGGACCCCAAGCGGTGTATGCCATCAAGCTGGGCTTGAGGGATGCGAACGAGGAGGCGGGCAACAAGTCGCGGTTGACGGTCTCGGGCGCGCAGAAGAAGCTGATCGACGACCGGCGGAAGGAGAAGCGTGGACGGGAAGACGAGGAGGAGGAAGAGGAGGAAGAAGAGGACGAGGATGAGGAGCCGCAGGCGAAGAAGAGCAAGCAGGCGGAGGAGGAAGACGGTGCGCGCTCTTTCTCTCGTCCTTCCGCTCGACACCGCTGACGCACCTGTACGTACGAAGACGCTATGGAGGAGTCGGACGACGAGGAGGCGCCAGCACCGACGGCAGGACAAGGCAGCGAGCCGAACCCTATACTCTACATCGAAGGTCTGCCAGCGGAGCTCACGGGCGATATGCTCTCGACTCTCTTCCAACAGTACGTTGCCTTCACCGCGTCTCCGTCGAGTCTCCAAGGCAACGTGCTCACACCACCTAGCTGACCTTTTATCGCACCATGCAGATACCCCGGCCTCTCCTCCACGCGCCTACTTCCCGTCCCTGTCGGCGCAGCCAAGAACAGCGGCACCGCTTTCGTCTCTTACGAGTCGACGATGCAGGCGGGTGTCGCCAAGGAGGCGCTCGACGGCTTCCTCGTCGACCGTGATGCGCCGATGAAGGTCAGCTGGGCCAAGCGGGGATAGATGCCGCTCTCTCCACCGGCCCTGCGATGCTGTTGTTCGCTCGTAGCGGGGCAAAATGTATCACCAGACTTTCCCTCCATTGCTCGAGGAGGCGAGGGTGGACTTTGCCTGCTGGTGAGCCGCCTCGTGAGTTTGCGCTCGATGCGGCGCGAGGGACTATCCGCTAGCTCTTCTCAGAGAACTGCCGAGCTTTGCAAGCAGTTCTTCCGGCGCGACACGAACCTTGACATCGTCGCTCTCGAGGACGTCTCTCATTCTCCGCGACCTCGCGCTCACCTGGTTATGCGGCGAGCTGCTGCCACTGCTGTGCGAACAGCGCTTTCTGCGCGACCGCCTGCGACACGAACAGCGCCCGTCGCCGTCCCACTCCCCCGCCAGTTCTCCTCATCGTCGACCTCGCACTTCTTCTTCAGGCGACCGCAGAAGACGCGATCGCAGCTCAGGCAGGAGCTACTCGATGCTGCGGCACGGGGTCAGCCGGAAGTGGTCGGCAAGCTGTACCCTCAGTTCGCTCAGCTCGCCCATCCCTCGACCGACTCGTCTGAACGACCACGACTCTGGCGGAAAGAAGCGCAGGCCCTGCTGCGACTAGTTGCACAGGCAGGACATTTCGGCACCGCTCTGCGCATCTTCAACGACCTCGAAGCGCTGTACGACTCGCCGCCTCAACTCGCCGAACACCAGCTCCTCCTTCTCGCTATGGTCAACTCGAACCGGCATTCCAAGGCCGTCGAGTGGGTCGAGTCGCTGGAGAGCTCGTACGGGCTGCGGCCAGAGCCGTCAGAGTGGAACGTCGTCTTGCAGGGATTCAGGCAGCAAGGGGATGTCGAGGGCATGCTGGACGTCGTGCGGCGCATGCGGTCTAGCGGGGCGTCGCCCGACCTCGTTACGTACAACACGTTGATTGCGGGGCTACTTGCGGCGCGGCGGCTCGATTTGGCTCGCGCGTCCGTCCAAGAAATGGAGGCGGAAGGCGTTCAGCCGGATTTGATGACCAGCACAACGCTCCTCGTCGGCTTCCTCGACGCAGGCGAGCTTGCATCAGCACGGGAGGTCCACGACCGTCTCCTCGAAACGGCGGGGCTGCCCAATCGGCTGTCGTCGAAGGGCAAGGGGAAGGAGTCGTATCGGGAGGATCAGCCGCCAGCCGAGGTCGACGTCCCCGTCGTCAATGCGTTGGTGCGATACGAGACTGTCGTCAACGGTCTCGACGCGGCTCTGTCGTTTGCTGAGCGGTGTCGCGATAACGGCGTCCCGCTGGACGGCTACACGATCAACACGCTCGTCAAGGCCGGCGTGCGCGAGATCCGTTCGGCAGATGGCGGAGCTCGCCTCGTCGAGCGTCTCGAGGACATCACGGGTGCACAGTCAGATCGACGAACGTGGTCGGTCCTGGTCTCGCATCTCGCACGAGGCGGAAGCGACGTTGACGAGGCCCTCAAGCTCTACTACATGGCGAGAGATCGCTTCGTCGAACCCGATTCGGCGATGGTCCAGCCATTGCTCGACGCGCTCCTCAAGCCTGCACCATCTGCCGAGACGCTCGCGCAGGCAAAGGTGCTGTACGAGGATCTCGTCTCGGGCGCGTGTTCATACCGCAACAAGCCCGACTCGAGCATCTTTGCCACGCTTCTCCGCGCGTGTGCTCATCAGGACTGCACCGACCTCGACTGGTCGCTCTCGCTGGTGCAGGACATGCGGGATCGGTCGGTCCGACTAGACCCGCTCTCGGTCGGCTGGCATATCGTCGCGATGATGCGGGCGGCACCTTCGTTCGAAGATGCGTTCAAGGCGTACGACGAGATGCGCGCGCTCGACCCGTCGGCCCTCGACGCCAAAGCCTACAACACCATCCTTCACGCCTTCACCACCCTTCGAGCCGACACGGGCGATGCTGCGCCGTCTGCGTACATCAACGAGTTCCTCTCCGACATGATCCGGTCCGGCCACCCTCCTGAGTCGGCGACCTACTCCCTCCTCCTCCAGCACTACTCGCGCATCGCGGAGCCGTCTCTCGAGATGATCAAGCAGCTTCACTCGCGCATCAAGCTCGACGCCAGCTTTGATCCCGACACGCCGCTCTTCAATTCGCTCATGGACGCCTACTCGCGCGTCGGCGCCTTCGACCGCGCCTACGGCGTGTGGGACTCGATGCTGCTCAATCTCTCCGGCCGCATCAAGCCGGACCAAATCTCCGTCTCGATCCTGCTCGACACCTGCGGGCGAGACGGGTACATGGGCGGCAGGCAGCGCGGGATGCGGCTCTGGCAGGACCTCGAACGCGGGACGTTGCCGGTCGTGCGGAACTACAAGATCTGGGAGAGTTGGGTCGAGGCGTTGTGTCGATGGGGAATGTTCAACGAGGCGGAGAAGGTCGTGTTCGAGGAGATGGGCAGGCCGCCAGCGAACGCGGTGGGAACGGGTGCGCAGGTCGCGCCGAAACCGACGATCGCGACGGTCGAGATGTTGCTGAAGTTTGCGCGGTGGACGACCCGCGACGGCGAGGAGCGGGCGCGAGTAACGGCGGGGCGGATCAAGGCGGAGCTGCCGGAGCTGTGGGAGCAGTTGCCTGCGAGCGCGAAGTCGCTGGGCCGGCCGCAGGAGCAGCAGGTGGAAGGCGGAGGAGCAGACGTATCGAGCTAGACGGGGAGGATCTGCATTTCGCATTGACAGTGATACAACAACAACGAGATGAGCGACTGCATGAGTGAGACTACTGCTTTCTGAGAAGCTTCTCTGTCACGCTGAGCGGCATGCACAGGCGCGGGTCGACGGCCTGCAATCCCGGGTAGTCGAGGAGGGCGAGCCCTGCCAAGCCGAAGACGGTGTGCCAGACGTCCGCCACGTCTTCTGGCCGGTCTGCGATGCCTCCCTTGTCCGGGTCCTGCGAAAAGTGGGCATGAGCGAGCAGACAAGCGAAAGTTAAGCACTACGCACTTGAGCACTCAGGATGAACTTGGTGAGCTTTGCACCGTCGATCCAGTGCGACCTGCCGAGAATGGCGAGCGTAGCGATGACCCACCAGCTGTAGCAGACCTGTCGAAGCGAAGTAAAGTCATGGATCAGATTCGCAATGCGAGAGAGATTGACCAGCTCACGTCTTCCAGCTTTTCTGGTCGGCCGTTGAGTCCGCCGTTCGGTAGCTGCCGCTCGCATAACCACCAGCACAACGTGTCGGAGTCGACGATGTCGAGACGGTCAAGCATGGCGAGCGTGCTAACCGACGTCCAGACTGCGCGACGCGATGTCAGCTGCTGCACGCCAGCGCAAGCGTGACAACTTCGACGCACCATACGACGCATGACTCTCGGCGCCCTCTACTCGCCCAAAGCCGCCGTCAAAGTTCCGGCAGTTGCGGATAAAGTCGACCGTGACTTCCTGGTCGAGGTCATCGAGGCGGCCGAGAAGAGCGAGAATGCCGACGGCGCAGCAGGAGAAGCGAGAGTCTTGCTCGCCCCACTCGTCCCCGGCGAAGGAACCTCGCTTCGGATCTTGCAGCGAGAGGACCCCTGCAAAAGTCGGCAAGGACCCGTCAGGTTCGCTCGACGCCTGGAGCAGGGAGAGCACGCACACGAGACGATCTTGTCCCTGTTGAGCACGTCGAGCGAGTCCTGCATGGCGAGGATCTGGACGGCGCTCAGGGTCGAGTGGATGTGCGCTTCGTGGCCGGGATGAGGCGCAAATCCTCCTGTCGAGAGCGCAATAATCGTCAGGGTGGCCTCAAGCTGAGCACACCACCTCTACGCACCGACATCTTCGTGCCAGCAGCTCATGACCCAGCGAACCATCTCGTCTCGAGGGAGGGCGTCCATCCGACCCATGAAAGCGAGCGCCGTGAGTCCCCAGTACACGCCATTCATCCGCAGGTGTTCGGTGAAGAGGTAGCTCAGGCTGTCCTGGTCCTTTTGACGAAGCACAATCACGGTCAGCGGGAGTTGTTGGCGTACGAGAGAGGGATAGCCGTGCCGTACCTTGTCGAGGGACTGGATGTAGGAGACGTGCAAGTCCGTGAGCAGGGTCTGCGGGGCGGCCTCTGCCTGAGTCGTAGCCATCATGCCAACACACGAACAGCCCAGTCCAGCGGTGTTTGTGTCAGCCAGGTAGCGGTCGAGGACAAGGAGCGGTTCGTCTCCGCCGCCTCACACGCTCTCGCTCAGACTCGACGATGGACGCCGTTCGGGATCTCACAAGCAGCGGCAAGAGCTTTGTCAAGGATGGCCAGCAGGTGCGCCGCCCTCGCTCCTCTTCCCCCGCCTCACCCGGACGTGTCGCTCATCAGTTCGTGGGTTCCGCGCGTCGCCAGTTCATGAACAAGTGCACCAAGCCGGACCAGAAGGGTGCGTTGCCGTTTTGCTCAAGCTAGAAGCGCGTACCGATCGCCGGAACTGCTCGCTGACTTCCTTCTCCTCCTCGACACTGCACATCCTCCGCTCGCGCCTTTCTCGCCAACGACTTGCTCCTGGACTCCTTTCCGTCGCCACTCCTCCATCCTGCTGTCCTGCTTCCCCGTCGACGTCCTTTCGTCGTCTCGAAACACCGTCTTCACTTCGCCTTCTCCCTCCTCCGCTCTCCCCGTCTTCATCCTCACAGAATACCTCCAGATCTGCCGCGCCGTCGCAATCGGCTTCGCCATGATGGGCGGAATCGGCTACCTCGTCAAGCTCATCCACGTGCGTCCGTTCCCACGTCTCTCTTGGTCCAGTCCATCCCCTGAAGCCGACAGCTGACCCTGGATGCGTCTTGCTTTGGTCGCGCAGATCCCCATCAACAACATCCTCGTCGGTGGCGCATAACCTCTTCAAACCCGGCCGTCGGAACAGAATCTTGGAAGAAAGGGAGGAAAGGGAAAAGGCGGAAGTCTGGGTCGCCTTCTCCACTCCATTGTTTGTGTCGCTGCTGTGTTTTTGGCTTTCCCCCTTCTCTCTCGCTCTAAACCTCGCATGCATGTCTTGCAACACCGTTGTACTTGTTACCCAGACACGCGGACGCATGCACCTCCGCTCGCCAATTCACGCCTGCAAGCCTTCCGTTTTCTCTCGCTCTCTGGCCGGCACTCGACACAGAACTGACAGCAGGACTCGACGATCCCAATAGCACGAACGACAACAGCCCAATTACAGACGCAGACGCCCCCTTTACCTTGCCTACTTGGCCGCGACCGCCCCTCCGAGGACCTTGTGCACCTGGGTCCTGAGTCCCATGAAGGACGTGACGGTTCCGACGAGACCGATGAGTCCGTCGTTGAGGGAGTGGTAGCCGAGCGTGCCCGAGGGGATGAGGATGTCGAGGCAGTCTTGCGTCAGTTGGTAGCGGACGGCGGCTTGTTGGCTGTGCGCGTCGAGGCGAAGCATCAGATACCGTCGGGAGTAAGGGATGTGGCGGAACGGAGGAGAACGCACGCCCTGATCGTCTTCAACTCGACCTTCCTCTCACTCTCCTTCTCCGCATCGCTACGGACCCTCCTCGCGCCCGCCTCGCGCTGCTGCAACCCATACAGCTTGTAAAGCGACGAGACGATCGAGAAGGCGATGCCGGTGAACCACAGGCGCGCGGCGCGGTGCTGGATCGTCTTGTAGGTTGCGGGCTCGAACGGACGGACTTTGGCCGTGTGGGCCTATTAAGCACAATCTCGTCAGGAGCTGTTCTTCTGAGAGAAGGAGGAGGCGTGCGCACCCAGACGAGCGTGTCGTTGATGAGGTAGCCGGCGTAGCCGAGCTGGCGGCCGACGGTAGTGAGCTTGAGAACGGGGTCCGAGAGGTCGAGGCCCTTGACGGCGGCTTGGAGGTGCTCGAGAGGCTTGCCAATGCGCATGACTGTGTACATCCGACGGAATTCGCAAGCGTCAACTCCTGCAAACAGGCAGAAAGAGGGTGCAGGAGATCAACGAGGACGCACGCTTGCGCGACAAGCCGAGCGTGCTCTTCAAGGCGTTAAGGCGGGCGACCGTCTCGTTGGAGTAGCCCTTGCGGAGGCAGTCTGGGCGCGAGGAGCGAGGTCAGCTTAGATGACTGGCGGAAAGAAGGCCAGAGGGACGAACACCAGGCGAGGAAGCGCGCGTAGTATTGGATGGCGCGGTAGAGCTTGTCGCGGCCGACTGCAGGACATCTCAACGTCAGTTGGGCGTCGCGAGGATGCGAGAAGAGGACGAGTTGGCGCGGAGCGGGACGAACCGGTAGTCGACCCGACCTTGAGGGTCGCAGTGATGGCCGGGTGGAGGACGAGCTGGTGAATGACGGTCTGCGCCAGACTCTCAGCATCGTCAGCGTGTCTCGTCGCCCAAAAGCGTTGTCCTGGACTAACCATGGCTGGTTGTTGCGCGTGAAGGGCGAGGTGGGGGAGAACGGGACGAGGAGAGGACGGGGCGAGGTGGGAGTAAGACTCGGTGGCAGTGGGGAAGCGAGCGACTCTTTGTGAGTGCCTCGCGGTGCAGTACGAGCGGTGCGATGCGGTGAGCGAGAGGGTCCAAGGTCAAGCCGGTCGCTCGCAAGTTGCCGGAGTTGGTTCGGGAGCGACTTTGCTGTATGTGGCTCGGGATGGGACGGATGACACGCTGGACTGCACTCGCATCACTCGCACTCGCAGCCATCGCACCGGCAACCGCGCGCGAGACGCTCGACGAAGCAGGTCAGCCACTCGTCCTCTCCTCATCAGTTCAAGGGGAGAACTCACGACCACTCGCACGGGACAGCCGTACATGCACGCGAACTCATCGCTTACCGTGCGAAGAATACCGGCACTCTCATGAGCGTCTTCCCGGGGGATGCGCAGGTGCCCACGCCTGGTCTTCCCTTTGGACTGGTCAGTCGAGCGATTCCTTCACCATCGCACGGATGATCGCGTGGACTGACGACGTCTGTACCTGACCACGCACAGCAAGAGTACTATGCGCACTACCCCGACTCGAATGGCGACCTGCTCCTCCTCGCAATGCCCATCGCAGCCGTCCGTCCCTCCCTTCGCTCATCTCTCGACTCCGCTAACCCTCGTTCGCACCCTCAGATCTACCGCAACGCCCTTCCACCCAACGCTCCCAACCTCACCATGACGATCAACGACATGTACGGGTTCGGGAACGGGAACTTGGCGGCAGGGAGGATGCGCGTCGCCCTCTTTGGCACGCTCGAGCGGGTCGAGGGCGAGAAGGAGATTGAGAAGTGCAGGCAGGCGTACCTCGAGGGTGAGTCGCTCGAGTTTCGCGCTGCAGGGGGCTTCCGCTAACCTTGCCCCCGAGCAGCCCACCCTGATGCGAGGGGCTGGATCCCGCCTGGCGGTCCTCACGCCGCCTTCTACGCCCGCTTTCGCGTCAATAAGGTCTACGCTTTCGTGAGTAGCTCTCGAGGGGAACTTGCGGTCGTCATAGTGCGATCAGCCACTGACTCCCGCTCCGCGCCCTTGTTCCGCGCAGAACGGCTTTGGCGACGTTGCCTTTATCGGCTGGGTCCCACTCGACCTTTACCGCTCTTCAGGTGCCAAGATGCGCTCAGCGAAGGAGGTCCACCGCGACTGGCCTGTCCCGCGCCAGCCCGAAGAGAACGACGAGTTTGGCGTCGTCGACTTGTTCGGCGAGCAGGGCGGCGACCATGGTGTTGCGCGGATCTTGCCTGTTGCGCAGGAGGAGATCGAGGTCGAGGAGAAGCGCAGGGAGAGGTTCCGTGTCCAGCTTTCGTAGATTCGTCCGCTTCTTCCGCTCGTTATTTCCGCCCCTTGTCTCGTTGTACTACTCTCTCGTACTGTCTCTCGCATCCCAGTCGTCTCGTATCTCGCAATGCCCTTCTGCCAGCTTCCCTCGAACTTGTCGAGATCCGCCTGAATTGCCCGGACGCCGTCGTCATTCACCTCGTCTTGCTCTTTCGTCGTCCTCGCACGATGCTGCAGACTCGAGGACTGCACGCGCTGAGACCACCACCGCTACTCGCGCGCTCACTGCGCCCACAAGCGCTCACACGCCCGCGCTCGCTGCCAGCCTCCGCGCCCTCGATCCGACCCTCGCGACCCGCTCACTCGCTCGCACGGTCACCGGCAGGGCAATCACAGGGATCAGGATGGAGCTACCACTCTCATGCGCGGTTCGCATTCATACCGGTCCTGTTCGGAGTAGGCGGATCAGGCGCACTCCTCCTCGACACCTCGCATCCACACGACGAGCCGAAACACTCGCTCAAGTCGATCCTCGACAACGTCGAGAAACCCGAGGCGGACGAGTTCTTGATTGCGGTCAATGCGGCGGATATCGATGAGGACGAGGCGAATGCGAGTTTGGTCAGGCGGATACGGAGGTGGGTGAGGGACTGGGTTCTCGAGCCCGTCTCGACGAGCCTGAGGTTCCTCCAACTCGTGTTGCTCTTCTTGCCCGTGCTCGTCACGGCGCCGATCTTGGCGCTCGAGTTGGTCGATGAGCGGAGGGACAGGAGGAGAGGGAGGGAACGGAGGACGAAGGAGAGGACTACGACGAGGTTGTGGTACCTTTTGCTCGTGCACCAGATGGAGATGGCTGGTCCGACGTTCATCAAGGTGCGTCTGCACTCCTTGCTCTCGAGGGAACCCGCAAATTGACGATTCGCTTCAACTCGTAGCTCGCTCAATGGGCCGGCTCGCGCACCGACCTGTTCCCCGCCGAGCTCTGCACCCTATTCGGCAAGCTGCACTCGCAGGGCTCGCCGCACTCCTTCCGCTACACCAAGCGCGTGATCGAGCGGGCGTTCGGCCTCCCCTTCTCCCAAATTTTCGTCGACTTCCGCCGCGACCCGCTCGGAATCGGCGCCATCGCGCAAGTGTACAAAGCCGTCTTGAACCCCGACCTCTTGCCGGAGGACTACCTCGCTTTGAAGCATACGGAGGACCCGGCACCGACTGCGAGACTCAGGCAGACGATTGCACCGACGCCGGACGACAAGCGGCCTCCTCGGACACCTGGCGCGACAGTCGCGATCAAGGTCCTCCACCCGGGCGTCGAGAAGAAGATCCGCCGCGACCTCAAGCTCATGATGTTCTTCGCCAAGGCGCTCAACGCCTTGCCTGGCATGGAGTGGCTCAGCTTTCCCGAGGAGGTGCAGGTCTTTGGCGAGATGATGCTCAGCCAAGTCGACCTGCGCATCGAGGCCAACAACCTGGGTGCGTACAGCTCGTCTCTTCCTCTCGACCCTGCACGCTGACCGGCTTCCCTCGCGCAGTTACTTTCGAGAAGTACTTCATGCACCGGCCGACCGTCTCTTTCCCCCGCGCACTCAAGCAATACACAGCCCCTCGCGTCCTGATCGAAGAATTCGAAGACGCCGTCCCGCTCGAATTGTTCCTCAACAACGGAGGCGGGCCTTTCGACCATCGGATCGCGAATTTGGGGTTGGATGCGTTTTTGGTGAGTTGCGAGAGGGCGTGAGGAGGAGAAGTGAGGCTGACGGGTCGGTGTGCGCGCAGAATATGATGCTCATCGACAACTTTGTGCACTCCGACCTGCATGTGCGTTCCTCTCGCTTCGTTCCCGCTTTCGAGCACCCAGCACTGACGCGACTTCTCGCTTTGCAGCCCGGCGTGCGTCTCACTCAAGCACACGGCTTCCTTCGCACCCACTAATTCGCTCGCCTTGCAGAACATCATGGTCAAGTGGTTCAAGCCGTCGACGCGGAGCATGCTCGCCTCGCTATGGGCGACCTGGCGGGACAAGCCCGAACCTGACGCAGCCGACGCCGTCGACAACGTCAACGGAGCCGAGATCGTCCACCGACTACGGTCGCTCAAGCACGACAAGGCCGCCTGGCTCGCAGAGCTCGACCGCCTCGACGCAGAGGGCTACCAGCCCGAACTCGTCTTCATCGACACGGGCCTCGTTACGCGATTGAACGAGACGAACCGACGGAACTTTATCGACCTCTTTACGGCTATCGCGAGCTTTGACGGATACCGCGCCGGCCAACTCATGGTTGAGCGGTGTCGCGCGCCGGAACTCGTGGTCGACGAGGAGACGTTCGCGCTCAAGATGCAGAAGCTCGTCCTCGGCGTCAAGAGCCAGACGTTCTCCCTCGGCAAGATCAAGATCTCGGACGTCCTCTCGCAGGTATTGACCAATGTCCGCGAGCACCACGTCAAGATGGAGGCCGACTTTGTCAACACCGTCATCTCGATCCTCTTGCTCGAGGGAATCGGGCGACAACTCGATCCGGAGATGGACCTCTTCAAGAGCGCGTTGCCGATCTTGCGGCAGCTCGGACAGCAGGTCGGGCGCGAGCAAGTGATGAGCCAGGCGAGCAAGATGGACGTCGAGAGTCTCGCAAGTATGGCCAAGGTGCGTAGGCGTTTCGTGCCAGCTCGGGAATATAGCGCAATTGGCGCCCACTTTGCTGAAATTTCTGCACGTCGCCCGCCTGCAGATCTGGGTGTGGATTGAAGCGCGCCAACTCGCCTCGATTGCCGTCGCCGACGTCGACGACTTCCTCCGCTACGACACGTGCGTTCGCTACCGTCCCGCTCAAATGGATCCGCCGCTAACGCTCGCTTTCGCAGCCTCATGCCCAACGTCTAACCTCCAGGCGGCCACGCCTTGTTATGTCCATACCGCTCCTCGCCCTTGTTGTCTCTCCCTCGACCGTCGAACGCTGTTCTTATTCCGCTCCTGTCCCGCCGTCTGTACCGTAGCCTCGTTTCTAGACACGCGACTATTCGTGCGCAACTAGAGTTCCTGCGTTCCCTCCGTTCCGTCCAGCCTTTCAGGTCTTCGACACGTCTGCTTCTCTCGCTCGCTCGCCCGATCCGCAGAGGAGCGGTGTACTGCCTTTCATTCTTCAGTCCCCCTCGCTACTGACTGTCGGACCAACTCCCCCGTCCGCCTCCCTCCTCAAACTCCCTCAAATACCCCTCCACCTTGCCCGCCACCTCCTTGGCGCCCATACTCCTCCCAAACGCATCGACAAACTTGTTCGAGGGGTCCATGAGGTAGAAGAAGATGGAGTGGTCGACGAGGTAGTCGTCCGAGGGGGAGGCGTTCGGTGGGGTGGAGAAGTAGACGCGGCTGTGAGGGTCGAGCGTGTCAGCCTGTGGCTCTACCACTGGTCGAGAGAGCGAGTAGCGCATGTCGCGAGGAGCGAGAGCTTGTGCTCGCACCAACAGCTCGAGAGGAGGAGACGCACTAGGCCTTGCACGTCTTCTTGATGTCTTCGTACGAGCCCGTCAGGCCGACAAGAGAAGGGTGGAAGTCTGTTCGCCATGCAAGCAGCGTCAGTCACCCAGATCCGTCTAAGGATTGCGAAGTCCGAGCATCAAGCCCGAGTTCCTGCACAATCCGCTCGAGGGAGGATAACCGACACGCACCCTTGACGTAGGTCTTGACGGCCTTGACGTCGTCTCGTGCCGGGTCGCAGGTGATAAAGACGGGGAGGATGTCAATGTTGTGGGATTTGGCTGCGAGAACACGATGGTCAGCGGGAGTACGGGGGTAGAGGGAGCACATGGACGCACAGATCGAGTCGACTACTGCGGTCATCTTGTCGAGCTCTTCGGGGCAGATGTCGGGGCAGTTTGTGAATCCGAACTGCGCGAGAACGCCAGATCAGCCTTCTTCCCCTCAACGAACGATCGCCGGCACTCACGTAAACCAAGCTCCACTTCCCGAGCATGTCCTGGTCGGTCCACTCCTTTCCATCCTGGTTCGTGAGCTTGAACGGGCCCCCGATCTTTGGCCTCCCGACCCGTGCCGCCGCGTTCTCCTGCCTCTTGCGCTCCTGGACCTTCTGCTTCTCGCTCTGGAAGTAGAAGTAGAGTCCTACGCCTGTCGCGACGAAGAGTGCGCCGGCTTTGAGCGTGAAGGGCTGCAGATGGGCGATGACGGAGGGTTAGCGGACTTGGAGGAGGTTGTGGAGGAGCGAGGACGCACCCCTCCGCGCTGCCTGTTCTGATACTGGTCCGAGGATGGGTTGGGTGCAGATGGGCCCTGGTTCGCTTCAGGCTGAGTCGAGTAGCGGTGTCGTTGAGCGAGTGGTAGAGCGGGTGGGATGGAGCGGATGGGAGGGCGTGCGAGTGAGCGTGCGAGTGGGTTGGCTGTCCGTGCGAGCATTGCAGCGTGGTAATGCTCTTGTAATGGTCAATAGCGAGCTGTAGAGAGTGCCAAAGCGTCGTCGTCGGGTGGTGGTGGAGCGCATCGAGCACGGCCAAGTCCTGCTCACACTCCATCAGCTCACCTGCTCAACACACCCGCTGGTCCAGTCAGGCAGTGCTACACAGGGTTGCACTCGCAGGAGACGCACCTCCCGCCCACTCAAAGCCGCGCTCGAATCGGTCCACTCGTTCCCGAACTCTCGTCTCCTCTCCTCGCTCAACTCGCACTCGACCCACACCACACGCCTCAGGAGCAATGGCAGACACGGCAGCCTCATCCGACGCAGGCAAGAAGGGCGCGTCGACCCTCTCCGTCTCGGCTCCCACCTTCGTCCCCTCGTCAAAGCCAGGGTCGTCGGCCATCCCCATCGAGAAACCCCCGGCGCCGAAACCCTCGCGCAAGCGACCTGCGCCCGGCAGTCCTCCTCTCAACCCGACGATGGTCCCCACCGCGCCGAAAGCGCCAAAGACCAACGCCGACAAGGACTCGACGCGCAGGCTGATCGTCGTCCTCGAGCAGGCGTGCCTCGAGACGTACAAGCACAGCGCGCCTGCGGGCGCGAGGGGCGGCAAGGGAGAGGAGAAGTACAGCTTGTTGAACTGCGACGACCACCAGGGCGTGTTGGCAAAGATGGGCAGGGACATTGCGCACGCCAGGCCAGACATCACCCACCAAGTGCGCGCGCGCGAGCACTTGTTACCATTCGATGCGCTCGTGCTGACACCACGTTCCGCCGCAGTGCCTCTTGACCCTCCTCGACTCGCCGCTCAATAAGGCCGGCAGGCTGCAAGTCTACATCCACACGGCCAAGGGTGTTCTGATCGAAGTCAACCCGGCCGTCCGCATTCCCCGAACGTTCAAGCGATTCGGTGGACTCATGGGTGCGTTGGTCCCGACTCGAGAGGCGTGCGAGTGCCGGCTGACGACTTGCGCGTCTCGAGCGCAGTCCAACTCTTGCACCGGCTGTCGATCCGGTCCATCAATGGCTCGGAAAAGCTGCTCAAGGTCATCAAGGTGCGCTAGCCGTGCTCAAACTGCTCCACACGACGCCGGCTGACTCACTCGTCGCACACAGAACCCCATCACCGACCACCTCCCCTCCCAGTGCCACAAGATCAGTACGTCGCCTCGCTTACCCTTTTCACTCACAAGTTTCAATGCTAACGAGCAACTTGCAACCCACAGCCCTTTCGTTCGACGCCAAGCCCGTCCGCCTGCGGGATTACCTCCCCACGATCCCCGAGACGCACTCGATCTGCGTGTTTGTCGGTGCGATGGCTCATGGGTGCGTCGGCGCTTTCAGCTTCAGCCTCAACCGCGTCGATCAGACACGGGTGGCTGATGTTTTCGATGTGCTAACTTGCGCAGACCCGACAACTTTGCCGACCATCTCGTTGACGAGAAGATTGCTATCTCGGAGTACTCGCTCAGCGCGAGTGTCGCATGCGGAAAGGTGTGTACTCTTCTCGCACATCCTGCTCGTCTCGCTCCTGCTGATCGCCTTTTCGTTCTGCCAGTTCTGCTGCGCGACAGAAGACCTCTTCGGCATCCTCTGAAGGCCTCTCTTTCGTTCTCGCCATCTTGGGTTCTGCTTCTACGTTCCTCTCGGCTCCCTCACGCCCTCTCGCTCACTCGCTCAACTCGCATCCCGCCTCTCGCATTCGCAAATACCCCCGTCGACTTCCCCTGCTCTCTTCTCACTCTCTCCTCCTCGTCCTCCCTCTCGCCCCGCCTATCTCGTTTCCGTCTCCTCTCTGCGTCTGTTCCGTTTCTGCATAGTACCTATCGATTCAACCGTTGTCGTCCATTAGTCCCACACCCTCGTCCCTCCCTCGCCCGCGACTCTCGCTCGCCTGCCTCAACGGCTGTGTAACGTGTTTCCCAATCATCGCCGACTCTCGAGCGAGTCGTTGTAAAGCGTATGAGAGCATTTGAGCGTTGGCCCGCGTCGCCCGCAGCTCCCCTTTCTTCTCGCTCGCCAACATTCCTCACGCTCTCTTGTTCACACCTCGCCTCTCTGCGGGCTCTTCTGGCTCACCAGCACGAGGCTCGACACTAGACACGCACACACAGCTTCACCAATCCGCTCGCGAACGAACGAACGAGCCCGCTCAGTCCGCCGCCGTCCTTGTTCGCCCGGCCCACCGACACTCGTTTCGCCCTCACAACACCCTCAGCGACTTCGTGCAGGCCACGAGCGCATCCACAGACACACCCTACGCGTCTCACACTCGCTACTCGGCGCTCAAACGGCCTGAGGACAGCGCGTCAACTCCCCTCGTTCAACCCGCCTCATCGCACACACACCCCTCCGCACCTCGCATCGTCAAGCACGCCGACACTCCCCAGACGCGCAAAATGAAGTCCTGGACCCTCTCGACCGTCGTCGTCCCGCTGCTCGTGCTGTCGACCGCGGTAGCAGCGACGTCCGCTCAACACTCGGTGCGCGGACTCGCTCCGCACGCAGGCATGGCACAGGTCGTGCGTAAGAGGCAGGGAGGGTTGCTTGGAGGCTTGTTGGGCGGTGGAAATGAGGCGACGAGCGCGGGGCCTAGTCTGGCTGCGCCTGCGACGACCGCTGCGGCGGGAGACGCGACGAGTAGGGCTGTCATCGGAGGACAGCAAACGTCGAGTGCTGCTGCTGCCTTGCCGACGAGTGCGGAGACTCCTGCGGCCGTGACGACCACCACGCCGGCTGCCGCGACGCAGCCGACGACGGCGGCCAGTCAGCCGGTCGCGCAGACTTCCGAGTCGTCCTCCGCTGAGACGACGCTCGCCACAACCTCGGCTTCGTCCGCCGTCAAGAGCTCGGTGGCGACCTCTGCGCGCTCGGCCACGACCGTCACGTCCGTCTCGTCGCTCTCGTCCAACTCGCTCTCAGCCTCGTCGAGCGGCAGCGCCTCTTCGTCCTCCGCCTCGTCCTCTGCCTCCGCCGCCTCCGAGTCGTCCAAGAGCAGCAGCGGCGGGATCTCCAAGATGGTGCTGATCCCCATTATCGTTGTCGCCTCGGTCGTCGCAGGTTGCCTCGCCATCTGGACCGTCATCCGCAAGACGGCCCTCTCCCCCTCGAGGCGCTTCAACAAACGTCTCGCCGAGGTCGACTTCGTCGCTGAACCGACCGACCCGGACCTCCTCCCTGGACACGGCAGGAACGCGAGTCAGATGAGCGGACCTGGTGCGGGCGGACAGGGTGGGTTCGGTGGGCAGCCGCATCCCGCGATGGCGGGTGCGTATGCGCCGAGTCTCGCGAGGAGCGACAGTGGGAAGGACTCGCTGAGGGGTGGAGTCGCGATGAGCGAGTCGTGAGTCTCGGCACTTCCTCTTCGTCGCTTGTTACGGGTCGTCCTGCAGCGGCGGATGGGCGTGACATGGAAGCTCGGGGAAACGGTCCTGACTCCATTCGCTTGGCAGCATGCACAACCTCCCGAGCATCCCCTACGTCCAGCAGCCTTACTACGGTGCCCCTGCACCCTACGCCAACTCTCAGCGTACGTCTCGCTCGCTCTCTCGCTTTCGCCTTCCGCTGACCCTCACTACGCTTCCCGCAGCCGGCTACCCGTCCGAGCAAGCGCTCTACTACCAAGACCTCCAGCGCGCCGGCTCCGTCGCCTCGTTCCGCTCGCCGGCCTCGCCTGCTCCCACACCAGCCATGCCGCTCCCGTCCGGCCTCAACCGCATGCCGACGATGCAGTCGCACCAGCCGCCCGTGTACGACTATGCTGCGCAGGCTCGCGCGCAGAGTAGGAACGACATGCGGTACTGAGCCCTCCCTCGCCTCGCTTCGCCCTTAACGACCGCCTCCGATACCCCTCTTCCCCTTTTCTCGCTTCGACTTGTTGTCTTCGTCTTTCATCCACCCTGCGCGCCTCGAATCTCACGGACACTACACCACACTCGCTTGACCCACCCTCTCCCAAGATCCGACCTCGTGCCGTGCCGCGCCAGCAGACACTTCTCTTCCTTTCTCTCCCTTGTAACCAGTTGTCTTTCGCTTCTACCGCGCTTGAACCCCTTTGAGTAGACGTTGCGAGTCGAGGGCCGCTGCGCTGGTTCGCGGCGGCCTCTTCGGAGGACTGCAGCTCTCGCTTTTTTCGCTTCTCGCGCCTGCAGCGTACTGAGAGAGATCCTTCGAGACGTCACAACGAGTATGCAGTGCAAAGCTACGAATGACTAATGACTGACAACCCAAACCCCGTCTGAGAAGGTCGATCTCGTCCCCTTGTCCTCACGCGAACAAAGCCACAATCCCCTCCGCCTCGTCCCCCGCCTCGCTCCTCAAGTACGACATCGCCTTCTCCGCCATCCCCTCCCACTCTTCCTCCCTGTCGCGCATCTCCCGCTTCCAGTACGCAAGCACGACAGCCGTCGCGACGAGCTTGTCCTTCCCCTCCTTGTCCTTCGAGGCGGGCGGGAGTTTCGCGAGCAGCTCGTCGAGAGAAGTGGAAGGCGCGCAGAGCGCGAGTACTGCAGGGTCGAACGAGCCGTCGAAGGACTGGTGGCGAGCGATAGCGTCGAGCGGGTCCGACGGGGCGGCAGTGGGCTCGGGTTGCTCTGGCGAGTGAGCGTCCTGGTTAAAGAGACCGCCGGGAGGGACGGGAGGCGCGCCGCCGACCATGACGGGCGCAGCTGGCACGGCATGTGCGAGCGACATGGACTGCATTGCGTCTGTCGGCGGAGGAGCGGACGACCCGAACGGCGAAGCGCTCTTGACGGCCTTCATCATACGCCCGAAGCGCGTTTGAGCCTGCGCCGGCGCAGGGGCGAAGACGATAGGTGCGGCGCTCGCAGGCGCAGGCGCAGGAGGAGGAGCCGGGATCGCTGCGAAGGTCGACATCGGCGCTGCCATCCTACTGCGACGCAAGTGCGGGCCTGGTGGTCCTCCTCCGTGGCCGAACGCGACTGCTCCACCGTAGGGTGGCGAATCGTAGATGATCTGGTACTGCGTCGCTTTGCGCGGCTTGTCCGTCTCCGACTCGTCGACGGCGACAAAGCTAGTCTGCGACGAGGCGAGCGAGTAGGTCTTGCCGAGCCGGACGACGGCGGCTTCGACTGTGCGCTTCGTGAGGTCGAGGTCGTCCTTGACGGTCAAATCGTGCTTGCCGTCCTCAAGGTCCTGGATGAGCTTGCGTGCGGCGATAGTGTGGATCGGAGGCGGGAGGTGTGAGTCGCTCGAGGTGGTAAGCTGCGAGCGGACGACAGGAACAGCCAACTCGAGCTGCTGTCCCGACGCAAGCTCGCCACGGAGGAAGACCGTCTCGGGGAGGTCCTTCGCCGACTTGAGGATGGCGTAGGCGTGCAGGCGCGAGCCAGGGTAGAGCGGTGCGAGGTCGCGCGGGGCTTGCTGGATGCGAGGTCGGGGAGGGAGCTTGACAGGCGGGGCGGGAGGAGCCTTTGATGCGGTTGAGTCGGCGTCGGCGAGAGGGTCGACGGATGAGTCGAAGAGGTTGATCGGCGCCTTGTCTTTGTCCTGCGACGCCTCGCATGCCGGGGCAACCGCCTCGACCAACTCAAAGTCGTCCGCCAGATCCTTCTCCTCCTCCTTCAAGCCAAAGTCCAGCCTAGCATTGACGATCGGCGGCGTCCTCGCAGCCTTCAACAACCTTGCCGTCTTCCCCGTGAAACTCTCGCCGTCAACGACATACTGCGCGATCCCACCTCCGTGTCTCGCGATCGACTCGCACATAGCTGTGGATGCGTCGTTCCCGATGCCCAGGACGAAGCAACGGACGGGCTTGTCAGGCGTGCCCGAAGCGACGGCCGACTGGACGCTGTTGATCACGCCGTCGAGGTCCCAGGCGTCGCCGTCGGTGAGGACGAAGACGGAGGTCGGTTTCGACGTGGTGCGCGATTGGAAGACAAAGTCGAGCGCTTTGCCGGTCTCGGTACCGCCGAGATTGGCTTCGAGCGAGTCGACGTGCTTTGTAGCGGTGTCGAGCGTGGACTGTGCGGAGAGCCGTTAGTCAAGCTTGGTGGAGGAAGAAGGCCGATGCGCGCACCTGGTTGTACGGCTGACTGCTAGGCCAGAGCGACTCCACGGAGCTCCCAAACGACGCAATGTTGAAGCTCGTCCCCGTCGACGGCAGCGAGCGCAACAGCACAACCAGCGCCTTCCTCGCCATCCCGATCCTTCCCTCTCCTTCGCTCCAAGCGCCCATACTTCCCGAGCGGTCGACAAGGAAGATGTATTCCTGTCCTTCGACTTCGGGGAGCTTGAAGCGCGGGACGAGGGTGAGTGAGACGGCGGCGGATTGGGCGGTTGGGTCGAGTTCGGCGACGCAGCGGGGTTGGTCGAGCCCCGAGGCGTGGATGGTTAGGACGATGTCCTTTTCGAGTGTTGTGGAGGTGCTGAAGGTGACGCGGGCGTAGTTGCCGATTGAGAGGTCTTTGGCGTGCGGGAGCGACGGGCCGGGTCCAAGTTCGAGCGATACGGGGTGCGAGGGGCTCGCGACTTTCGTGATTGCGGACGTCGCCTCGATGTCTGCCGAGAACTCGAAGGCGGTCTTCGCAGACGACGGGACGTGCGCTCCGCCGAAGAGCGGCTGCTGGCCGTACCGCTGGCCGACGATGGCGGGGACGTGGAAGCGGATCGAGTCGCTCGTGTCGCCCTCCGTCAGCTCCATGACGTATGTGAGCTCAATCTTGACCGTCTCCTTCGGGAGAACGTTGCCGACGGAGCAGACGAACGCTGCGGACACTCCAAGCGAGGGTCAGTCGTGCACTGCAGAACGTACGATTAAGGTACGCACAGTCGGGAGACGCCTGCTCGGTCAAGCTCGCCAACTTGTCCTCCTTGACGGCGTCGTCATACGTGACTCGCGCCTCCTGCTTCTCCTGCACAACGCCAATAACCCTCGTCCCGTCCTGCTTGACCATCACGAACCCGCAAACGGCCGAGCGAGCGGGCACAGGGAACATGTAAGAGCACGAGAGGGTCGAGGTCGAGTCGTTGTGGTAGGTTTGGGTGAGTTGGACGCGGGCAGAGAGGTCGACGAGGGTGGCTTTGGCGGTCACGCGCTCGAGGTCGACGGTGTGAGGTGCGCCGTCGATGTAGTAGACGAGGCCGTGCATTGTGAGTGTTGTCGAGGTGTGAGAGGGAGGAAGGAGAGCGTTGGAGAGGTGTGAAGCTGCGGGACTTGGTTCGGGACGAGGTGGGGAGGACGAAGTCACGGCTCTGTCGCTGGGCGGTTCGGCGGTTGTGGGTGATTTGTACGGTGTTGCTGAGTGAGTCTGGAGTGTGGTGAGCGTGTCAGCGAGTCGTGCGATGCGAGTTCGAGTGAGAGGAAGGAGGCGAAGAGGTGAGCGGGGCTGTGCAGCCTCGTCGCAAACTGATCAAGACGTCGCACGCTCCTCTCGCTCACTCGTGCGCTCTGACTGGTATCCTGAGGCTCACAGAGGGCCTGACAGGACCCGCTGGAACGGTCGAACCGCTTCGAAGCGAAGAGGATGACTCCCACGACCGCCCACTCGTCCTCCGCGAACACCCTCGCACCCTGACAACCGCTCAACTCCTCCTCACACCGCGCGCAACTCGCTTCCATCGTCTCGACGGGCGGCTCCAAGGCGGCTACGACACCGGTTCACGGCCGAGCAAAGCGACCGATCGACCCGCTTCCCCCGCTTCCAAGGGAATCTCTCCCGCGTGGACCTTTTGCTCTTTTCTCCTCCCTCCGCCCGCTTGCTTCCCCTCTTCCTTCCCCTGCTATCGCCCGCACTCGGAATGGCTGCCATCACAACCGGACTCGGGTCGCGCCTCGTCTCGACCGACACTCAGGCAAAGGCGTTCCAGGAACTGCCTGTTATCTCGCTCGCGAGGTTGGCCTCGACGGATCCTGCGGAGCGCAAGGCGCTCGCTGCAGAGGTGTGTAGCCAGTCGCTTCTGCTCTGCCAACCTGCGAGCTCATCTTCGTTCCGCAACAGATTCAGGATGTCGGTCCCACTTGTTCTTCCGTTCGACCCGCTCTTCGCAGGACTCACGCTCCGCTCACAGGCCGCCATCAACTCTGGCTTCTTCTACATCTCAGACCATGGTGTCCCGCAATCCGTCATCGACGGGGTCTTCGAGTTCGTCCCGCTCCCCGCTCCCTTTCTCGAAGGTGCGCTGCTGATAGGTTTGGCACGCAGACAGGCAAAAGAGTTCTTTGCGCTCCCGGCGGAGAAGAAGATGGAGATGGACATGCACAACTCACCCGCCTTCAAGGGCTACCAGCGTTCGTCCACCCTTTCCTCCCTCCTCCCCCTTCACGCCGCTCACGCTCGGTGACGCAGCCCTGAAAGGCGAGAACGTCGACCCGGCGAACCGTGGAGACGTGCACGAGGCATGGGACATGGGCGACGATTCGCAGGTTATGCGCGAGGGGAAGAAGAATGGGAACCAGTGGCCTTCGCCTACGGACTTGCCCGAGTTTCAGGCAAAGTTGCAGCGGGCTTGGTGCGTTCCCTCCTCCCTCCTCTCGGCACTAGATCCCAGGCTGACGGGCCGTAAGCGGGTAGGGACGAGATCATGGCGCTAGGCAAACGCCTCTTCCCGCTCTTCGCGCTCGCGCTCGACCTCCCCGAAGACTACTTTGCCGACAAGCTCAAGAACCCGGGCTCGACGATGCGGATCTTGCATTACCCGCCGCAGTTTGGGCCGATGGACTCGAAGGAGATCGGGATCGGGGCGCATTCGGGTGCGTCGAGTGGGTGTTCGTGTGCGTGAAGGAGACGCTGATCGTTGCGCGACGCAGACTACGAGTGCTTCACCCTCCTCCTCCAGCACGGGGACGTCCAAGCTCTCCAGGTCCTCAACGGCGCAGGAGAATGGGTCGAAGCGCCTCCCAAGCCGGGCACATTCGTCCTCAACATCGGCGACCAATTGCAGTTGCTCTCCAACTCGATCTTCAAATCGACCATCCACCGCGCGATCAACCGCAGCGGCGTCGAGCGCATGTCGAGCCCGTTCTTCTTTGGGCTGGACTACGATGCGGTGCTGGAGGTGCTGCCGAGTTGTGTGAGTGACGAGAGGCCGGCGTTGTATGAGCCTATCAAGGCGGGCGATTACGTGGAGAAGAGGCTTGCGGAGACGTATGTGTAGCGAAGGGGCGATGCGAGGCGTTCGGCCAAGCGGGAGAACAAGCGAGGTGTGCGCAGAGAGGGACGTTGAAAGCGGATGCATTGCGGAGAGAGGGGTGTGAAGTCCAGTCTAACCGGGTCCGACCTGCACAAGCACAAGGATGAGCAGCCGCAGCGAGAGAGAAAGCGCGACCAGGACGCACCTTGGGGATGTCGTAGTGCTCCGACATGTTCTCGAGCTTCTCGTTGAACTCGGCGACGCGCTCCTTGTGCGACTTGGCAGCAGCCTTCGCAGCCTTCTCGAGGAGCTGTGCGGACGGGAAGCGATCTAGTCAGCCTCGCTCGTAGGAAGAGGGAGGGCAAGGCCGGGACGCACCCGCTTGCGCTGGACCTCCTCGAACCGCCTCTGAGCCTCTGTCTTGCCCACACCCGTCGAAGAGCCCGCCGCGCCGCTCGACAACTCGCCAGCCTCGTCTCTCCCGCTGCCCTCGCTCCCTCCTCCGCCCGACAAGACGGCCTCGTCCTCCTGGCGGACCTTCTTGCTCGAGCTCGACTTTTTCTTCTTCTTCTTGCTGTGCGCCCACCGCCATACCCAGTCAGCGCGATGGAGACGGCGATTTGGACGAGGCGGGACTTGGGCGACTCACTCGGCGCCCCCGCTGCTGCTGCCCTTGAGCTTGAGTGCTCCGCCTGGTTTGTGCTGGTAGTCTGACGCTGGCATGCGAGACTGTCGCTGTGCTTGGGCGCGAGGCCCGTGAGGAGGGAAGCAAGTCCTGCTCAGCAGTGATGGAGGTCGTGTCTCTTGCGTCGCGCCCGGATTTTTTCATTCGACGCGGTCATTGTGTGTGAGAGTGAGCTTGATTTACTGCAGTACACGGCGTCGAGCCAGACGGGTGTCGAGTAGGAACCGGCCACTTCGCTCCCCTCCGAACCCGAACGGCTTGCCCTCACTCTCTCTCGCTCGCTCTCTCTCCATCGCAGAACTCGCCAAACATGCTCGCACGCACAACACGAAACGCAGCACGCTCACTCGCACACGCTCACCGCGCACCACCAGCAGCAGTAGCACGGTACGCTCTCCTCGCGACGGAACCCCTCGTTTCACGCCCCTCGCACCTAACCCGCGGAAATCGACTCGCAACCTACTCTCGCTGACACCGCACACGGCACACGCACGCAGATGCTTCTCGTCCTACATCGAGAGCGAGAACCCCGTCTCGCTGTACTCGCTCACGGAGGAGGAGCGCATGCTCAAGGACGTCGGTGCGTGCAGAACATCGGGCTGCCGCTCGCGACCTTGGTCTCCGAGGCTGACTCGAGGAGCGCGCGCAGTCAAGAAGTTTGCGGACGAGGTCGTCGCGCCAAAGGTTATCGAGATGGACGAGAACGAGAAGATGGACCCCGAGATCATCAAGGGCCTCTTTGAGCAGGGCGTACGTGCACCCGTTCGTTCGCTCTCCACTGTAGGAGACGAGCGCTGACCGGGAGAGCGGCGGCAGCTGATGGGCATCGAGACGGACCCGGACCACGGCGGCGCCGGCGCGTCGTTCACCTCGGCGATCCTGGTCATCGAGGAGCTCGCCAAGATTGACGCCTCCGTCTCGGTCTGCTGCGACGTCCACAACACGCTCGTCAACACCGTCTTCCGCAAGTACGCCAGCCAGGCACTCAAGGACAAGTATCTCCCCCAGCTTTCCGAAGGCAAGGTGCGTGGCGCTTCGCTCGTCGTTTTCCTCCCTCAGAAGCATCATACTGAAGCTTGAGTGTCCTCGCAGCTCGGCTCGTTCTGCTTGTCTGAGCCGGCATCCGGATCGGACGCGTTTGCGCTCAAGACGACGGCCAAGAAGAGCGAAGACGGCTCGTACTACACCCTCAGCGGCTCAAAGATGTGGATCACCAACTCGGCAGAGGCAGAGGTCTTCCTCGTACGTTCGGGTCTCGCTTTCTTATGAGCGAACTCGGGCTGACTGGATCTTGCGGATCGACGCAGGTCTTTGCGACGCTTGACCCGAGCAAAGGATACAAGGGCATCTCGTGCTTCGTCGTTGAGAAGGACATGGGCGTCGAGATCGCCAAGAAGGAGAAGAAGGTGCGTTACCGTCCCACTTCGCTCAGGCGAGGTCTGGTCGCTAACTTCTGCTCCGCTTCACACAGCTCGGTATCCGCGCGTCGTCCACCTGCACGCTCAACTTTGACGAGGTCAAGGTCCCGGCGGAGAACTTGCTCGGCGAGGAGGGTCTCGGCTACAAGTGCGTCCGCTCCCTCTCCCACCCTTTCTCGGACGCTCACTCCGTTCGCCGACGCAGGTACGCCATCGAGATCCTGAACGAGGGACGTGTCGGTATCGCCGCGCAGATGGTCGGTATCGCGCAGGGCGCGTTCGACAAGGCTGTTCCCCCGACGTTTGAGCGGAAGCAGTTCGGACAGCCTGTCGGCCACGTACGTCCCGCACATTCATGCCATCCAATATAGCGCTCGCTGACGCTCAGGACGCCGCACAGTTCCAAGGCATGCAGATGCAGTTCGCCAAGATCGCCACCGAGATCGAAGCGGCCCGCTTGCTGACCTACAACGCTGCGCGCCTCAAGGAGCAAGGACACAACTTTACAAAGCAGGCGGCGATGGCCAAGTGGTATTCGTCGGTTGTGGCGGAGAAGGCGGCGAGTCAGGCGATCGAGTGGGCGGGTGGACTTGGGTTCACGCGGTGCGTTCGCGCGTTTGTTCTTCGCTTCTCTTGACCGATCACTGACTTGTGCATGTGTCATCTTGCAGCGAGGTCGGCATCGAAAAGTACCTGCGCGACTCGAAGAGTGCGTCCGCTCTCCCACCTCGTCCTCTGCTTCACTAACGTCCAACGTCATTCCCGCAGTCGGCGCAATCTACGAAGGAACCTCCAACATCCAGCTCATCACCATCGGCAAGCTCCTCACCAAGGAGTACTCGTAAGCCTCTCGACAAGGGGCTGAGGGCGATTCGATATACCTGTAGAAAGAGCCGCCCCTCGCCCTCGGCATGCGATCCTCGCCGGCTTGAGATTGATCTGCAAGATGTTTGTGTCGTCTCTTGATAGGGGTGGCGGACGGCGAGAGTGCGGGTGTGCGCGGCTGGACGTTGGCGAGGAGGTTTGGGAAGGTCGTCTCGTTTGCTCGCTTTGCCTCCATCCGCTCCATTCGACAGCTCCGCCCGTTGGAGAGCGTGAGCACAATCAACTGTGCTTTGCGCTTTTGAGTACAGGCTGTTCCGCCGACCCCTCTCGTCGTAGGAGTTGCAGCGTCCCAGTCCTCTCAGCCCGACCGCTCGCTTCACAACGACATTCATGCTACAAGCTGGATCGCGACTCGGACAGAGTTGGCTCCAGGACGAGCAGGACGGCACCAAGCCAACACGAATCGACGAAGGACGCGCTCGACAGGCCGCAGCCGCCTCGACGCATCTCTCCTCCATCCGCTGGCTACCACTCCTTCGCACCGGCTTCGTTCGCCCGCTGAACCGCCTCGCGTTGTTCTCCTCGTCCTACACTACCGCTACACCCGCCGAAAGGCCAGCTGGTGCGGCGCGCGCGACGCTCGCCGGACGTGTCCTCCCCTGCCTCCATCTTCGCTTCCTCCTCCGCTCACAGCGCGTGGACGGCATTCTAGTCTCTTGCTCGTACTCCTGATCGCTCGCACTGCTCAGGCTGTCCCGGGACACACCGAAGGTGGACCAAGCTCAGTCGCATCGCTCATCAGTTGCAACACGAGCCTCCTCCTGCTCGCTCTTCTCACACGCGCCTCGAACGAACGATGAGCAGCGACAAGGACAGCATCGACACTTACGGCGACGAGGAGCAGCTTGTCCGTCACGCTGGGCGTAGCTGGGACGACTCGCCGTGAGCCGAGGGACACCGTGTCGCTTCCGCTCCGTCAACTCAAGGGAAACCCAGCAAGAGTACGCCTAAATCACCGAGTCCGCCTACACCGGAGGGTTCAACACCCCTCCAACCTTATGCCGCTGCGGGTGCCCTCCGTTGCCTACTTCTGCTTGCACGGTTTCTGGGGATCCTGCCTGCCGGGCGGTTCTCTGGTTCCGCGTCGCTTGTCGGAGGGCAGGGAGTTTGGCTGAGATCATACCGTCTGAACTTGTTGCCTTGAGAGGCGCGAAAGGATGCGGATCCTCTGGCTTCGTGCCGTTTCGACCCTCTGCCCTTCCTCTCCTCTCTTCGCTGAGCGAGAACGAACTGACTCGGTGCTGGCTCGTTGGAACGTCCAAAGGCTTCCTTCGGCTACAAACAGGTGGCGTTCCCCATGCCTCTCGCGCTCAGCGTCCTCGAGCTGACCTCTTTCTCCTCGCAGATCCTCCATCGCACATGGCACCAATTCGAGGCGTTCATGGCCGGCTTTGGCTCACTCTACGTCGTCGGCGGCGCTCGCCTCCTCTACTCGTACGGCCTGTACAACGGCGGACCTGTCGCCCTCTGGACGTCGATGCTCGTGACGGTTGTCTTCATGACTATCACGGCGGCCTCGCTGTCCGAGATCTGCTCGTCCATCCCGCTTAGCGGCTCGATCTACGTCTGGGCAGCCGAGGCCGGCGGCAGGAAATACGGCCGCTTCTTCGGGTTCATCGTGTGAGTGTTCGCGCATTCCTCCGAGTTGGAAACGTCGAACCTGACCTGTCACGTTCACAGCGCCTATTGGTCGTCGACAGCCTGGACGTCGTTTGTCGCGAGCAACACGCAGGGCACGACCAATTTCATGCTCACCGAGCTCGCCGTCTTCAACGCCTACTTCCCCGGCGGCGGCCTCGACAGCTCGAACGTCAAGTTCCGCGCCGTGCAGTGGATCGTCTCGGAGGCGTTCCTCCTCATCGCCATCCTCTCGAACCTCCTCTCGCCGCGCCGCTTCGCCTGGATCTTCAAGGCCTCGGCACTCATCATCGCCGTCGATTTCCTCCTCACCGTCATCTGGCTCCCCGTAGGCGTCAGCAAGACGTACGGCTTCCAGAGCGCCAAGTGGGTCTTCACCGAGTACTACAACGGCTCCGGCGCGCCCGACGTCTGGAACTTCATGCTCGTGTACCTCTCGACCTCGGGCGTCTTGACTGGCTTCGACGCCTCCGGTGCGTTGCGGCCGCCCTTCGATCCAGTATCTCGAGCTGACCCTCGCTCTCGCAGGCCACATCGCGGAGGAGACGAAGAACGCGTCGGTCGCCTCGGCGCGGGGGATGTTCTGGTCCTGCGTCGTCTCGGGCCTGCTCGCCTTTCCCCTCCTGATCCTCTTCCTCTTCTGCTCGCCCTCGCTCGACACGCTCTTCACCATCGCGACCCCTCAGCCCTTCGTCATCATCTACCAGCTCGCGCTCGGCAAGGGCGGTCAGATGGTCATGACGCTCGTCGCCATCTTTGGACTCTTGATCAACACCTCGCTCGCCGTGACGGCCGCCTCGCGCCTGATTTTCGCGATCGCGCGCGACGGCATCTTGCCCGGCTCGTCGTGGATCGGCAAAGTCGACAAGAACGGGCAGCCGAAGAATGCGATCATCTTTATCGGCGTCGTCGCGGCTCTCTTGTTGTGCACGATCATCCCCTCGTCCGTCGCGTTCACCTCGCTCATCAGCTGCGGAGCACTGCCGACTATCGCCGCGTACGCGCTCATCCCGACTCTACGCCTCATCTTCACCCGCCACGAGTTTGCCAACGCCAAGTGGTCGACCGGACGCCTCGCCATTCCGTTCTGCATCATCGCCGCAATCTGGAACAGTGCGTCCCCGTCCTCCTTCTCCCTCGTACCAAGTTGACTCTCTCCGCCGCGCGCAGCCTTCCTCATGGCCGTCCTCCTCTCGCCCCTCGAATTCCCCGTCACAGCCCAAAACTTCAATTTCGCCTGCGCAGTGTTCACATTCGTCACGCTCGCTGGGGCGGTCAGTTGGTGGGTCGTGCCGGAGGACAATTGGCTTTCGAGGAGGGCGGTGGGGAGGATCCTGGATTCGACGGAGGGGAAGGAGGGGAGGGCGCATCCGGCGGATCGTGTGCAGGAGGGACGGGCGGTGGTGGGCGAGCAGGGGAAGAAGGAGAACGAGGTTGAGCAGGCGACGGCGGCCGCTCACTGAGGCGCTTTTCACCCAGTTCCTCCCTCTCTCTCCTCGATCCGAACAAACACCACTCAGTACCCTCTCTATCCTCTCCGTCTCCTCCCGCTAGATTTTTCTTTTCTCTTCACCCTTCGCTTATGTGTCGCGCAATCAAGTCTCTGTTCGTCTGTGTTCTGGACTTTGCCTTTCGCCTTGATCGTGCGCGTGTCTCGCTGAGGAGCGAAGCGATGCAAATAACGTCTCGAAGGCAGCAACAAGGTGAAGGACGCTACGCACGACGAAGAACTCGCTCGCTTCCAAAGCACGGCTTCGCTGGCTGGAACGTGAGGAGAGACCAGATCGTCGCCCTCAGCCGGGAGAACATCGCCACTCGACCCGGGGCCCGACACGCAGTACATAATGCAGGGACACACCAGCGGGTTGATTGCATTATACTCGCGCGTTGGATGCGGAGACGTTGAGGAGGAAGGAGTAAGGTTGGCTTGGACGTGCTGTACTGTACGAGGACAAGTGCGAGGGTGGCCGAACGCTTCGGTGGGCTTCCCAGATCCCAGAGACTGTGAGCCCGTCGGAGTGTCTGCTGGAGCGAGCGAGGAACGGGTGAGGAAGGGATCGCCGTCCATTTTCGATGGACGATGGAGGAGGAGAGTGTTACACCTTGTTCTGCAGTACTCCAAGCTCCATTACAAGTGAGCGGGTCGAGGGTGCCTTTTGTCCACCGGTGTCCGAGGCGGAAGGAAGTCGAGGTGGGCAACACCTTGCGAAGTGCGATTGACCCGTGCTCTGCCTCGCTCGCCGGGTGCGCTGTCTGCGTGTGCTCGAACCGACGTGCCCAGGAGTGCGCACACCGCTGCTCGAACGGACCCGCCGCTGTCCGCTCGCTCGTCCCCCTTGGCCCCGTTCCTCTCGATTCATAATACCCACCCCCCGGCTGTCGCGAACAAGCGGCAGGCCCAGGCCGGCGCATTGCGCGCATTACCACGCCAGCGTGCAACTCTCCGTCGACCAGGACCGAGCCCTCAGCGCACGCGCGAGCGCCGCCAGCGGCCGACATGGCTTCTCCTCACCCTGCCGTTGCGACAAGGCCAGCGTCGGTCGCGTCGCCTCAGCCGGCGGGCTCATCGGCGCACCAGCCTGTCCAGCCTGTCCGTCTCCCGCCCGTCTCGCTCCCGCCGGCAGACTTTCTCGACCCAGCCGTGCGTTTCAGCCTTCGTCTCGATCAGCTCATTGCAAACAGCTCGCCTTTCCGCGGGGTCGTACGGGAGTGAACGACGAAGCGCATCGTACTGACCGTCGTGAGCATCACAGGGCTTCAACCCAGCGCGGCGACAGTCGATCAACTCGGACCCGGTCCTTCACGCCTTCTCTGTGTCCGCCGACGCTTCTTCCCAACCGCACGACTCGTACGCGCACCCATCGCACCAGCGTCACCCGCTCGCAGACGGCGGACATCCCCTGCACGGCGGGGAGGGCGAGATGGACGGCGCAGGAGGAGGAGGAGCGCAGCGGTACGGACAGCCCGGTAACGAAGGCGGACAGGGCCAGATCCACTTCAGCACGTCCTTCCCGCCGCCTAGCTCGCTCGCTCCTGCGGCGAGTCACTATCCGCACCCGTCCCTCGGCCCGCCTGCCAACTACCGCTTTGGCGGTCCCCCTCCCCCTCCGCATCCCACTCAGCAGCCACACGACTCGACGTCGTATTTCGACTACTCGATGCGACGGCATTCGCTCACGAACAACGCGCCGGCGCAGGGGATGCAGCACCCAGGCGCACACGACCTCCCCCCTCCCGTCCCGCTTCCGAACCTGAAGCGCAAAACGTCCGGCGACGACGCAGAAGCCGAAGACAGCTACTCGTACCCTCCTTCGTCCTCGTACCCCGATAACCAGGGCCACCTTGTCAATGCGCCTCCGCATCCGAAACGACGGACGTCGTCGCTCACGTTCGACAAGATGAACAACTTGAGCCTGGCGGAGCAGGCGAGGCGCGACTCGTCGTATGGCCCCATGAGTCCGTGGGAAGACGATCGCCGAGGGAGCGGCGAGAGTTATGCGAGTATGGGCAGTCAGGGGTACTCGGTCCCGGCGTACCTTCACCCTCAGCAGGCGTACGACCAGCGAGGACCGCCTCAGGCGCCTTACTCGACCGCAGGCGGACCGATGCCTCCTGCGCAAGCGTGGGACGCACACCAAGTCGGTCCGCGGGGGTCGATCTCGCGCGGCGGACCGTACGAGCAACAACAGCCCAGCGAGCCGTTCACGCGACGACCGAGCATCCCGAGCGTCAGCCAGATGATGCAGGGCCAGCAGGCTTTCTACCCGGCTCAGAGCGGTCCACCTCCTCAATCCGCCCCGCCAAGTCAGCCTCACCCGCCTCAACCGTTCGCTTCCGTCTCTCGAGCCGGCCCAGGTCATCCGTCTGTCGTCGTCTCTTCGCTCCCTCACACGCCAACCGAGATGGACGACCCGTCTCGCTCGGGGCCTTATGCGACACCGACTTCCGCAGGCCCCTACCCAGGCTCCCAGCAACAAGCTCCCTGGGTTCGCACGAACGCCCCGCCTCCGCACCCTCAACCGACTCGACAAGGTTCCTCCAGCTCGCTCGACCCGTCTTCAGCCTACGGACCGGGCCAAGTCCCGCCATCGAAGGAGACGCCGTACTCGCGCAGTCCCGAGTTGCGCGTGAGCCACAAACTTGCGGAACGGAAGAGGAGGAAGGAGATGGCGCAGTTGTTTGAGGATTTGAGGGAGAGCTTGCCGTTTGATCGCGCGCTCAAGGCGAGCAAGTGGGAGATTTTGAGCAAGGGTGCGTTGCGCCGTCTCTCTCGTCCTCTGCGCTCGGGCTGATTGAGCTTTTGAGCAGCCATCGAGTATGTCGGCACGCTCAAATCGTACTGCCACGAGGTCGCTTCCGAGAACCGCTCGATGCGCGAACACTACAACCTCCCTCCCTCGTCCATCGAGGAACCCCCCGGCCTCGGTTCGGCGGCCGACCATTTCCGCCCCGATCTCGACGGCTCGGCCACCTCGACCGTTCGAGGCGCGCAGTCCCCCTCGCCCGAAGCGAGTCCGGCACCGAACAGCCTCCAGAACGGCTCGCCGTTCCCGTCCTCGTCCAACTCGTCGTCGTCGCACAACCCGCCCCCTGCCCCGCCGGCTCGACCACGGTCTCAGGCGTCTCAGGGACAGGTTCAGTGGCACCAGCATCGGCAGTACCAACCGACTGGCTCGCCGATGCAAGGACAGCCGCTCAAGCTCAAGCTGGCGGACGTCGTCGCGCCGAACGGTGGCCTGCCTCAACCCAGCCCACCGCTCTCGCAGCACTCGTCGAACGCGTCCGGCTCACCCGTCGTCGGCGCCAACGCACCCATCGACCCGCTCGACCACGCCACGAGTCCAGTCGTGACGAACGGCGTCGGCGCTTGAGAAAGCGTCTTTCGAGAAAGCCCGTCCGCTCTGCCACGGGGAGCGGGACCAACGGGCATGACTTATCTTCTCTCTGTACCAGCAGTGCCTTTCGTTCCTCTCTTCACCTTTCTAGTACATCTGTTGGGTTCGCACATCGTCTGTTCCTTCGTTCGTGACCTCTCCCTCTCTCGACCAAAAGCGGCTCCTTCCTCTCCGCCGCGTGCCTTCTATCGCTCGCTAGACTCGCTGTCATTGCATCCCTGTTCTCGCGAACGCACGGACGAGCCCTCCTTTGACCGAGACGAGAGAAGGGTCCGCGGCATCGGCATGCTGATGAGGACTTTGAGCGCGTCGTTCTCGCTTCGTCGCGCTTCGCAGGAGTCGCGAGCGGTGCAAAGACGCGTAGAAGGGGTGGAAGAACGTCTCGAAGAACCGCACGAGCCGTACGAGCGAGGAGGCGAGCGGACGGACCTCGACCGTTGCCGTCGCTCGTCGCGTCTCCTCTTCGTCCCTTGTCCGCTTCTCTCGCTCCTTCTCCTCATCCGTTCTTCCCGCTTGGCCTCTCTCGTCTCTCTAGGAAGCCGGTCTTCCATCCCTCGCACCTTCGTCTCTCGCTCCCCTCGCCCCGCCTCATCCCACACTCGTTTCCATCGCTCAACCATGCGTTCGTTCACTTTCGTTCTCGCCGCCGCGCTCGCGCTCGCCCCTGCTGTGACTGCCGCTGCGTCCGAGTCGCACGCACCGTGCACGAAGAGCAAGCATGTCAAGGTGCGTGACCTGCGGATTTGCCGTTCTCCTGGAGCTGACCTGATTTCCCTGTCCTCGGCAGGCCTTCGGTCACAACAAGCCGCACCACACCGTCGAACACCACCACCACAAACATCCGAAGCACACGACGACGTCCCACAAGCCCGCCAAGACGCACACCGAGCACTCGACGACGTCCAAGTCGAAGAGCAAGGCGTCGCACAAGGCCACTGCCACCGCTGCGCCCGCCAACCAGCTCAACGTCTCGCACAAGAGCCGCGTGCCGTTCCGCTCGCGCACCGAGACTGCGGCGCCGATGACGAGCCAGGCTAAGCCGACTACGACTCAGGCGGCGCCGCCTGCTGCGACGAGTTCGGCTGCTGCGCCGTCTGGCGACTCCGTCCAGGCCATCTCGTTGCAGAAGCACAACGACCTTCGCGCTAAGCATCACGCGCCTGCTTTGACCTGGTGAGTTGGCTGTCCTGAACCCTCGTGAGCCAAGACGCAGTGTTTGCGAGGTATCAATCTCCACGAGCTGCGTCTCGATTGTTGGAAGCAAAGCCTCTTTCCACAAGCTTCGGCTGATCGAGTCTTCCGCAGGAACACCGACCTCGCGAATGCCGCGCAGGCCTGGGCGAACAAATGCGTGTTCCAGCACGGCGGCGGCAAGGCATTGAGTGCGGGCGAGAACATCGCTGCGTACTCTGGCAGCAAGGCCGATGTCGCGTACGCGATCAGCTTGTGGAGCGGTGCGTCCCCGTCATTCTCCGCTTCTCGTTTCCTTCCACCCTTGGAACGCTCGCTTCGGGGACATTGCTGACTTCACGACTTTCGCAGACGAGGAGGCCAAGTACAACTACGACAAGCCTGGTTACGCAGACGCCACCGGTCACTTCACGCAGATGGTTCGTCACTGTTCGCTTTGCTTCAAGGCGCCAAGGCCGGAGAGGGACCCAATTCTGACTTTTGCCTCGTTGTACAGGTCTGGAAGGGGACGACTCAGCTCGGATGCGCGCAAGCTTACTGCGACCCGCTGTCGTTCCCCGGCTCGAGTTCCTGGGTGAGTCGGTCCTCAAGATCTTGACCTGTAAAGCGTTGCTGACAGGCAGCTTTCTTCTCCGGTCCAGTCTGGCTACTTCTACGTACGTCGAGCGCTCCTACGATGTTGCTGTCGAGCTGACTTGAGCTTTGCTGCCTTGACAGGTCTGCGAGTATGCCTCGGCGGGTGCGTCTCCGTCTCCTTCGCTCTTTCGGTCACCTCCTCGTACTGACATCTATCGCGGCCGATAGGGAACATCGTAGGCTCGGACAGCGTCACGACGGCCAAGTACTTCTCCGCCAACGTTCAGGCGCCGTAAAGTCCTCGAGTGCCGTCCTTATTCTGCCTTTCTCACCCTTACATCCTCCTCCGGCCGGCCTGGAGTCGAGCGCATATCGCTTTCCCTGTCCTGCTCTGCCTGGAATTGCAGATGAGATGCCTAGCGAAGTTTGGACTGTCCAGCGAGAGTCGCGAACGTCGCTCTTGACCCGCTTCCCTTCACTCCTGCCCGCTACGCCTCGCTATGAGCGCTGCTGTCGAGGCTCACATGTCCGACGACGACTCTCCTTGGCTCGACGACGAGCCGCACCACCCGCAAGCCCTTCCCTCGTCACTTCACACCGCCCCGAACCAGATCTCCCAGCAGGAGTGGGAGAAGCTCAGCTCGCGATACTCGGATGTGAGTGGCTTGCGCAGAATCGCGAAGGCCTCGACTCTCTGCTGACGCCTGCTCGTTCGGCCAGGCGGGCTACCGTGACGGCATCACGGCCGGCAAGAACTCTCGCCTCCAGACGGGCTTCGACCAGGGTTTCTCGCTCGCCGCTCCGTATGCCCGCGAGATTGGCGCGTTGCGAGGTATTGCGGCATCCCTCCTCTCGCTCCTTACCGTCCCAAGCGCGAACGCCACGAAGAACGCTGGACCCGTCCTCGAGGCTGCTTTCTCTCGCGAGGGAGGCCAAGGGCAGTCGAAAGACCGCGTCGTTGCAGAGTTGCGGGACCTCGTCTCGGCTCTCGGACGACTCGACCCGAACAAGGTTCTCCCGGTCGACGAAGAGGCGGAGCAGCATGCGCGCGAGCACGAGGACGAGGGGATTAGCGAGGTCATGAGGCAGCGGAAGGAGATGCGTGAGATGGAGGAGTTGATGGGAGGACTGGGAGGGAGGAAGGACGACGAAGCGAGCGGGGACAGGGCTGTGCGGGAATGCAGGGACAGGCTCGTCGAGGTCCTCAAGGTCTTTGGTCTCGAGGGCGTACTGCCGCCGAACCGGTCTTGAAGGCGACTTTCCGACTACCAGAGGCGATTCTCCCTCGAAGACGACCCTCACGGCGGTTATGTTCCACCCAAGACGTGCATGCCGGGTTCCGTCCCCCCTCGCCCGCTCAATTCGACGAGTCCGGCTTGCGCAATGCCCGTCCTGCTCGTACGGACACGCCGCCGCCGATATCGCCAGCGTCTTGCGTACCTGCGCAAGTCGTCATCCGCTCAAGCGGACTCGCAGCGCGCAAGGATGACTGGCTGAACGACCGGTGCGCTCGGTCTTCTCGCCCTCACTCGACGTGCAGATACTGACGCGCTGCTCTCCGACCCACAGAAGCGGCAAAGGGTGGTCTTGATACGAGTTCATGAGGATTTGCGGGAGCAGGCGGGCGGTGGAATCACCTGAAGACCTGAAAGGGACAGTCTTCCATCTTTCTTGAGTAGCTCTCGCACGAAGGGAGCCGTGCGTGCAAAAACAAGCAAGATGTCTAGCGATACAAGAGGCGTACAACTGCCGAGTGTGAAGACTACGCAAGCAAGCTGCCCGAACCAAGCAAAGGGCAGGGAAACACGACAAAACCGAGAGCGATAACGCAAAGCGCAAGGGTATCCACCACACTTCCCTCGTCCATCGTACATCCAAGCGAGAGGTGCGTCGAACTACGCCCCGACGAACGCCTCGGCCTGCCTTGCGTGGTCGAGGTTCTCCGTGAGCGAGTCGATGGCGGCGTCGACCTGGTCGAGCGGGACTCCGCAGCCGAGGGCGACGAGTTGACGGTATTGAACAAGCTTGGTCGTAGTGCCGGCGGCCGCCTGACCCTTGACGAGCTCGTCAAAGAGGCGCTTGCGCTCGTGGCGGAACTCCTCGATGCGGCCACGGAGGGCGTTCGCGCGCTCGACGGCGTCAGCAGGAGGGTGCTCAACGAGATCCCTGTACGCATCGAGGTCGGCCTGCGGTCCGTCGCTCGCACCGCCCTGCTCGTACTGCTGCTCGCGCTGGTCCTCGTCGCGCACCCACTTCTCCCATCCGAGGCGGAACCGCTTGCCCATCTTGGCCGCCAGCTCGACCTGCAAGCGCTCCTCGTCGGCGACGAGCGAAGGGTGCTGCGCCGCGCGCTGCTCGAGCTGCTGGACCGTCTGCTGCGTCTCGGCAATCTCGCTCTGCAGCGCCGCAATCGTCGCGTCCGCCTGAGTCAACTCGCGCTCTTTGTCGGCGAGCTCGGCGTCGAACGAGGTCGCGAGGGTGTCGAGCAGGTTCGAGATGTCGGGGATGACCTTGGTCGCGATTTGCTGGCCCGTCTCGGACGAATGCATCCGTGTCGGCAGCGAGATGTGTGCCGCTGCACCAGCGCCGGTCAAGCTCGCCGCCGTCGCGTACCCGTTGACCGACACCGCCGCCGCGCCCGCAACGCCGACATCCTGCTCGCGGAAGCGCTCGTCCTCGAGGATGTAGTCCTCCGCCGTCTTTCCATCGCGGTTCGCGATCTTCGGATCGGCGCCATTGTCGAGGAGGATCTTGACGAGGCGCTTCGAGCGTGCGCGGGCAGCGAGCGTCAAGGCGGTCTCGCCCTCCTCGTCTTGGAAGTTGAGGATGTCGGCGACTTCCTCGGGATAGTCGGCGAGGCGCTGGAGGACCGTCTCCATATAGTACCGCGCGGCGTGCGTCTTGCCCTTCTGCAGCGCAATGTCGACGATGTAGTGGAAGACGGTGCGGTCGTTGCGGTCGATGTTGATCGTCGAGCGATGCAAGAGCTCAAACAGCTCGGGGAACTTGCGCAGGTCGTAGTTGTTGGTGAACATGACGCTGCGCATCAAAGCCGTCTGACCCATCGAGTTGGCGCGGAAGATGTCGGCGCCGGCGGAAAGGAGGAGCTTGACGATGCGAATGCGGCCCATCGCGCACGCCCAGTGCAGCGCGGTGTGGCCGTCATCGTCAATGACGACGTTCGGGTCAAAGTCGGCGGGAGGCTGGAGGAGGAATTGCGGGACCTGGGTCGACTCCGAGACGAAGTAGTCGAGGATCATGCGGGCGTAGCGGAGCGGGCCGAGACCCTGGAGCTGGGCGTGCGCGGAGAGGGGTTCCGGGTCGTGCGCCATCTTGCGCTTTTTGGACGGGCCGACGTGGCTGCTGTCGAGGTAGGCGTCTCCGTCGTCTGCTCCGAGCGGGCTCGGCGTCTGGCTCATCTCGCTCGCTTCGTCTCCCGCAGGCGTCATGACCCTCCCACCACCCATGTACTCGTCGTCGTCCTCGTCCGCAAGCGCCGCCGCCCGCCTTTGCGCCGCCTTGCCGAGCGATGCGCGAGAGTGGACGGGAGGAGGAGTCGGCATCCCTTCAAGGTCGAGCGCGACATCCTGCTTCTTGCGAGGGCGGCTGGGAGCGGCAGTGATGTGCTTCGGGGCGAGAGGGGGAGACTCGGCGGTCGGGACAAAGTCGAAGATGGGCTGGAGGAGGCGGTCGACACCGTACTGTCGCGAGAGGGCGATGCCGCGCTCCATCGGCACCCACGTTCCTGCGCGCGACGTGGAGCATGTCAGTCGTGCGCTTGGAGAGCGTGAAGGCTGCTCTGACCGCCCTGCCTTCCCCTCTCCTCCTCGAGATGAGCGCGACGCGACGGGTAAATGGACGACGCGCCCGACCTCGAAAGTCCGGCCAGCGAGGCCGCAAAGCGCCCGGTCGACCAGCTTCACTACGCAGAGACCTGCCAGCTTTCGCTAATGCTCCCTGCCAGCCGCCGGTGAAGCCCGCCCTTCTCCCGCCCCCGCCAGCCCAGTCCCGCAAGTCCAGCTCGAAAGAAAGGGCGCGACGCACCTTGGTACTTCCCGTACCCTCCCTGAACCTTCTCATGCGTCCCCTTCTGCACCTCGCGCTCGAGTACACGCGTGCGCTGAGGCTTGTCGAAGCCGGCCACTTTGAGGATTTGGGTCGCATTCAGCCAGGCATCTGACTTGCGGCGCATGACGGCGACGCCGTGACAAGGCATCTGTCGGCGAGGCAGCGAGCATCATGGGGCGACGGTTCGAGGTTGCGAAGTCGGGAGTTGAGGTGACAGGGATGTAAAGCGGTGAGCGAATTCCCGCTGCGAGCTCTGCGATTGTACGCACTTCGTAGACGGGTACGCCCGAGTAAGTCGCACGGTAGATCGTCGCCATAGCTGCGGTAGGGGCGAGGGAAGAAGCCGGGAAGAGCTGCAGTCTGGGAGAAGGGGCAGAGTACGGCGAGAGGCGGCTGCGAGAGGGTGAGAGGAGATCGTCAGTCTTCTCGTGGCCACTGCCTCGAATCTTGCGCCAGTCACGAGCCCTCGAGCGCCCTCGTTGGGCCAGTCTCCAGATGAGAAGATTGCGGGACGGGGAGGACGCACAGAGAGTCGAGAAGCGGTCGCGCGCGTGTGCTGGCGTGTCCCGTCGGTCCAATGGCCTCTGAGCACAGTCCACGAGCACAGCGAGCGTCTCTGAGCGTGTGAGGCGCGGTGGTCGAGCGTGAAGCGGCGCGCGAAGTGCGGGTCGTCGCGAAGAGCGAGTCACTTCGCACTCGCTTTGGCGGCTTGTGAGCAGTACTACCGTGTGCATGAATGCCTCACAGTGCAGAACAGTCCAACTCCCGCGCGAAATTGGATGTGTCGCAAGTTGTAATCAGCTACATTACCCGCACTTTGTATTGGACGCATTACAACCTGCCATCGCTCGCTCGCGCTCTCATCGCTTAGCACGCCATGTCTCCGCCCACAGGACAGTTTGTGCCTCAACCAGCAACGCAGGAGGAGGCAAAGAAGGCGCGCCTGCCGCTTGGGTGCGTCCCGCCCGCTGCTGGCGCTCTCATCGCCCTCTCCAGCCGAACTCGCTCGCTGACACTCCCGCAACACCTCGTGTGCCGCTCGCAGATGGCGTGACCAGTGCGGAAAGTGCGTTTGCATAGCTGGATGTGGCGGACGAGCTGGACTGGGGTGCTGACGCCTACGAACCGACCTTGCACCGCTTCGCCCTCTCCCTCCTCCCCGCAGGTTGCTCATCCCCCTCAACGTCTGCCGGCACGACAATCTCTACATGACTTGGAGTGCGTGCGCCGTTCGCCCGACCGAATGACAAGCGCTGACCCTAATCCTGTCTCGCAGAGTGCGACGACGAGCGGTGCGCTGCCATTTCGCAAGAGGGGGCTTCGCTGCGATGGAGACGGCTGACCCCTCTCTCCTGTTCTCGCTTGCGTGCACAGACACGCCTACGAGAAGTGAGTCCGCCGTTCTATTTCCTTCGTGATCGAACGCTGACCCCCTTGTCCACCCTTCCAGGTGCCAATACGAAGAGTGCGCTGCGTTCAATCCGAAGCCTCGTCGGCAATCCACTGACACATGCTCTACACCCGTCCCCCGTCCCCGCTCTACTCGCCTTCCGCCACTCCCCCCTTCGCGTCCACCTAATTCTTCCGCCTGTTCCTCCCGACTTCCTCTCTCCCGCGCCCCCTCCTCGGCGCACTCTCCCGCCGCCCATTCGCTCGTCCTCTCATCATCCTCGCGCCCGCCTACCTCGCCTCTGCGCCACCACCGACAGCTACATCTCGCGCATGAAGCTCCTCTCGGCAAAGAAGGCGGCAGAAGCGGAGGCATGAGCAGCGTTTAAGGAGGATGGTACGGAAGCTGTAGAAGGAGGAGGGGTCGGGGAGAGAGAAAGGGGATTTGTCAACCTTGTGCTTTCGTTTCTCTTATTGCGTTGCCGCGAGACGAGCTCAGATGGAAGAGCTCGAGAGCTTAAGATGCAACAATGCAAGACAACCGACACACGGAGGGAATGCAACAATGAGAGAATGGGAAATCAAGGCGACGAAGGGACCGCGATCTGCTCAGCATCTAACAACCTAAGGGTATCCTCACACGCAACACCGACCAACTCTTCGAAGAAGCCAGCCGCGATATCTTCGCCCGCGAAGCGTCCCAAGTCGCCCATCGCCGCACTCTCGATCAACTCGACTCCGCCCAGGTTCCGCTCGATGACGCCGAGGATCTCGTCCGGCTCGAGCTCGTCTTCCGTGCCCTTCGTTAGCCGGAGAGCGTTGATGTGGTTCGAGAAGAAGGTGATGGACGAGCGCAGGTTGGCGATACATTCCGTCGCGACGAAACCGTCGCCTGTCCCCGATCCGCCTGTTCCGACGCCGAGAGACGAACTGCTCCGGAAGGAAGACTTGGTGGGCGAGAACTGCGAGAGGGTGAAGAATGTCGAGCGGGTGGGCGTATCGCGGCGATTGAGCGGAGGTAAGATGGACCCGTTCGAAGAGCCTGGAGGCGTGACGGACGGCGTCGCGACGGACGAGATGCCGAGCAGGTCGGAGAGAGCGTCGAGCGTCTCGTCGGCGTGGAGAAGCTCGTAGTGTATTCGTGCTTGGGCCGCCGAGTTCGGGAGGATCTGCTCGCCCCAGTAGGCGGCGTATGAGAGCGTGATGAAGAGCTGCACGAAACTCGCGTCAACCTGCGAGCCTGATTCAATGCGTGAGACGACGCACCTGCGAGATGAGGGCATCGAGTCGACCGCTGTTCTGCCTGAGCTCGACGCTATGCGTCACGATAAAGCTCGCCAGCGAGAGCATCGCGCGCCAGACGACGACCCAGTCGCGGGCTGCGAATGAACCTCGTTACTCTCGACTTAGGTCTTGAGATGGAGGACGACGCACCTATCCGTAGCTTCTCGGTCTTGAGTTGCTGGAATATCCGCTGGAGAAGTCGAAGAGCGATGCTGCGAGCGAGGTCAAGTCAGCTCCATCTGCTGCTTCGTTCGCAGACTGCGGCACGCACGTATAGGTGTCGACGTCGAGGCGCTTCTTCAGACCGTGGCGGAGGAAGATGACGACCGTATCGATCATGGCGGAGAGGGGTATCGTGCGTGCTGGATCTCTAGGCGGAAGCATCGGTTGTCGCTGCGAGGTCCGAACGCGCTGTGGCAGTCAGCGACTGCGTCCAATCGGAACAGTCTGAAGCTGACACGCGGCGCTCGAGCTCACCTGCCTGCAAACCCTGATCTCCTCCCCTTCTGCTCTTGCGACCGACAACTTGGCCTCGCCCTCTTCGACCAGTATCAGGAGGATGATCAGACAGAGTCGGGAGTAGAGGCGTGCGCGGTGAGTTGTGACGGAGGCGTGGGAGACGATGTAAGAGGTGAGGGAGATTAGTTCGGTGGGAAGAGAGGGTGGAGCTGCGGACACACGACGATCCTGTACGTCAGCAGACGCACGGGAGGCGCAGCAAAGACCAGAGCTGAGTCGAGCGGACTCACCGCCCTCTTCCCGCTCGCCAAAGACCAGCGAACAGAACGTCTTGTTCGAATTGAGCAACTCGTAGAACGCGAGCAGGACGACCACCATCTCAGGCGGCATCGTTGCGAAGGGCGCGTCTTCGGGGCGAAGCTTGAGCGATGTGGAGGAGGACCGCGGGGAGAGCGGTGGGCGACGAGACGTCGGACGGGTCGGACTGGTCGGGGAAGCGGGAAGGGAGATTGTTGGCGGAGGGGGCTTGCGAGGAGATGTTGGCGAAGCGGATGACGAGGCAGACGCGCTTACATCGCCCGACCCGTTGACCGGCACTGTCTCGTCCTTCGGAGCGTCTTCGTTGTCCGGCTTCTCCTCGACGACCTCCTCCTCCTTGCCTTTCCCCTTGACATCCTCGCTCCCTGCTGCGCCGTTCTGCGTCCCACCTTGCCCATTCAGCGGCGCAGGTAAAGGCGGCGGCGGAAGGTAGAACCCGCCCGTCAAGAATTCGGTGATCCGGAGGCTCTTGACGAACGAAGAGAGGCTGGCGACGAGAGAAGGTGGGGTATCGTCCGAGATGGAGACGTATGAATCTCGAGCGCGAGAGCAGACGGTGGAGACGACATCGATGATGCGCTGTGGGCCTTGGATCGTCAGCCTCGCCAACGAAGCACATGAGAAGCGAAACACACCTCCATGATCCCCTCCTCGACAAAGTCCTGTATCCGCACGACGTACGGATTCCGTGCCTCGCTCTTCCTGTAGTTCGCCAACAACCCAAGCAGCAGCGCGCTCTCGAACGCAAACTGTTTCGTCGAGTCGTCGGCGATGAAGGCGACGAGGGTCGAGAAGAGGTCCCGGCGTAAGAAGTAGGAGGTTAGAGGGGATTGGTTGGCGCAGGCGACGAGGGTGAGGGCGAGTTGGAGGACGCGGTGTCGGACGGAGACTGTTGAAGGATTTGAGGTCAGCGAGCCAAGTCGCTTCCGATGAGCGAACATGACTGACCTGGCACCTTGACGTTTCTCAGGGTCGCATCAAGAGCAGATACCATGTCCTGCGCGATGAGAGTGGATTAGCGTCAGGGGCGAAGGCAGATTATGCTGCTACTCATGCAGCTCACCGAAAAGACCTGGTCATGCCGCTCCGCGTCACCCCCCAAGACCGTCATGACATCCTGCTCCTTGTTGGAGAAGTTGCGAGCAAAGACATGGCGGAGAAAGGGTATCAGGGTCTGCGAAGAGCGAGGTCAGCCTAGATCCGCCAGAGGAGGAGGAACAGGAGGTCGTCTTGCCTCGACTGCGTTCGAGCGGGTGACATCGGCAGGCGGAGCATCCTTCAGTATCTTGATGCCGCCAATGAACAGCTCGGAGACGTTGGTCTGCTCGCCAGGAAGGAAAGGAAGGATGTCAGTTGCACTCGCAGCGGCTTCGAGGAGACTGGTCCCGGCTTACCCTGTACTTCCCGAGCAAGTCCCCATCCGATATACCCGCGAGAGCAGCATTCTGGACGGTCCTGTTTGGCCTGAGGCAGTAGAACTCGCTGCAGTAGCGTGTGGGGAGAGGCGAGTTGTCTGTCGCGAAGAGCTGTGGGTTCGTCGCGAGGTCGTCCCAGGATGCCTGCAGCTTGCTCCGCTTCGGCTGCCCTGCCTTGTTGACCTGCTTGAGCGGCGACTCGCCCAGTGAGGGCGCCATTCGACCGCGGAGTCGGGACGGCAAGCGGGAGAGGTGTGCGGGAAGTCCGGGTCGTCGAGTCTGGCTGGTCTAGGGCAGTCTGGGTCGGCGAGTCTAGCTGTGCGAGTCTATCAGAGCGGTGATCCAGCCACAAGGAGCGTGTGTGTGCGGTGAGCGGGAGAGACTTGTTCGCTCGCTCGCCAGCTTGTCCTCGACCATCTCGACTCGTCGCTGAACGCTCGCTAGACAGTCTAGCTGGGACGTGTGCACTGCTCAAGATGCAGGCTGACCACGCAGACACCGACGCCATCGACTACTCGGACCTCGAGGCAAAGTGAGCGCGCTCTTTCCAAAGCTCATCACCCACGCCAACTCGCTCGCTCGCGGACGGGGCAGGCTGGGACACGGGCTGACACGCGTTGTGGACGTGCGACAGGTATGCCACCGAGTACGTCTCGCCCCTCGACTCGGTCGTCATCCTCGACGGCGCGCCCATTGTCGGCCAGGACAAGGTCGACCGCCTCTTGAAGGCCGTCGTAAAGGCTGCGGCAAAGGAGGCGGGCGTCTCGGTCTCGACACAGCAGATCGAGATGCCCCTCGACGAGCAGGGCCAGTCCAAGGGCTTCATGTTCGTCTCGCTCGACAACCCGACAGAGGCGCAGGCCTTCCAGCGCGCTCTCCACGGCCACGCGTTCGACAAGCGCCACACCTTCTCCGTCGTCCCCTTCACCGACGTCGATTCGTACGCCAACCTCGACGAGGAGTTCCACGAGCCGTCGAAGGAGGACTGGGCGCCGAGGGTGTGTTCCGCCCTTCTCTCCCTTTCTCTCGCTCGTCAGCTTCCTCCGGTCCATTCTCGCTCGCAGGAGCACTTCCGTGCATGGCTCGCCGACCCGGCAGGCCGCGACCAGATGATCCTCCACGTCGGCGACGACCTCCGCGTCTCGTGGACCGGCAAGACGGGTGTCGCAGATGTCGCTCACCAGCGTAATGTGCGTCTCTTTCCCGCCCAGCTTTCGGAACCCGTCGTGTTGACGCTTCCTACGACCCGCAGAAATGGACGGACCTCTTCACCCAGTGGTCGCCGCAGGGAACGTACCTCGCCACGATCCACTTGCAGGGCGTTGCGCTCTGGGGCGGCGCCTCGTTCGAGCGCATCAACCGTTTCGCGCATCCCGAGGTCAAGCTCATCGACTTCTCGCCCTACGAGCGCTACCTCGTCACCTGGTCTCCCCGCCCGATCGAGCCCTCCAACTCGCCTCTGTCGCCCTTCACGGACGAGGATGCCGGCAACAACGTCGCCGTCTGGGACGTCGTCACGGGCCAGCTTGTCCGCACCTTCCCGATGGTCGGCGTCTCGTCTGACCCGGCAAACGAGCTCAACAAGCGCGTCACCTGGCCCATGTTCAAGTGGTCGCCGGACGAAAAGTACGCTGCGCGCGTCACGCCCGGCCAGCAGATCTCCGTCTACGAGACGCCCTCGCTCGGCATGCTCGGCAAGAAGAGCATCAAGATCGAGGGCGTTGTCGACTTTGAGTGGGCACCGATGAACGACCGCGAGCGCGAGGCGCTCGAGGCGGAGCGCAACGGCTCGGCCAAGCCTGGCTCGTTTGTCCGCGAGAACAAGATCGCGTTCTGGATGCCCGAGGTCATGAACCAGCCGGCGCGCGTGTCCCTCATGAACCTCCCCAGCCGCGCCATCATCCGGTCGAAGAACCTCTTCAACGTTCACGACGTGCGTTGAGCTGTCTTCGTCCCTTATGTGTACACCAGACTGACTCGCTTGCCGTGGATAGTGCAAGCTGCATTGGCAGTCGAACGGCGACTTCCTCTGCGTCAAGGTCGACCGCCACACCAAGACGGGCAAGACCAAGTACTGCAACCTCGAGCTGTTCCGCTTGCGCGAGAAGGACGTTCCCGTCCAGGTCATCGAGATGAAGGACACGGTGATCGCGTTCGCGTGGGAGCCGGCAGGCCAGCGTTTCGCGCTCATCACCTCGAACGACCCGTCGCTCGCCAACCCCACAATCGGCCAGCTGCCCAAGACGACCGTCCACTTCTACGGCTTTGACCAGCGCAAGGGCGACTTCCTCCTCCTCCGGACGTTCGACGCCAAGAACGCCGCCGAGCAGAAGTACCTCAACAACGTGTACTGGTCGCCCAAGGGCCGCCACTGCCTCATCGCGACGCTCGGAAGCACGACCAAGTTCGACATCGACTTTTACGACATGGACCTCGACCGCGACGAGTCGTCCAAGGCGCCCGAGAAGGACGCCGGCGAGGCCATTCGCCTGATCACCAGCGTAGAGCAGTACGGCTTGACTGACGTCGAGTGGGACCCGTCCGGCCGCTACGTCGCGACCTACGGCAGCATGTGGATGTCGTCGGTGCGTTCGAGCGTCTCGCTGGCTGCTCGTTGCCGTTCGAGCTAACCTTCTCCCGCCCGCAGATGGAGCCGGGCTACTCTATCTGGGACTTCAAGGGTGTCAAGCTCGAGGAGACCAAAGTCGACCGGTTCAAGCAGCTCCTGTGGCGCCCCCGCCCGCCTACGCTCCTCTCGCGCGAGCAGCAGAAGCAGATCCGCAAGAACCTGCGCGACTACTCTCGGCAGTTCGAGGAGCAGGATCAGCTCGAGCTCGCGAACGAGAACTCGGAGCTTGTCGAGCGCCGGACGCGCCTCCTCGACGAGTGGAACGCGTGGCGGAGGGAGTGCCAGGACATGCTCGAGCGGAGGCGGAAGGAGCTCGGCAAGCCTCCCAAGGCGTCGCTTGTCAAGGCCGAGGAGGCGGCCGAGGCGGACGAGGAGGTCGAGGAGTGGCAGGAGGAGGTCATCGAGGAGAAGGTCGAGGTTGTCGCCTGAGGACGGGGCGCGTGATTCCGCTGTACTCTTGTTTGCGCGCGCAAAGCATTCTTCGCATTTGCAGTCGTCTCTGTGCGTAGTCTTCGACGTCGACAGGGAGAACGACCCGCGACCGAACGAGCTGCCGATCTCCGACGACGTCTGCTTGGACTTGGACCGCTCGCTACGCTACTCGCTTGTAATGGTTGCTGCTGCAGAGGGATCGCAGGGCAAGGCCTGGGCGACGCTGCTCACCAAGACGAGCTACCTCCAAGGCGCCCTCGTCCTCGCCGACTCGCTCGCACGGCACCGATCCAAGTACCCGCTCGTCGTCTTCGCCACGCAGGAGCTGCCGCAGGTCGCGAGGGACATTCTCGATGCCAGGGGGATCAGGATCAGGGACATCGACTACCTCGAGCCGCCCAAGGAGAACCGCGGCGAGTTGGACGAACACGATCGCAGGTTCGCCGACACCTGGACAAAGCTGCGCGTGTTCGAGATGACAGAGTTCGAGGTGCGTACCGTTGTCTCATACAGGACGCAAGCTGCGAGCAGATGCTGTTCCCGCTCGACAAGCTCTCGCTGACCTCTTCAACGCTCACAGAGGCTGGTCCTTCTCGACAGCGACATGCTGTGCGTGCGGAATATGGACGAACTGCTCGAGATGCCGCTCGACGATGGCTGGATCGCTGCCGCACACGCCTGCACTTGCAACCCTCGCAAACTCGCTCACTACCCGAAAGAATGGTCAGTCGGGCGTTCGGCTCACTCTCGGCTCGCACACCGTCGCTCACACTGTCTCTACAGGATACCCGAAAACTGCGGCCATACCCAAGCCCGCCTGACTACCCCTCTCGCTCCCTCCGACTTCTCCAAATCCACCCACGACCGGCTCAACTCCGGCCTCGTCGTCCTCCGCCCCTCCCGTTCAACCTTCGACGGCATCGTCTCCTTCCTCAACACCGACCCGCGCGTTGCGACCTACAAATTCCCCGACCAAGACCTCCTCGCCGATTTCTTCAAAGACCGCTTCCTCCCCATCTCGTACCGCTACAACGCGCTCAAGACGCTGCGGTATTGTCATGCCGAGATGTGGCGAGACGAGGACGTCAAGAACGTTCACTTTATCCTCAAGAAGCCGTGGTACTATACGCTGCCGGAAAGCGATCCCGATTACGAGGTGCACGCTTGGTGCGTCCGCTCTCTTGCTTCCTTCAGCTCATCTCTGGGCTGACGCACTCGCTTGCAGGTGGTGGAAGGCTTTCGACGAGCTCGAGGCCTCCTGGGGCGATGCGCCTCATTGGGACGAAATTGCGGCGACAGTCAACCGCGAGCCGCGACGAGACGATCTCAACTAGACGGAGGGCTTTCTTGGGAGAATGAGGAGGTGATATCTATCGATTGCAATGCTTTGCGTATCACTCGCTCGCTCGTCAAGGTCGCCAGCTGATGAGGACTTCGTCTGTTCGGAACCTGCGAGAGTGGTGGAGTCAGCGTGACATCCAGCGAGTCAAGTGAGATGGGGCGCTCACCGCTGCGTACACGACGTCTTCTCCAGCGGCGTCTCGTAGCCCATTCGGTAGCTCAGCAGCCCCGCATGCGCAATCATGATACCGTTGTCGATGCAGAACCTGCTCGAGCACAGCTCTGTCAGCAGAAGCGCTAGAAAGAGAGTATGGTAGAGCGGGGCGCACCGCTCGTCTGTCGCAAAGATGCTCCCACCTCGCTCGCCGACCATAATTTCCATCATTTCCTGCAATCGTGCGTTGGCTGCGAGACAGTACTCAGCGCCCGTCAAAAGACTTGGTCGAGCGATCAGCGACTCACAGCCGACACCTCCGACAATCAAGACCTCCTTTCCACCCGCATGAGCCATCGCCCGCTCCGTGATCTCGACCAACATCGCAAACACCGTCTCCTGTAGCGAGAAGCACAAATCTGCAGGCGTTATGATGTCCTCCTCATCCTCCGCAACAGGCGGGACGTCATCCACCGATCCTGCGTCTGCGTCGGAACCCGCTGTTCGGTCCGCCGCAAGCCCGATATTCTGCAACGCCGCCTGCGGTCCTTCCCCCTCCGCCCTCCGCCGCCGCTCCTCCTGCGCAACCATCTGCGCGCCCGTCTTGCCATTCACGGGCGTCGCTTGTCCAGTCGAGGCAGGTTTGGGCGAAGCGGAGGAAGAGGTAGGTCGGAAGCGAGGGTCGCGGGTATAGGCTTCTGCGGCGTGCAGGATACCGCCGAGCATGATGTCCATGCCTTTTGTCGCGTAAGGGATTGGGAGTAGTCGTCGGCCTCTGCGGGATCAGGCGTTAGCATGAAAGGCAGAGACTCGAGGGGAACTTGGACTGACTTCTTCGCCTCCTTCTCGATATTGGCGCCCGGACTAGGGTCATTGCTCAACCCGATAATGCGCGCGAACCTGGTCGCGCAAGGAGTCAGCGGGAGTCTTAGGCGAAACGTACGAGAGCAATGCACCGATCCAGGCAATTGCCCACCGCGATGTCGAGCGTCTCGCCAAAGATACGATACCGCTGCTGCGAATAAGCGATCACTTGGGTGTTGCCGCCTGAGACGTAGAGGACGATAGGGGAGGGAGAGGCGGTGATCAGGCGGCCGGTCTCGATGTCTGCTCGACGGAAGAAGAAGTCAACACGGGGTCGATGGTTGGAATGAACGCTCGACGCACGTCCGACGCAATGATTGACACCGACGAGAGGCTTGTTGTACATCAGGGCGAGCGTGCGGGCGACGAGAGCGACCGTCTGGAGGGGAGCGCCCATTCCGGGACCTGCAAAGCGGACGCAAGGTCAGTCGGTTCCTCTTGCGCTGGACTGGTGACCCACACACCCTTTGTGAAGCACACGACGTCCACATCTTCCATCGTCTTGCCTCCCTCCTGCAAAGCCTTCTCGACAACCTCGCTAATCCACCTCTTGTGGTGCCGTGCCGTATCGCTCGGCAAGAACCCCTCCCCAGGTGGCGTGACATACGTATGCCGGATGTTTGACAGGATCGAGACGGTCGCAGGGTCGCCTATTGCTGAGGGTGTACCTTGAGCTGATGAAGATGGCGGAGAGTGAAGGATGAGGCCGACGCCGAGCTTGTTGGCGGATCCTTCGAGACCGAGGGCGAGCAGAGGACGGGGAGGAGCGGGCAAAGGGGTCGGAGCTTGTTTCCTGCGGGTTGGCATCGTGACAGCGGGTGGTCGAGGTCAGAGAGGTTGGCGGAGAGGAGAGTTGGCTCTCTACATCTCGCTCGCTCGCCAGAAACAGCTTTTGCGATGTCTACCTTGCTCGATCTAGCCAACTTGGACCTCGCTAGCACGCCCGGCGCCACCCCGAAGCCTTCCTCAGCCCCAGCTCCTTCTGCTCTCCCGCCCGTCATCCCGACCGCTCAGCGCGCTCGCTCAATCAATGGGCAGCAGACAGACGTGCTTGTGCAGCTCTTTGCGGACAGGGTCGTCGTGGTCGTGACGCAGATGGGCAGGATAGGCTGCATGGTGCGTTACCCTCTCCTGGACTCGCATTGATGTTCGGCTGAAGAAATCGCCTCTTTCCTCGCAGATCCAAGTCTCGCCCCCTCCTTCCTCACTCTCCATGCTTCCCCCAATGCCTCCACCAACACACCTGCCTTCCGCCCCTCCCCAGAATCCACTCGCCGCGCTCCCCCGCCCCGACCCCTCAAGCATCCTCACACCCCTCTTCGGCGTCCCTCCCTCTCCACATCTCTCCTACCTGCACGACCTGTACGCCTCGCAGATCGGGGCGATCGTCTTTCGGAAGATGGGGGGAGGGGATGTGCTAAGTGGAGGAGCGAAGCCTGTTGTGCTGGGTATTGGGTTGAAGCAGCGGGCGAGCGGGGCGGAAGGTGAGGATGAGGACGATGTGGAGTTGACGCAGGCGGAGAGGGAGACGTTTGCGCAGGTTATGGAGATGGTGGGCGAGTGTCTGGGTTGAGGAGGACCTCGACTCTCGACTCTCGTACGTCTCGCTCTTCCTGCGAACTGCCCACTCCGACAGCGTGCTGACGAGTCCGTTGCGGTGCAGATATACCCCCGTACAGCATGCACACTGCATTCCCATACCCCGATTTCACCGTTCCGTCGCTTCCCACGACTGCAGCTATCGCGCTCCCCGCTCGATTCGACTCGCTCCTCCGATGGCTGTGTGGCCAGGAGACGTCTACCGACCCGTTCGAGCCTTGCTGGGCGGACGTTGGCCAGGATCAGAGCGGAGTCCGCTTTCTCCTCTTTGCCGACTCTCGCTTCGAGGTGGCTGGTCTACTTTCTCAGCTATGCAAGTCATTCCCGCTTCTAGCTCTATAGACGCACGTAATGAAGCTGTAGCTGGAGCGCGATAACGACGTTGGCGGCTCCACGGCCGGACGAGCAACCCGCGCGGGGTCGACGTCGGCGACTCCTCGCTCGCTCGACTTCACTCGCTCTGCTCGGAGTGTGCTGCTGCCAACGATGCACGCACTGCTAGATCCATACAAACCACCAGACAACTCACCCGCATCAAACTCGCTCGCTCTCCACCTCGACTCGTTCTATCTCGGACACACCGCGGACCACCAACGGCGCTCATCACGGCGACGGGGCAGGATGGGCTCGGAGAAGACGAGTGGAGTCGATGGGGACACGCTCGCACGGTCAGACCCGCCAGCGAGCAAGGGTCGCCGCTCGCCTGATCTCGTCCGCTCGTCTCGCTCGGCCACTCCCCAAACAGCGAAGCGACCGCCACTCCCGCCGCGCTCGCTCTCGAGACGCAGGTACAAGCTGCCTGAACCAGCAGCAGACGAATGCTGTGCGTGCTGCTGTACAGAGGCCGAGATGGGCGAGGATGTCATGGTCGGCGACGGAGGAGAGCCGGGTCTTCCTGCGGGTCGGCGAGCGTCGAGTGAGGCCGCCGCGCCGAGTAGGAGGTCGAGTACGGACAGCGAGCCTGGGGCGGACGACGCGACGAGCGCGATGACCTCCAGCAGCGAGTCTGTCTCGCTCGTCGCCAGCCTCGCTCCGTCGTCAATGTCCACCGTCCGCACCAAGCTGTTCGAGTCGGACGACGAGGACGACGACGGGGATCTGGACGACCGCGATGTGTCGTTCTTCACGCCCTCGACGCCCGCCTCACTCACGACGTCACCCCTCTCTCGCAAGTCGTCCATCTCGAAGACCGCCAAGTCGGATCCGCTCCTCGCGCCTTCCACCTCGCCAATTCTATCGTTCAAGGTCTCGCCGCAAGGGCACTGGATGCCTGCGCCAGCCGCGCCAGTCACAGAATGCGTATTGAGCGAGCTGGACTTGCCGGACGTCGTCAAATCCGCCTCCTCCTTATCGACGCCGCCTTCGTCCCCTCCTCGCGCATCCTCCTCTCCACCATCATCCCGTCCCTCGCTCCTCACCAAATCCCTCCGCTCTCTCTCGCGCCTCCCGAACCTCACCCTCCCGCGCTTCTCCAGCCCAGACTCGTACATCCCCGCCGCCCTCCTCCCCTCCGCCGCAGCGGACCTCGCAACCCTCCCACCAGGCTGGGGTCCCGCCGAGCGACGACGCGTATTGGCTGCCGAACCGTCGCATGCGGCGGACGAAGCCAGAGGGTTCAGTATCTCCCTCAGGAGGCGGAAAGAACCGTTCTTGAGAGCGCCGCCGCCGTCGCCGGTTGATGAGGTCGAGGCGGCGGGGATGTTGTGGGGCGCTGAGGAGCTTGATTTGCGGGAGAAGGAGACGGGCGACGAGGTCGCGGGCGCGAAGGTTGCGGTTGAGGATGCGCCGTCTGCGCAACCGGCTAGTCCGACGGACGACATTTCACCTCTACCGCCCTCGTCTACAGCGCCGTCTGTCGCGCCAGCCGCGACGACTCCTCCGGACCCCTCCTCCTCAGCCGCTTCGGTCTCGCCTCCCCAGCCCGTCCCGCGCTTCATCTCGAACCACCGCCACCTCCTGATGCTCTCCCTCGAGTTTGAGATGATGCGCCACGCCAAGATCCGCGGTCCGCTCAGGCAGCGCGCGGTTATCGTTCGTCAGGCGAGTCCGCCGCGGAAGGATGGGAGCGCGACGACGGCGAAGGAGGGGAGCAAGTTGCGGCAGGAGGTGTGTGTGTGAACCGTGTTGGGTTTGTGTTAGTACTTCGTCTCTCGTTTGTCGTTGTTGGGCGTAGTCGTCTTTCGTTCACTTTCCTCTCCCTCTTGTCTCGTCTCGCTTCCCTCGCCTGTTGTTGTCTCTATCGCGATACACCGGCTTCTCTCTTACATTCCTGTCATGTTATCGCGTTCGCTTCGATCCCGTCCAGCGCAAAAGAGAGCAACCTCACACTTCGCCTCTTCTTGCGACGCTCCGGCCGGACTCTGTCTGCGACGCTTCATCGCTCTCATCGCTTACCTCGCCCAGCGCCTGACCAGCTCCGACCATGTTTGTCGGTACGTCTGAACCCGCTCACTATGCACACCACAGCGCTCACGCTCGTCCTCTCCCTCCCCCACCGCGTCACCTCGCCCCACCTCATGCTCACCCCCTGCCCTCTCAGCCGCCGCCAAAGCCGGCATAACGATGCTCAAAGACGGCAACATCGGCGAGAAACCTCGCTCGTCCATCTCGGACTTGATCGACATCCTGTGTCTGGAGCGGTACGAGGAGGACAGTTATGAGGGACTGGCGGAGTTGGTCGAGAGCATCAATCTGCAGCCGCATACTGGGTGCGTCGGCGTCTTCTCCTGTTGGTGTCCGCTCTCGTCTGGACAGGCGGCGGACGGCCAGCGGAATGCGAACGGCAACTCACTCTCCTTATCCTGCAGACCTGCCGAGGCTTCGCGCGCTATCCGCAAGAAGGTGCGTCTTGCCGAGGACAGAGTCTCCTTGTAGCTTCCCGTGCCAGACAGAAGTCAGAGCGAGGCGGCTAACGGTACTCTTCCTCGTGCGACAGCTCAAGTACAGCAACATCCATGGCCAGCTTCGCGCGCTCACGATCCTCAAGACGATCGTCGAGAACGGCGGTTCACGCTTCCAGAGTCCGCCTCACCCTCCGTCCTCCCCCGAACTCGCACTGAACCTTCTCGTCCGCCCGCAGCCACCTTCGCCAACGACCGCCTCGTCGACCGAATCAAAGTGATGGCCGGCGACCCTCACACCGATCCCAAGGTCAAGAAGAAGCTCATGCAGGTGCTCGGGAGCTGGTATGTCCAGTTCAAGGACGACCCGAAGATGCAGCTTGTTGCGGGCTTGTACAAGAGTTGTGGAGGGGGGAAGACGGTGAGTCACGCGATTCTGGCCGTACTCCCACTGGCTTCTCAAATGTTGAAGCGAGGTCGGAGTGCTGAGTGCCAATGTCTCGACTTATCCTCTCGTCCCCTCAGCAACCGACCCGCTCCGCCGCAACCGACGCCTACGAAGCCCAACAAGCGCGCTACGAGCGCGAGGCCGCCCTCCGTGCCGAGCGAAAAGAAGCCGAGCGTCGCGCGCGCGAGGAGGAGAAGGCGAGGAAGGAGGCGGAGAAGGCGAAGAAGGCGGCGGCGATGAGGAGTGCGACGGCGCAGGGTGGGGCGAACAGGCGGAGGGTCAAGTTCAACTTTGAGCAGGTGCGCAGGGCTTCGCTGAGTCTCCCCAAGCTACTTGTACTGACGTGAGCGTGCTTGCGCAGGAGAAGCCGAAGATCATGGCTGCCGTCGGTCAGGGCACGCAGTCGGCTCAAGCGTGCGTCACCGCTTCGAGTTTCTGCATTTCCTCCTACTCACGCCTCGGTTTCTCAGTCTCGTCAACGCGCTCCAGCACGTCAACCGCGAGAAGGAGTCGGTCAAGGAGAACCTGCGCGTGCAAGACTGCCTCGAGAAGGCCAAGGCGGACCGCAAAGCCTTGATCCGGTACATCCAGCTCATCGACAACGACAGCGAGGGCGACTACATCGGCACGCTCATCGCGACGAACGAGCAGGTGCGCTTCGACCCGCTCTCCGCTAAGCCGGCTCGCTTTGCTAAATGGCGCGCTCTCGCAGATCATCAACGCTGTGCAGATGTACGACCGCATGTCGAAGCCTGTCGAGCTTGACTCGGACGATGAGGCAATCGAAGAAGCCAAGCGTCTCGCGGTCCAGCAAGGCCTGACCGTCCCGCCCTCCGCGACACCGAAAGACCACGACGACACGCAGAGCATCCGCTCGCGGCTGTCGGCATTCGACATGCAGGACCGCGAGATGGACAAGTTGCAGCAGCGGCAGCGGAGGAGGCTCGAGAGGCATCTGAGCTCGAGGAGCGGGGTGCCGCAGGTCCACCCCGACTTGCAGGACCTCGCTTTCGGCCCGACTGGCAGGTGCGTGTCCGTCGTTCTCTTAAAGTGCTCGCCGCGTCGCGCTGACGCTTGCGTTACACAGCTCCTCGCTCCCGCCGCCCATCCAGCCCCGCTCGCCCGAAGACGCCTACACCCACGGCTCGCTCTCCGACTACTCCGACTACTCTTCCGAAGACGACTACTCCGACGATGAGGCTTCCTCGCGTCCGGCTCACGCCGGCGGGAGCGGCACGACCCCAGCACGTTCGTACGCGCAGTATGTCAGGCAGGAGGACGAGCGGACCGGCACTGGCAAAGGCTTGCTCGACCCTTCGGCGCAGGAAGACCCGTTCGCGGATCCGTTCGCAGATCAGGAGGGTGACGATGCGAGCGCGTACGAGGTCATGACGCCTGGCATTCACGACAAGCGGCAGGAGTGGAGGGAGATTTGAAGAGCGGGCGGGTCCTGCGGCGGAGTGTACATACCCTTATCTAGCTTTCTCAGCATTGTGGCGACTCTGCTCTGTGCTTGCGCGTCTCGTCCAGGCAGAAGAGCTTCCCGATACAAGTTACCTATGCTACAGATTGGCCTCGTTCTACGGTCGCTCGAGACCTCTCCCACCATCTGGGGCGCCGTCTGCAAACTGCGCAGCGCCCAGATCCTCCCTCTTCTCTACTACTTCGCCCGACTCGCTCGCCCGCTCCTTCGCCTCGCCGACAGCCTTCTCCGCCTGTTCTTCGGTGTTCCCCTTCTGCAAGTTTATGCTGACCGTTGTTTCCTTCGCCTCTCCTCCCTCGCCAAGCTTCGCTTCCTCCGGCTTGACAGACTTGTCGTCCACCTTTGCCGAGTCCTCCTTCTCCGACTCCGGCTTTGACTCCTGCTCCGACTCCTGCTCCGACTCCTGCTCCGACTCTTGCGCCGACGCCTGTCCCGACTCGCCCCCAAACTCCACAGTGCTCGCCGTCCCGCTCGCCCTTCCCAAATCCGAGATGTCGCCCGACCTGAGCACGTTCGCATCAGCCCACTCATCTCCATCGTCCGGCCGCGGCGTGGAGCCTGGATCAAAGTCGTCTTCGTTGTTCGCGTCTAGGTCGGTCGGGTCGGAAGGGACGCTGGGGAGGGGTGGACTTGGCGGGAGGGGGAGTTGGCGCGTTGAAGAGGGAACGAAGCGGGAGGCAATCAGGCCAGAGATGTGCGAGGCCGCTGCGATCGAGCCAGCCGTGAGTGCTTGGGACGCCGACCAGCGGCGCGAGACGTTCGGCGGCGGCGCGAGAGGGTCGTTGCGAGCGAGTGAAGACCGGCGCGGGATGTCGTACGAAAGTGTATCGTCGTTCTCGTCGCTCGCGCCTGGACTATCGCCGATCCCGCTGCTGTTACTCCCGCCAAAGTAGCTCGACGAGCTGCGAGAGCGCGTGAAGACCTCGCTCGCGCTCGGGGAGGGGACGAGGAATCCGTCTGGTGCTGGAACGGGCTGAACCGTGACGGGGATGACGTGCCACTGCCTCCTGCGCCACTTGCGAAGCTCCCTCGAGCTCGACGTCCAGCGCGTAACGCCGAAAGAAGGGTCGGGTGCAGAGCGCAGAGCCTCGGCGGGGAACTTCTCGCGCCAGCCTGGCTCGAGGCGGACGATTCGGACGGGACGGTAAGCGGAGGGCTCGGTGTCAGAGTCCGTGTCCTCTTCTTCGGCGAAGCGGGGGGACGGCTTGGCTGGCAAGTCGGGCAACTCGCTCGTTGAAGTCGACGGGACAGGCGGGACCTCCTTCTCCAGCGCTTTCTCCGGCGGCGGAGGAGGCGGCAGCTCGTCTTTGTCTAATCCAGGCGACGGGTTGGGCGAAGCCGGCGCCGAGAACTTCCCACCGACGAACGCGCCAATCCGCCCTCCGAGTTCTGCAGCTCGACTTCCGAGTCCGCTGAGGATGGGCGGGGTGCTCCAGACTGTTGTTTCGGAGGGACGGCGCTTGAGCGGCACAGCCTCGACGATAAAGTCGTCTTGCTGATCGGGAGAGTCGTCGGGACCGAGGAAGGAAGGGTCGTAGCCGAAGAGGACGTGCAGGGTGGACGTGACCGGGTCGAGGCGGAAGCGTGGGACGGGGTGCGAGAGAGAGGAAGGATAGGTCGTGATCGGATGGGGGTAAGCGAGCGTCAAGCGAGAGTCTGTGGGACCAAAGCGGTCAATTGTGCTGAGCAAGCGGTGTTGCAGGAAGAGCTGGAACTCGCCTTCGACCTCGATTGCGCGGCTTGCCGCCGCCGACACTAGGTGGCCCTGTTCCTTCTCGTCAGCACGATGGGGAACAAGCCGTCCAGGAAGACCACGCACGTCCCAGTCTAGAAACCAAATCTGGTTGTTCTGCTTGTGTTGCAGCGAGAGACCCTGGAGCTGAGGCTGCTTGATCGGATGCAAGCCCAACTCTGAGCCTTCGTGCTGCTTGTGGCCGAGGAGGTCGAGCGTCTTGCCCTGCGCAGAGTTTCGTATGAGGAAGAAGCCGCGCGGCAGGTTGAGCTGGGCAAAGGCATGGTGGAAAGCAGGATGCGGGATATGCTGCTGCACCGAGCCGGCGGGCTGGATCTCGCGTTGCGGGACCAAGGGAGACGAGAGGGAGGCGTATGCGGGTGGAGGAGCGTCGGGTTCGCCGTACGAGTCGAGTGAGCCGCGCCGGTCGCCCATCTTGCACTGATCGGCTGTCAATGACTGTCTGTGCACGCTCTGCGTGTCAGCTAGCCCTGCGAAGCGAGCGCGACGATGGCCAAGGACCTCTTCCCGGGAGAGGAGGCGGGTCGAGGCTGGCCGCCAAGTGGGGCGATGCTGAGTGTATGCGGAATACAAACTGGCATTACTATTCCCTCCTAATGAAAGCAATACAATCAGCCCCTTGCCGCGGAGTCAATCGCGAGTCGCCTCTTCGCCTTCACCTTGATACCATGGCTCTGAACTTGTGGCTCCGTTGCGAGACGAAAGAGTTCGAGCACCGCTCGGCTCTCACGCCCACCACCGCCAAGCAGCTCATCGACTCGGGCAGGTTCTCCGTCACCGTCGAGCGGGACCCTCAGCGCATCTTTGACGATGAGGAGTTTGAGCGGTGCGTGCGACCGTTCTTGTGTGCGAGAATGCTGCTGACACCCTTGGGAACAGCGTCGGATGCAAGCTCGTCGAGCACAACTCGTGGCCGTCCGCTCCGCTCTCGTCGCCTATCATCGGCTTGAAGGAGCTCCCGCCGAACGACACCTCGCCCCTGCCGCACACGCACATCATGTTCGCTCACTGCTACAAGCAGCAGGGCGGCTGGGTCGACGTCATCTCGCGGTGGGAGGCGGGACAGCCGACGGGGATGTTGTACGACCTCGAGTTCCTCCAGGACGAAAAGGGCCGCCGCGTCGCCGCGTTCGGGTACCACGCAGGATTCGCCGGTGCAGCAGTCGGCCTCCTCGCGCTCGCCAAGCAGGTCTCGAGCGAGGGCGAGAAGGAGCGTCTCGGCGAGATCAAGCCCTACCCGAACGAGGGCGAGTTGATCAAGTTCGTCAAGGGCCAGATGGCGGTCATCGAGAAGCAACTCGGACGCAAGCCTCGTGCGCTCGTCATCGGCGCACTCGGACGGTGCGGTCGGGGAGCGGTCGACTTCTTCAAGGCGGCCGGGTTCGAGGACGACAACATCGCCAAGTGGGACATGGCAGAGACGGCCAAGGGCGGTCCCTTCCAGGAGATCCTTGACGGTGCGTCCGCTCACCCGAGAAGCGACATCCTAGAGCTGACCCCTCCTCTCGCAGCCGACGTCTTCGTCAACTGCATCTACCTCACCTCCAAGATTCCCTCGTTCATCTCGCCTGAATCCATCGCCGCTGCTGGTGACAAGCGTCAACTGCGTGTCGTCGTTGACGTCTCGTGCGACACGACCAACCCGAACAACCCTATTCCCATCTACTCCATCAATACCACCTTTGACAAGCCCACCGTCGACGTTGACGGGTATGCCATCTTCTTTCCGTCTCCTAGGGCGCACCTCTGACGTTTTCTGTCACGCAGCATCACCACCGGCCCTCCCATGACGGTCGTCTCGATCGACCACCTCCCCACGCTCCTCCCGCGCGAAGCCTCCGAAGCCTTCTCGACCGACCTCCTCCCCTCGCTCCTCACCCTCCCCGAAGCTATCGCCGAGCGCCAGCCGCGCCAGGGCAAGCCCGTCACAGCTGCGGATGTTGGAAACGGTCCGGAGCGCGTGTGGAAGCAGTCGGAGGAGCTGTTCTGGCGCGTGTTGGCGCAGGCGCAGGCGGAGAAGAAGCAGTGAGCGGCGGTCTGAACTGGGCTCGAAGGCTGGCCGCGCTTCTGTCGTACCAGCGAGCGCCTGCTCTTCCTCGACGACCAACGCCTCGTTCTCCTCCCCTCTCTTTCCTGAAAAGCGGGTCTCTCGCTCACAGTCGCAATGCACTTCTTTAGCAGTACCAGTCGCCAGTCCTGCGAGATTGTGTCGTGTGTTCGCTGCTGGCCGCCCCGTCGTCCCTTCGGAACTTGCGCGACACTCGCTCTTCTCGCACCGCTGCGATAGCCTCGCTCGACCGCGCAGACACTTGTACAGCTCGCTTCAGCTGCTCAGACGCGCGCACACCGCCCAGCCAGCGCCGGATCACCCTTCACGCTCGACCCCTCCCCGTCCTTGATCGCGGTTCTTAGCCATGCAGTCCATCAAGACCGTTTGCGTGGGTGATGGTGCAGTGGGAAAGGTGCGTCGCTCGTGCCACGCTCGCTCGGCCACCCAGCGCGCCTGTACGCCCGCTGACACGGTCACACTCCCACAGACTTGCCTCCTCATCTCGTACACCACCGTGCGTCCTCCTCGCTCGCGTCGGCTGACTCGCTGCTGATCTCGTTGTTCTCACAGAATGCTTTCCCCGTGAGCTGCGACGTTGCCGGACGACCCGAGCGCGACGACAGCCAACTGACCTCCCCACTCGCCGCCTCCCTCTCTCGCAGGGCGAATACATCCCGACAGTCTTCGACAACTACTCTGCCAACGTCATGGTCGACGGCAAACCCGTCAACCTCGGACTGTGGGACACGGCAGGACAGGAGGACTACGACCGCCTGAGGCCGCTCAGTTACCCTCAAACCGACGTCTTCCTCATCTGCTTCTCCGTTGTCAGCCCACCCAGTTTCGAGAACGTCCGAACCAAGGTGCGTTGCATTTGCTCTCCCATGTCCTAGAGGGGCGCGCTGACGCGTGCCTTCACGCAGTGGTACCCCGAAATCTGCCACCACGCACCCAACATCCCCATCATCCTCGTCGGCACCAAGCTCGACCTGCGCGAAGACCGCGAGACTATCGAAAAGCTGCGCGAGAGGCGTATGGCACCTATCGCGTACCAGCAGGCGGCGGCAATGGCGCGCGAGATTGGCGCCGTTCGGTGCGTACTCGCGTCGATCCTCTCGCGTGCTGTGGGGCTGACCGAACGCGATGTGCAGGTACATCGAGTGCTCGGCGTTGACGCAGAAGGGACTCAAGAACGTGTTCGACGAGGCAATTCGCGCGGTTCTCGCACCCGCACCTCGGGAGAAGAAGAAGTCGAAGGGCTGCGTCGTCTGCTGAGCCCGCCGTATCCGTCGCCTCGTTGGATCACCTCTTGCCGCCCCCAACGCGCCGTCTTGCCGCTTCCGCCTTTACCCTCGTTCCGACTCTTTCTCCGTCCGCCGCAGGCACCTTTCCCCTCTATCCTTCTTCTCGCTTCCTCTTCCCCTCATTTGCAGCATAGTATCTCCTACACCTCGCAGTCCAGCTCGTTATCCCTGCGGTCGACCTCTCCCACACCTTGCGGTTCCCTTCGCTCCTACACATCCTTGTTTCGCTCTCTCCCGCGCTTTCTGTCAGTTTCTCAGCTGTCGGGTTGTAATGACTTGTGCATCGGTCTTCGCAACGATGTCCTGGCACGCGAGGAACGTCCTTTATTCCTCGTCGTCGCTGTTCAGCAAGTCCTCCTCTTCCCGCCCATCTAGCGCCAAGACCAACCGCCTGATCAGGCTACAAGTCGACCACAAGTGTCCGTCATGTCGCATCTCGTACCACCAATTGACCGCGATCGCAGCCTGCACTCCCTTTCCCTGTCCGCCCGGTCCCCAGCCAACGTCTTGCTCGACGAAGTGGTACCAGAGCGCAGGGAGGTAGAGCATGTCCCCTGGATGGAGAGTGACCTTCATTGGTCGTGCGTAGGCGTAGCGAGGGAAGCGAACAAGGTCGGGCGCGAGCGGGTCGACGGGGATCCAGGGGAGAGAGGTTGAGGGACAAGTGCGGTTCAGGGTGAAGGAGGATGTCTCTCGTGAGAAGGAGTAGGTTGCGTGGGGGAAGACTTGCTCTGCGCGGTCACAGGGTCAGCGCTAGAGGCTCTGGCTGAGGGAGACGAAGCCCTCGACGCACCGTGGAGACAGTACGCTTCGGTCGGCGGGAGCAGCGTGAAGGTCTTGCTTCCGCGCACGACCATGTAGATGTTCTCGTAAGGATCTGCGCCGGGTATATCAGACACTTTCGAAAGTTCGTTGGACGGAGGAACACACCTTTGTGCAGCGAGGTCTTGCTTCGACTGCCGCCGATCCAGATGTTCGCAACTTCGGGTGGATCGCCTGCCAGAACGCAAGTCAACAAGAGCGGTTGACCGAGAAGCAGAGAGAACCCGCCAAAGACTTCGCGTGCGAAAGCTGGACCGTCCGTCCCAACATCCTTCTGTAAAACTGCGTACTCCTCCGCCAGGTTGCCATTCTGCGACTGCAGGTAATAGACCGGGCCCATCTGCGTTTCTTTGTCCTCGCTCAACTTGGAGAACAGACTGCCCAGCGACATGTCGACGGCTGAGAAAGGTGTAGCATCGTGAGACGGAGCGAAGCCGAAGGGAGGGGTATTGCGCACTCGCGGGCTCGACGAACACGTCGTCGACAATCGCGTCGGCATTCCTGATAACCGAAAAGACTGAGCACGCGACGCCGAAGAGCAGGACGAAAGGCTCACCCCCTCGGAGTGACAGAGATGGACAATGCTCGTCCAGCGAGCTGCTCCACCAGATAGTCGTCCGTCCATCGCTCCAAAGCACGTATTCGCTCCGTCTGCCCGGCTCGCCGCACGACCAGCGGACGATTGGCGGACGTGAAGCGGGCGAAGTCGAGCGCGGAGGGAACGGCACTGAGCTCGGCGACAGACGCAGGATTGAGCGCCTGGTAGTCCCGCACGAGCTTCCTGAGACTTTTCTCGATGGGAGAGATGCTCATCGTGGCCTGCGAAGCGAGTTGAGTGGGTCGAAGTGAGGAGGAGATGAGCGAGGGGCGGTGCTGGGCTGTCGAGGGTGTCCTTGAGCGGTGCTTGCGAGTCCAGCGAGTCTCGACAACGTCACAGGGCTATGCAAGGAGGTATCATTGCGATGCGACAAGCGGTATGGACACAGACAACATCCTACGACATCGAGCGCTTCCCTAACGGCCGCCATTGTTCGCCCACCTGCCCGCAAGTCCCGCCAAGCCTGCCGCCAGACCTGCACCAGCGCCAGGGCGCGCGGGACCTGCGCCACCCGCGTTCGCCCTCGCCGGAGGAGCGGCGTTCGGCCTCGGCGGAGCAGCGCCGTTCGCGTTGGCTCCTGCGTTGGCGTTGCGCGGGGGAGCGGCGGCCGGGTTGGCAGCAGCTGGCTGAGCAGCGGGACGCAGCGCCGGTGCACCTACGTTGACGCGAACGGCGGCAGCCGCAGCGACACCGCCAGACTGAGCACGCGGCGCAGCGGGAGGGGGAGGCGCGAAGCCAGCACCGTGGGCCCCGACTCCCGCACCTCCGGCGTTGGCGTTCGCTCCTCCAGCCGGGCCATGACCACCGAGACCGCCGCCAAAGAGGCCGCCGAGCCCTCCGAGTCCGCCGAGTCCGCCGAGGTTGAGCGGGATGGGGATGACTCCGCCGGCAGTGGTAGGCGAGTCGCTCGAGAGGTGGAGGCAGCAGTTGCGCTGAGCGGTCGCGTCCTCCATAGCGCGGATATCGGCGTCGGACCAGCTCAAGTCGTCGTCCTGCACAAAGAAGACCGTCAGCGAAAGGTGATCGATGGGCGGCGAGCTCGGCTTACGATGACGGTCAAGCAGGTCATGCCCCTCGCGACCTGCGTCTGGAAGGGTTTCGTGTACTTGGAGCCGCTGTGAAGGGGAGTGTGAGCGATAGGACGCGTGGAACAGCCGGTCCCGACGTACTCGGCGCGAGTAAGCGTCTTGTTGCGCGTCACCGTCTTGTTGAGGAGCGTGGCAAGCGTCTTGGGCACGATGGTCGGGCAGCGACCGAAAGAGATGCTGTGAAATGCAGTTATTAGGAAGAAGCCCTCCTTCATCGAGCCGACTCTCCGACGCACTGAGTGAGGCTGGGAGGGAAGGCGCTGAACACGCTCGTCGAGGCGTAAGGTCCGATGATGTTCAGGTTCTTGAGGTTCGGCAGGTATCCCATGACGGCGTCCAGGACATAGGTGTACTCGGCGATCTTCGAGAGGTGCGCCGACGTCGGCTTGCCCGGCTTGTAGTCCTTCGGGCGAGCAGGGAAGGTTGGCTTGGGAAACCCGGCGACCGGCTTCGGTGCGGGATCCCAGTTGGCGGGAAGGTTGAGGTCGAGCACCGTGAGATGCGTGCCGAAGGTGAGCAGGGTCGAGGCGAGTTCGTAACGGCTGAAAAGATAGCCGGGCTTCTGGAGCAACAGGGTCTGGAGAGTCTGACGGGACTGCATATGTTCGCTGGTGTTAGCCTGCGTCAAGCTCGAGCGAGGGCTCATCACGCACGTCCTGGAGGATGAGGTCCATCTCGCTGCCGGTCAGGTTGAAGCCGAAAAGCTGGAGCGACTTGAGGCCGTGCGGCATCTTCCTCTTCCCCTTGGTCAGCTCCTCGCCCTCAGTAGCCTCCTCAGGCTTCGCGTCCTCGTTCTCGCTCTTCTCCACCGACTCGCCAGCTTCGCCATCCTTCTCCTTGGTCTCCCCCTCCTTGAGCTTCTCGGCCTCGCGCTTCCTCAACCACTCCTCATTCTCGAGGTCGTCAACAAGATCCCACATCTCGTCCTCCTCGAAAGCCGGGCCGTCCTCGGCGGGACGAAGGTCGACGACGATGAGGTTCTCGAGGTCGAGCCAAGACTGCTGCATCAGCTTGTAGAGACGAGGTGTCGTGATGCGGAACGGGTGCTTCGGGTCGGCGGAGGAGCCGAAGTCGATCGTCTTGAGGTGCGAGAGCGCGGCGAGGGCTTCGAGAAGCGGTTTCCTGCCAGCATGGCGGTGTGAGCAACGCTGACGACTCAGAACACGATAAGATGACGCACGTGGCACTCTTGAGGAACTGCGGGCGGATGACGAGCGTCTCGAGGTACTGGCACAGGCGCATGATGTCAATGTAGACCTGGCCGCCGCCCCTACCGAGCGAGAGCGAACCCTCCGGTTCAATCCAAAGGTGCTTGACGAGGTCGGCGAGGTAGTTCTTCTTGACAGGGTCGCCCTCGCTCGTCGCGCCGACCAGCTCCTCGCCCTTGGTGTAGGCGGCAGGCGTCTCGCTCGAAAGCGATTCGCGGAATCTGCTGGCCTGGTAGGCGCTGAGGAGGTGCACCTTGCGGTACAAGGTCTTGCGCGAGGCGTGAAGGAAAGGGCGATTGATGAAAAGGAGCGGGAGAAGCGGGTCGAGCGGAAGTCCGTCTGGGTAAATCTTGCCCTCATCCTCATCCGAATCGACCTCGTCGTCCTCGTCTTCGTCCTCCCAGTCCTCGTCGTCCTCGTCTACGTCGTCCTCCTCATCGTCACCGTCGCCATCCGACTCCTCGTCGCTCTGAACAGTCACGGCCGACGCCGCAGGAGTCCCGCTCGCCACAGTGGGACGATCGATCGGTTCAAGAGGCGGCATGTCGTCGTCGCTGTCGGCCGCCGCTGTCGCAGCCGGAACTGGCGCGGCTGACGAGGCAGCAGCAGGACGGGAAGAGGGGACCTCGTCAATCGCTTCGAGAGGCGGCATGTCATCGTCCGAATCGGCGGTCGGGGCGGCAGCGCGAGCAGTCGTCGAAGACGGGATCGGCTCGAGCGGCGGCATCTCGTCGTCCGTGTCGGGGCGAGCAGTCGGAGGCGCGCGACCAGCCGGAGTCGAGGAGGATGTGGCGGGCACCACGCTTTCGAGCGGTGGCATGTCGTCGTAGATGCTGTCGTCGGTCGCGCTTGTCGTGGACGGCTGGGCGGCTGGGCGAGAGGCAGCTGGAGCGGGAGTTGCACGAGGCGGACTGGTCGACTGCGTCGTGCTGTTGTTCCGCCCGCCGAAGAGCGGGTTCGTGAGAGACGAGAGGAAGGAGAATGGATTGGATGGGGAGGTTGCGCTAGCACCACTGGCAGGCGCTGGTGCCACGTTGTCGACGCTTTCGAGCGGAGGCATGCTGTCATTGTCGCTGTCGTCCGCCGGTCGTGCCGCAGCAGTCGACGTTGATGCAGTGGTTGACGCCGATTGAGAACCGGGAATCGCTATAAAGGTGCGCAAGGAACGTGAGCCGAGGTGGACAAGCGCTCGGAGGGAGTCACAACTCACGCTCGAGCGGCGGCATGTCGTCGTCCGAATCGGTGGGAGCTGCAGGCACCTGTGCAGGCGGTGGCGCAGCTTGTACCGGTGCGAACGGGTTGGCAGCGTTAGGTCCGCCAAACGCGAAGGGGTTTGCGGCGTTCGCGTTGCCTGCTCCAGCGCCGGCAGCTCCCGCTCCAGCTCCCGCTCCGCCTGCGGCCGCTCCGAGCCCGCCTGCACCATTCGCACCGAGCGCACCGCCGAAGAGGCCGTTCATCATGGCGAGGATCGCATCTCCTGCACCGCCGAGCGCACCGCCGTTCTGACCGGGAGGTGGGACGTCGGGGTGCGAGAGGCGATGATGGTCTTGGATGGAGAGGTGCTCGACGTGCTCGATGATGTGGAGGATGATCTCGGGCGGCAAGTCGTTGAGGGTCAGCTTGGGCGAGGAGGACTGGGTCGCGCGAGGAGTCGGCATGGCGACGGCGGCTCTGGGCGGGTTGCAAGGGAGATGCGGAGCGGGTGTGGATATCCCGGTGCCGATAAGCCGCTGACCGGGCTACCAGAGGGCGAAATGGGCGGTGAAATCGCGTGCAGTCGAGAGGAGCTGATGAGAAAGGTCAAGGGGTGAGACGGCGTGGGTGTCGCTTAGGGCGGGACGAGGCTGTCGGTACAAGCTCTTGTAGCCTCTGTGCGCGTCCTGGAGCTCTCTTCAGCTAGTCACAGCGGATGTGCAGCGGACGAGCGGGGATGCCAAAGAACAAGGGTTCGAGGCGAGCGTCAGTCGAAGACTCCACGCTCGACACGGCTGAGCGGGCGCGTAGAGATGCCCAGCAAAGGCGTACAGCCGACTGCGCTCGCGTTAGATGCGCCGAACCCGCTCCCACGTCTCCGCTCGCCGTCTTCGCCCTCTCCCCTCGACTGGATTCCCGTCGTCTCGCTGCCGGTCCAATGCAGGCTGGAACACTTCGAGGAGGGACTTCTTGAACTGGTCTTGCAACCCGAGCACAGCAGCTCGACCATCCTGCGGGCGGATGTCCAGGCAGACGACGAGCAACCGGGAGAACGGCTCTTCGAGCTGGACGGATACGCCTGCACGCGGCGGATACGACGTAGGATACTGCCGAACAGGCCACAGTTCGACTGGGCGATGGAGCAGGAGTGCCTCTTCTACGAGCGAACGACGCATGACTCGGAGGACGACGGGGAAGGTCTTCTCCTCCTTCTCCCCGACTTCGAGCAACTCAAGACGGAGCAGCCCGACGGTCGATTGCCCTACTATCATCCTCAGGCCTCCGCTCTCGCTTTCCGCTTCCTCCCACGGCAAACAGACGCCGCCCTCCTTCGAATCGACCTGATCCCGCTACGTTCCCAAGCCGTTTCTGGGCCCCTCCCGCCGACCGACCGCCTCTTCCGAACATGTCTCGCTCTCGTCAAGTTTGCCGGCAAGCTCTGCACGGGAAAAGCCGACGGCTGGACGAAGCGGATCCACCATGACCTTCTCGTTGGCAAGGAGGAAGTGCAGGATCTGTACCAACAGCTCAAGGACAAATACAAGTGCGTTTACCGTCCCCTATCACTTCCGAAGCCGCACTGAGGCAACCTCCAACGGTGGACAGAACTGACATCGAGTCTCAATCGCCTCGGCTCACGTTCAGGTGGATGCTGCACAACTGGCGCGAGTCGACCGACGCGACGAAGCACGTCTTTGAGGACGTCGCTATTGCCGCATGGTTGATCGTGTTCTGGCGCGGCATGTACGCCGACTGTGGCGGAAGGCCGCCCGGAGGATTCGTCGATGTCGGCTGTGGGAATGGCCTGCTGTGCGTTCTTTCGCTTTTGGCGTGCGACATAACTCTTATTGATCTCACGTTGCTCGCAGCGTCTTCATCCTCGCCGCGGAAGGCTACCAAGGCTACGGCTTCGACCTTCGCGAGCGCAAGTCCTGGGCCTCGTATTCGTCACCGACTCCCGACCTGCGCGTCCGATCCATCAACCCGGTCGACTTGATCTCACACGCCTTCGATGATCCGCCCTCGGAATTCTCGGCGGACGACGACCTCGCCTGGCCCTTCCCACCCGACTCGTTCCTCATCTTCAATCACGCCGACGAGATGACGCCCTGGTGCGCGCTGTTTGCCGCCATGACCACTGGCGACCGCGTCGGCTTCCTCAACATCCCTTGCTGCCTCCACGAGCTCGTTGGTCGATTCGAGCGACAAGCCTACACGATCCCGGACGACTACCTCTCGGCCCTTCCCTCTCTCTCGCCTTCCGACACAGTTGACACGACCTCTTCAGTCACGGTAGACGATCGCTACCCGCTCCTCCGCCCCTTCTACGCCGCCTCCCCCGTCTCTTCTTCCACCTCCTCAAGCGGCGCCTCCATCCTCGGCGGCCGCTACCACGCCTACCAGCTCTACCTCGCCCACCTCACCCTGTTATGCGGCTTCCTACCCGAACGTGAGGCGCTGCGGATCCCCAGCACGAAGAACTTTGGGATCGTTGGGCGGAAGAGGGTGTGGGATGTTGCGGGCGCCGACGGGGAGACGGTTGCGGAGGCCAAGGCGAGGGTGCGCGAGGAGGTGCGGAGACTGGTGGAGGAGGTGAAGCGGAAGGGGGAGTGGAGGGCGAGGAAGCCGGAGGGCAAGGCGGGAGAGAGGGAACATTGATAGAGATTAGACGGCGTGCTCGCATCGCAATGAGACCTACTCTCTCGCTTTCCTCGTTGTTCGTCTGCTGGGCTGAAGTGGAGAGAAACAGCGCTTCTATTCTACAAATCTACGTCGTCTACCCGCTCATAACAAGTCGAGCCAGTATAAGATTCGTCCCAAGGTGGACGAGTCCGAACCAGACAACCCTATACAGCACCGCCGGCGCGAACACAGTCAAACTGAACAGGTGGTAGCGGAACCAGGTCGCGCTCAAGGCGAGCGCAGTGAGTGCGAGGGTATGGAATGGGGTGAGGTATCGGAGGGTAAGTGAGCGCAGAGGGTTGGGTATCGTGTGGAGCGAGAGGGAATGGAGGATCGGGAGCGAGAAGTTGGAGAAGTAGGTGAGGAGCGAGACGAGGGCGAACGAGTAGGAGGAGAGGCCGTTGTAGGCTTGTGAAAGGTCGACGCTGTAGGGTGTCAAATCGTCAGCGTGTTCCGCGACATGCGCCGAAGTGAGACTCACGATGCCAGCGAGTTTGACCCGCCGAGACCGAAGAAGCCGGTCGCCTGGAACGCCGCGACAAGGAAAGCGAGTTGGGCGGGCGAGGCGTCCGCTCTCCGCGCTAGTCGGCTCACAGCCTCGTGCTGGATCCAGAAAGCGCATATGAGAGGCACGTTGGCTGGTCTCGTCAGAGACATGAGGAGGAGCGACGCGTGAACGAGGGTGAGAGCTGTCAAAGCACGAAAATCAGCTCTTTTTCGCGCAAGCACGGGTTACCCATTCACGCACTCGAGCGCCAGCTTTGTCCTCCTTCTGCTCTGTGTGACATGAGCCGCAAGACTGCCCACGCAACGCCGCAGATCCAGTACCCTGCCCTTGACAGCGCCTCCGCGTTGTCCAAGTCGAGCTTCTCCAACGCCTTCGCAAGCGATCCCTGCGCGTCCTCCGGCATCGAACGCGTCCTGTGCATCGCTAGCCCGACGACGACTTGCATGGCGACCAGCACGGCGAAGACGGCGAAGGTCGCGGATTTGGCGATTGCCTGTCCGACAGTTGGGCGAGAGCGAGCGAAAGTTCGGGACGCTTGTGCCAAAGCGCTGAGGGCGACGATGAGAGGAACGAAATAGCTGATGAGGATGAGGGCGAAGGTGAGGCGCGGATATAACGACAGGACGAGCGAGAGCGAGGTGTTCGGCACATTCTTCTGGCCTGCATGCAAAGAGTGTTGTGGTTAGCTCGTTGTGAAGGGGATGCTCGGGAGACGGCAGCTTACCGTTGTGCGCCCAGCTGCGGTATATGCGAATCGAGGCGGCCGCAAGGATGAGCGTGAGGCGTTCTGTCCAGCTGAAGGTGGGCCTGCGAAAGTTGACAAGGTCAGAACCGGCGGTGGTAAGCGAACGGATTGGCACGTACCGGATGGCGAGAAGGACGAGCCCAGTGGCGCCAAAGAAGTACCATAACTCGTGTTCCTCCTCAATGAAGCTCGTCGCGAAGAACGACCCGAGGTAGGCGACCAGCGCGAGCCCGACCGTCCATCTCGTTTGCTTCGTCTCGACTTGCCAGACCCTTTGACAGAGCGAGAGGGCACCGATGGATGCGAAGACGAGGATAAGCAGGCCGGAGTAGAGAGGAAAGAGCTGGTAGGAGGATGAGGAGGCGAGGAGACGGTCTTGCGCCAAGCGGAGGAACTGCGACGAGACTGTCAGCGCATGATAGTGCTTGATCCATGCTCAACAGCGAGACGCACCTCGTGCTGGGCTTCAATGCTCGAGCGAAGCAAGTCTGCAAGCGAAGCATTCGAGTTGCCGGCCGCTTCCTTCGCCAGCTGATCGACCGCGGCGACGCCTGCCGACGCTGACAGTACCTCCACCAGTTGCCTCACATTGGCTGCTAGCGCTTGAGCGAGGGCTGTATCCGAGCGAGTTAGCGAAGAACAAAAGAGGGGCGAGAGGAGAGCGTACCAGCTGGTCGTAACGCCTCGACCGCAGACGGGACGAGCTTGCCCATCGAGTTCCTGCAGGGACAGGATGTCAGTGCCTTCAACATGGTTGAGCTAAGAGGAGGAGTCTTACTTTGGCATGCCCAGGTCGAACAGTACGGCAAGAGTTGGAACGAGGTCGATCTGCTGAATTACTTCGTGCAGCCTGTACGAGCTAGCGTGCCGTGTCGGAGGGACTGGTGCCTTGGTGCGAAGGTTGGGCGAGGCTAGGAGGAGAGCCTGCGACGATCATGTCAATGTTCCGCTCGAGAAGGATTGGTTAGCAATTCGTACCGCCGAAGTCTCCGCTTCTGTCGAGCCGCCGTGGTTGCCGCCCTGTAAAGCGGCCGTCAGCAAACAGCGAAGGCGGTAAGAGGCGTACTCGCCGCTCACCTCGGTCATGCCGTGATCGCCGACGAGGACAAGCAAGCTCCGCTGGCCATCTTCCGCATCTCGTCGTTCGAGGTCGCGGTAGATACGCTCGACGACTTGATCCATTTCTTGCTGCTTGGACGGCATGAGCGGGCTGCGTGGTGCAGACAAGGTCAATGTAAGCAGGGGAAGGACGATGGTGGAGATTCGCACCTGCGAGGTCCACCGAGGTGACCGACATGGTCGAGGCCGAGGTAGTGCAGTATCAGAACGTCCCATTCGGCTGGCGCGTGCGCAGAGTCGCGTCGTTCGGACTCCGTGGCTGAGGCGAGAAGCGAGTCGAGGTGGCGGGTGACGTTCGTGTCGACCGTGACGGTGTCCTGCTCGCGCGCAAGACGATGAGTGCCTGAGCTTGACAAGGTTAGGCTGACCGCACGCACCGACACGAAGAAGCTGCTGACTCCGTCGGTCCAGTTGAACCACTCCTTCGGGAACAACCTCAACCACGTATCGTCGCCCGCAAAGACGATCTTCTTGCCTTGCATCGCCATCTGGCGGACCCACGAGTCTACACGCTCGAACGCGGCGCTTGTGACGGACTCTTCGACGACGTTGAGGATCGAGTCGAGGAAGGTTGGGTTCGACCCGGTCGTGAGCGCTTTCAGGCGTGGGAGGGTCACAGTCGGGGCTTGGGCGACAGCGGTGTATGGGAGAGCTTCGCCTGAGTCGACGAGGCTGCGGACGAAGCACAGGCGGGGCGTTCGTAAGCCGCAGAATGGCTCAAGAGCGGGAAGTTCGGGAAACTCACGACTGCACAAAGGTCATGTGGGAGTTGGGGCCGAACGCAAAGTCGCTGGCAGTGTCAAGCGTGTCAGGATTGAACCAAGCGAGCTCAGTACGCAGCCTAGGGTGGAGGGAAGGAGACGAACGCTCGGAGGGCGTCGACAACGACGAAAGCCAAGCGGGAGAACGCATCTGACCGCTCGCTCGCGCCAGCGTCGTATCTGCGGGACGTCTGTGCATAGTCCTGTGCCGGAGAGAATCCAGCCAGCAGTGGCTTGACGGGGAAGAAGCCACGAGCGAAGCAGGCGAGTCCGGCGAGTGCTGCGACGACGACGGCGACGTGAGCCGTTCGCGAGGGTCGAGCCCGACTCTGCGAGGCCCTCATGGCCCTAGCTGGCCCAGTCAGTCCTCTCGCGAGGTCGTGGTGGTCGAGTGAGAGGGATCAGCGAGTTGTAATGGGCTGAATACAAACTGTTTGTAATGAAGATTGCAAGTGGCAGAGCGCGCCCTGGCGTCGAGTCTTTTCTCATCACTGCTCGCCCCCCGGCCTGCTGTCCTCGTTCCTCTCTTTTACCCCGACCAGAGCAGCCACAGGCTAGACAGTCGCCCGCCATGGTCAACTTCACCGTCGGTGCGTCGTCCTCGTCCCTCGCGCCGCCCTCCGAGCTCAGTGCTGACTGGCCACTCCGCCGCGCCCGCTCCACAATGCAGACGAGATCCGTGAGCTCATGGACAAGCCCACCAAGTGCGTATAGGCCCCTAGACGACACCGGCAGCCGCCCGAGAGGCGTGTTGGCGGCAGGAGGACGAGCGAGCTGACGTTTCCTCCACTTTGTGGGAACCCGTGTGCAGCGTCCGTAACAGTGCGTTGAGCCCTCCTACGACGTCCTACGAGTACCCAGACTGACAAACCATCCCCCCGCAGTGTCCGTTATCGCCCACGGTACGCTCGACCTCCGACCTGCGATTCGAGGGGGAGGTGCTGTTCGCGGCGGGGAACGCGTGGGCTGACTTTGTGCTCGCTCGTTTGCTCGTGCAGTCGACCACGGCAAGTCGACCCTCACCGACTCGCTCTTGTCGAAGGCCGGTATCATCGCCTCGGCCAAAGCTGGCGACACCCGTGCTATGGACACTCGTGCCGACGAGCAGGAGCGCGGTATCACCATCAAGTCGACCGCCATCTCGATGTACTTCGAGCTGCCGAAGGACGACCTCCCCGACGTCAAGCAGAAGACCGACGGTGCGTTAGCGCCCTTGCCAAGCGAGTGTGGCGGAACAGCTTACTGACTCGCTTCCTCGTCTCGTCTCGCAGGCGGCGAGTTCTTGATCAACCTCATCGACTCGCCCGGTCACGTCGACTTCTCGTCGGAGGTTACCGCCGCTCTCCGTGTCACCGACGGTGCCCTCGTCGTCGTCGACACCATCGACGGTGTCTGCGTCCAGACCGAGACTGTCCTTCGTCAGGCTCTCGGCGAGCGCATCAAGCCCGTCGTCTGCATCAACAAGGTCGACCGCGCCCTCCTCGAGCTCCAGATCGCCAAGGAGGAGCTCTACCAGACCTTCGCTCGTACTATCGAGTCGGTCAACGTCATCATCTCGACCTACAAGGAGGAGGCTCTCGGCGACGTTCAGGTCTACCCGGAAGCGGGCACCGTCGCTTTCGCCTCCGGTCTTCACGGATGGGCGTTCACTCTCCGCCAGTTCGCCAACCGGTACGCGAAGAAGTTCGGTGTGTCGAAGGACAAGCTCATGCCGAAGCTCTGGGGCGACAACTACTTCAACCCCAAGACGAAGAAGTGGTCGACCAAGGCGGTCGACGCGGATGGCAAGCCCCTCGAGCGTGGTTTCAACATGGTGAGTTTCGCGACCCTTTCTTCCTTCGCAGGGATGCAGCTTGCTCACTCGCCCCACGTCCCGCGCAGTTCGTTCTTGACCCCATCTTCCGCATCTTCGACGCCGTCATGAACTTCAAGAAGGACCAGATCCCGGGCCTCCTTGAGAAGCTCGAGATCAACCTCACCTCCGACGAGAAGGACCTCGAGGGCAAGGCTCTCCTCAAGGTCATCATGCGCAAGTTCCTCCCCGCCGGCGACTCTCTTCTCGAGATGGTTGTCATCCACCTCCCCTCCCCCGTCACCGCCCAGCGCTACCGTGTCGAGACCCTCTACGAGGGTCCCATGGACGACGAGAGCGCCATCGCCATCCGCGACTGCGACGCCAAGGGCCCGCTTATGCTCTACGTCTCGAAGATGGTCCCCACCTCGGACAAGGGTCGCTTCTACGCCTTCGGTCGTGTCTTCTCGGGCACGGTCAAGGCCGGCCCCAAGATCCGCATCCAGGGCCCCAACTACGTGCCGGGCAAGAAGGACGACCTGTTCGTCAAGTCGATCCAGCGCACGGTTCTCATGATGGGCGGCAAGGTCGACCCGCTCGAGGACTGCCCGGCCGGCAACATCGTCGGTCTCGTCGGTGTCGACCAGTTCTTGCTCAAGTCTGGCACGCTCACGACCTCCGAGACGGCTCACAACATGCGCGTCATGAAGTTCTCCGTCTCGCCTGTCGTCCAGGTCGCCGTCGAGGTCAAGAACGCCAACGACTTGCCGAAGCTCGTCGAGGGACTCAAGCGTCTCTCGAAGTCGGACCCGTGTGTTCAGACCTGGATCGCCGAGACCGGCGAGCACATTGTCGCCGGTGCCGGTGAGCTCCACCTCGAGATCTGCTTGAAGGACCTCGTCGAGGACCACGCCGGTGTTCCCCTCAAGCTCTCCGACCCCGTCGTCGGCTACCGCGAGACCGTCCAGGCCGAGTCGTCGATGACTGCGCTCTCCAAGTCGCAGAACAAGCACAACCGTCTCTACGTCAAGGCCCAGCCCGTCGACGAGGAGGTCGCCAAGGCCGTCGAGGCCGGCAAGATCGGCCCCCGCGACGACTTCAAGGCCCGCGCGCGTATCCTCGCCGACGAGTTCGGATGGGACGTCACCGACGCCCGTAAGATCTGGTGCTTCGGCCCTGACGGCTCCGGCCCCAACTTCCTCGTCGACACGACCAAGGGTGTCCAGTACCTCAACGAGATCAAGGACTCGTGCGTTGCCGCCTTCCAGTGGGCCACCAAGGGTAAGTCCGTCTCTCTTTCCGGGCGCTGGGCGGTCCCGCTGACCTCTCGCGCTCGCAGAGGGACCTTGCGCCGAGGAGCCTATGCGTTGCTCGCGCTACAACATCCTCGACGTCACCCTCCACACCGACGCCATCCACCGCGGTGGTGGACAGATCATCCCCACCTGCCGTCGCGTCGTCTACGCCGCTTCGCTCCTCGCTGAGCCGGGTCTCCAGGAGCCCGTCTACCAGGTCGAGATCCAGTGCCCCGAGACTGCTCTCGGCGGTATCTACTCGACCCTCAACAGGAAGCGCGGCATGGTCTTCTCGGAGGAGCAGCGCCCGGGCACGCCGATGTACACCGTCAAGGCTTACCTCCCCGTCAACGGTGCGTACGCGCGGGGTTTCGTCGCCGTGGCGGTTTAGCTGACCCTCAACGTTCGCGCGCAGAGTCGTTCGGCTTCACGGGCGAGCTCCGCCAGGCGACCGGTGGACAGGCGTTCCCCCAGATGGTGAGTCGGCGGGTGTTCGCTTTCGTTCTTCGGTCGTGCTCTCGGTGCTCGCAGAACAGTCGGCTTTTCTGCGGGGCGGCGGAGACAGGGCGAAGGGAAGGCGAGGAGTCGAGGCGGAAAGGGGCGGTCGAGGACGAGGAGGAGGACGACGACGACCTTCGACGTCGCTTGCCACTCCTGCGATACATTCCAGGCAGTATCCGACGTCGTCTCGTGTAGCGTAGCGTTGGGGCGGAGGCGCAGACGTCGTCACCGCCTGGCCCCTCTCCCTCGAACAACCCCCTCCCCTTGGCCTCGAAGACGCACGCTGACCTCGCCGCGCGCTCTCTTCTTCTTCTCACACTCGCAGGTCTTCGACCACTGGCAGACTATGGGCGGAGCGAGCAAGTATCTCCAAATTTTGACAAGTCCAGGACCCCCTTTTGACCTTGTGTTGTTCCTCGCTCGCAGTCACCGAGAAGGGCGGCAAGGTCGAGGCGCTCGCGCTCTCGATCCGCACGCGCAAGGGTCTCAAGCCCGAGATCCCCTCGCTCGACAACTTCTACGACAAGCTCTAAGCCGAGCGGACCTGCTGCTGTTGCCTCCTCTCCCCCTTTTCGCCTCATTGCAAGATCATCCGAGCCGTGTTGATTCCAAGGTCGTCCTGCGTGTGTGCGTGCAAGAGAGAGAGTACCTGGTGTATCGAGAGAGCAGCGCTTCAGTTCCGCAGGACACCTCTTCTCCCTCGAGGAGGACGAGCCGTCGTCCGCCCGTCTCGCCTTCGTTCGTTTTGCGGGCGGCATAGGCTCGTCGAGAGGGCTCTCCTCGACTCGTTTGACCCGCCACTCGCGCGCCAGGAGGACCCTCGAGAGTTGACCTTGGCGACTTCCCTCGCTCGCCGGGTTGACCTCGCGCACTAACTCTCGCTTCACGATGCTCGCGCGGGCTGGAAGGACGGAAGAGAGGCAACAATGCATGTTTGCAACAACAATGAGCGTTTGAGCGGGGAGACAACTTCTACATGGCGTCTAAGCGCGCAATCCGCGTCTACCGCTTCTGCACCAGCTCGCCCTCCTCGTTCAACTCGTACTCGACGATACCATAGTCCTGCTCCTCGTCGAACGCCTTGTTCTTCTTCCCGCGCCGCTTCGTCGCCTGCGCCAGGAACTTCTCCTCCTCCTCGCGCCACATCTTCTCGCTCGCCTCCTCAGCCTCGCGCGCCTCGCGCTGCAGCTTCTTCTGCATCCGCTTGCCTGCACGCTCCTCCCTCGCCTCGATCCTGTCCTCGTAGCGGAAATCGATCGCTGCGACCTTGCCCGCCTGTCGCTGAGCCTTCTTGACGCGCCTCTTCGAGCTGCTCGCAAATTTGTCGCCCAGCTGGTTCGGCAAGTTCTCCTCGGGCACCTCGCGCGCGTATGGCGACGGCTCGGCACCCTGCGAACCGGTGTGAGGGAAAGCGTCGCCCCAGCTCGACTTGCGCGCGTCGTAGTAAATCTGACGGCCCTGACGCTTGCTGACGACGTGGCGCTCGAGCTCGCCTGCGCCCTCAGGTCGAGTCAGTGACGGGTTCGGACGCTCGGTGGAAAGGGTAGACGCACCGCTAGGAGAGCAGACATCGAGGGTAACGTGACCGGAACCCTTCATAGGCGGCGCGATGATGCGCGGGAACGTGAGCTCGACAGCCGGGTCGACCGCCGCAGCGTTCGCACTGCTCGAAACGACGGTTGTGCCGGAAGTTGAGGTTGGAGACGAGGCGTCTGTCGTCTCCGACTTGCCCTCCTTCTCCGCCTTGTCGAGAGAAGCGAGCATCTCGGCAAACGCTGACAGCTGGGGCTCGGCTGACGCAGGACGCTGACCGCGGCGGATGATCACGTAGGAGAACTTGACGTTGTTCTCGCCCCGATTCGTCTCCTTGACCGCCTGGAGGAACGACGGCATTTGCACTGCGGGAAACGGGAGTGTGAGCGGACTTGTGGGATGGGCCTGTGAGGGCGGCAGGACTCACGCCGACGCGAGAAGTGACAGTAGCCTTTCGACGGGCCGACTGCGGGACAGACGCTGTCGTGAGGGCACTGCGGCGAGGGGGGAGGTCAGCCGGCAGATCGGCACAGCGCGAAGGACCTTGTGCGCACCGGTGCCAGCACGTACGACCCTAGCGAAGGATCCACCTCGGCCGGCTCCTCTGCCTCAGAAAGCTCGGCAAGTGCATCGGGCGCAATGTCGATGCCCGCCTCTCGCAGCTCCAGCGCGACCTCGTCAAACTCCGCCTCCTGCTCCGTGTCTACGCCTCGCGCTGCGTTGACCTCCTTGCGGCCGTACGAGAGCAGCTCCTCCCGCGCATCTGCGACGAGCTTGCTGCCGCGAGGCGTCCCGCGGTCGATCACGACGATGACCTCCGCTCCAGAATCCCACATCGTCTTGACGAGGGTCCTGCGAGCTGTCCGACTGGGCATGTCGCCGAGCGAGAAGGCGGCGAGAGCGATCGTTTTCTTCGTCTCGTACGACTTGCGGCTGACGTTCATCTTGGCCAGCGAGGTCTCGCCGACAGGCAACTGGACCTGGTGCGAGATCGCCTGGAGGCGGCCCGATGTAAATTCGCTGGTCGCCTCGCCTGCATCCGTATAGCGTCGCGGCAGGGCGCCGAAGAGTCCGCTCGAAAGCTCGACCATGGCCCGCGCCGAGTCGAACCCGACGTATTCCCGCGGCGTCCCCGACGGCGTCTGCACCCCCCACACCTGCTCGAAGGCCCAAGCCGCGCTGCCTGTCCCGCTGCCATAGTCGACGAGGCGGTCAGGCTGCCAGGCCTCGCCGATCTTGTCGTCGTGCTCGGTCGCGAGCAGCTCCAGCCGCCGCTTGAGCGTCTCGAGTACGGTCACGCTGGCGAGATAGACGTTCGGCATGATGCCGAGCAAGTAGGCGAGCGAAGTGTGCGCATCGTACGCAACCTTCTCGACGTCGAGACCCTGCTGAGGTTCGAGCGTTGTCCGTCGCAACCGGTGCCACAGCTCTTGCGTACGGGTGTGTATAGCCTCCTTCGTGTCCGTCGCTGCGAGCGAGAGCATGATCAGCCAGTTTCCCCTCGACGAGATGAAGTCGCCACGCACCCTTCATCATGGTCTCTATCGCCTCGCGCAGCTCGACAGGCAGCCCGATGTCTCCCTTGGGAACCCTCCCACGCGCTGCCTCGGGCGACCGCTTGGTCGAGTGGGCTGGCGAGCCAACAGCGCTGTCTTGTCGCGCCCGAGCGTACGGGTCGATGGAGGCGAGGTCGAGCACGGCAGCATGGTTGGCGGCAGCAACGCGCTGAGCTGACTCGGCAGCAGCCTTTCCAGCCCGCGCGAGCATCGTGAAGCGAGACTTAAGCGACGAGTGCAAGAGGTCAACCTGGCGAGCGAGCGAAGTCGCCAAGGTCAACTCTCGAGGGTCCCCCTTGCGGGCGAGTGGCAGGTTAAATGAGTCGAGGAGAGCCCTCTCGACGAGCCTATGCCACCCGCAGAACAAACGGAGGCGGAGTGAGCGGGCGGCGGCTCGTCCTCCTCGAAGGAGAAGAGGTGTCCTGCGCAACTGAAGCGCTGCTCTCCCGATGCACCAGACGATCTCTCTCTTGCACGCACGCACGCAGGACGACCTTGGAATCAACACGGCTCGGATGATCTTGCATTGAGGCGGAAAGGGGGAGAGGAGGCAACAGCAGCAGGTCCGCTCGGCTTAGAGCTTGTCGTAGAAGTTGTCGAGCGAGGGGATCTCGGGCTTGAGACCCTTGCGCGTGCGGATCGAGAGCGCGAGCGCCTCGACCTTGCCGCCCTTCTCGGTGACTGCGA